TTGTAGTGATATTACGTCTTGTTGTTTTGCAGTGGACGGCTAAGAAATGTACAAAATTTTAAAACACGCGCACTGAGCTAATGTTCCGCCGATTGATCTTTTTTTTGTCACGTCCTCGTTACTGTCATCGTCGTACTTTGCTTAAGGTCACTACTATTTAATGCACGCTCGTTAATGCACGTGGATTATGCAATAGCGGAATACGCCACGAGTTTTTTTAAATTCGTACTTCTCGTGGTAATCGTATCCTCAGGTTTGTTCTTTTTGAGGTAAGTATTACCTATATGAAGCTTGTCTACTTTGGCAAACCATGTTAGGTTTCCTTACATGTTCAATAACCTTCTTTAAATTATATCAGCATTATTCATGATACGCGGTACAGTCCATTCGATTAGAAAAAGATAACTTTCATCACAAAAGCCTATTAAAAAGATCTCGCCGCGTCTCATAAGAAGCCTTCCTTCTCTTTAACTCCCTTCCTTTCATGTTGCTCTGCACACCGTCTGTCTCGTTGTTGACTAACTAATTACTTGATGCAGATTTGTAATCCGTGGCTTGCAGTGACGGCAACGAATGGTTTGGTGAACTGGGTAACAAAGCCCTTGGACTTGAAGGGAGTTCTTCCGCCGGCTAGGATCTTATCAAAGCACATTGAATTCGGTTATATCATTGCACAAATCAGATGAACTCATGAGATTATTTTTTAATTTAGAATCCTTTCTTGTGACCAATCACCAGATATCTTCAGAGATTTCTTTTCATCTTTTTTCCGTCTCCAACCTCTCGGTAGTCTTTGTTCTGCTTTGCTCTGTGTGTTTCTCCATACTTATTTTGTTATGAATCAATTAGGACATGTCAGACGACACGTGGTATTAATTCTCCTACGCAAATATGACATGTGTTAGAGCATGACATATCCCACTTTTCACGCAGACAGATTTATGAAGCGAAGCACTAAGCTGTTGGAGCAAAATACTCACGCCTTTCACTCTAAAATCAAAGCCGAAATGTTTACTCTTTCTTAGTGTAAATACACTAAGCTCCTTGCTTCCAAGGGAGAATTAACACATACGAAAAAAACGTTCAAAGGTGGGTTTAACTTAACATTGTGTAAACACGTTATGTTTTTTTGTTTATTCTGCACGGTTTGACTCAGTCTAGTCTTGTCTTGTAAAGATTAAGTTATGTTTGTTTACGTTTCGTTTTTAAATGTTAAGTTTAAGACGGGGTCTTTTCAATACAGGCAGTTTGAACTCTGTGTCGAAATTGCGGTAGGAACCGTGCGTGGTGCAGCTCTGCGTATCAAAACTTCAGTTTGCGCGCGTGCCATTTCAGAAGCGTGCATTGAGTAAGTCTAAAATATGTTTTTCCCACATATCATGAGCACAGCTATCCAGCCGTAAATTCAGTACAACAAATTGTCATTGATAGTGTTTCATTGATCAAAAATCCGAATCTAGTGATCGAGTAAAACAATAGCTAACGATGGCCATCTCATCAAACCTCAGTTCATGAGAAATAATAATATATTACTGGTCAAAAGATCAAGTCGTGAATTTAACCTCCAGATTCTTATCTCTGTATTTTATTTTTTCAGTAGAGCTCATCTTAACCTTCACTAACATCTCTCTCCAAATGTAACTGCGTGCTGCAACAAATCTGAAGCAAAGCTCTGCTGTAGACAACATGGAGTCATCAACTACCGTTTAAAGTGGGAGGGGCAGACACTTTGCTCCCCACGGCGCGGTGGAATCTCTAACACGATGCTTGTGAATTAAAGCTATACTGATATTCTGAGACATGGGCTACTAAAAATAGTGCATTTCTATCCATTAAGTCGTACGTCGTATGTGTTATCTGTGATAAAATACTCTTTCAGGAAGATAATAGAGTTTAGTACTGAAGATTATGAGGAAGGTCAAGAAATGTCTTTAATCGCGCGTCGAATGATAAGACACAGGACTACTTGGACTCTTTCGACCTGACTCCTGAAGATAAGCACGTCTGTACACTGATAATCCCTGCAAATGAAAGGAAAAAATGATAAGAGCTGACGGGATAAAAATGGATTTGTTTTATTGTGCAAGGCTTTGTATCCAATTAAGAGTGATTCCTCTTTAACGATAAATATTTTGCGTCCATTGGCTAGAGATAAGATGAGATTACGGAGATTAGTTGAAAGACGGTAAATTGTGATGTGATGACGCAAAATGAACACCCGGCTCAGCCTGCTATGAGCTGATGAATCGAGCTAGATCACTTACATCTCCTGACAAAAAGAAGTGAGCTGAACTCAAGCCACATGCAACTCCTTGCTTACTTTCTTACGCCTGTGGTTTGGCTGATTACTCAGGTCGCAAAGGTGAAAAATTATCTTTTAAAAGATTGTTTATGTTCATGCAGTGGCAATTGTAGATAACTGACATCTCAGCCATATAGAAGTTGTGGTTTAAATTGTTTTTATCCTCTTTTCGCGCCTTGGATTTTCCTTTCTACGTTATGGTTTATATTTGGAGTTGTGACTGATTCCCGCGGGGCATAAATCCGAATGATGTTAAGCAGTTTTCTGTACCTCACGGGAAAACGGAAACTTCTTTTCCCTTCTATTTCGTTGATAATTTCAAGTGCAATTGTCACCATCTAAACTCTATCAACAATGATTTTTCATTACGTTTGTTCAACTCGGAGACGATTATTTGCGTCTAGATTTGCAAATAATGTGAATGTTTAATTACCAGTAAACTGGACTTTATTCTACAAGACAATGGATTGGGTAATCGCTTCGACGAAATTTTGTTTACCGGTAATGCAAATTTAGGTCATGTCGATTAACTCAAGAATACTTAAGTGTAAAATTCTAGCTATCTATGGAATCAAGAGAAATTAATGGGACCATTATTTTCTCTTGATAGAATACATGACAGGAAGTGTGTTTAAACTTTCTTTCCCTTTTACAGTCGACCCTCAAAATGTTATTGGATGCCTTATTAGATTGGCTTTTTTTCTGAATTATTTGCAAATTTTAGCGTCATTCATATACGTCTCAGCCCAACATCCCACATCGGAATGTGATTTTTATATGTATATTTCTGAGACATCAGTTATATGTCGAGTACTAGCTCTATCGTTTTGTTTCCTAGATTTGTTAGTAAAACAACTGAATTAGCAAATAATTCAATGATGAAAAAGAAAAATACATGATTTCATTTTTCATTAAAAGTTAAAGCATAGGTATATTTATGAGATTGAACAAATGGTTGCCAATTTCAACCTGAACATAACAAGAGATTACCGAATGATACTGATATTCTCTTGAACATAGTCATTACATGATTCTTGTAAAAATTAGCGTGAAAGGGTGAGTGAAATAAGTTCAACTGTTGTAATCTGAAAAGTCCTAATAAGCAGTTGCAGCATGATCATGTTGAGCTTTTTCAACAGTTGCATTTTAGGAAGTAAACAAAGATTTGATAATGACAACATTGTTATCCATCAAGTGTTCGACATGCAAGCATGTAGAGTCACTTTTATTTCCATTTTCGTCTCCACACAGCTTTTTTCGATGATTACTTGAGCGCGTTTTCATACCCTAACCTTTACCCGAAAATATTCGACTTTTTTCCTGGTGTCGTACGACTGAAAGCATCTTTACTGTTCATCAAAAAGGAATTTTCATTTTGGGAGTTTGCGTAACTCCCTGTGTAAACGGAGCTATGACAATCTGTTTGATCTCCGTCTGAAGACTCAATTGTTTCCGAGGTCCAATCCCCCCGATGGAGGACTGACACCCTACCAAATCTAGGTTTACATCTAGCCCCTTTTTGTCAGTTGACGATAGAGGCAGTGAAGTTGTTTAGAATTATACCTAGATTTTTCTTTTCGCAAATCTGATCAAAACAGTTTGCTTCTATCTACAGTGCCACTAAATACTCAGTTATAAGTAGTCCAGGAACGAACAGGTGCCTATGAAAGGGACAGAAAAAGACTGCTGTAATTAATAAAATGTTCTGCTGACATACTTAGCTGCGATCATGGGTTGACAGTAAGTTAAAATACTGACGTGAAATTTAATTAAATTTTCTACCTGCCTGGGACAAAAGAAATGGCATTTGGAGAATAAGATAGTATCTTTATAATGTTCCCTTGTCATTTTTATCTCACCAAGTGCTTTGAAAACAACAATTTATAACTGCATATTGCCGAATCTATTTTTTTATAAATGAGTGTAAAATGAGTTTCTTTTGTTGCAAAGGAAATTACTCCACCATTAGAGATTGTCATCCTCGGCGCCTTTCTCTTAATTGCTTTTTGCTAATGTTTGGACTCGAATTTGCATAAGTCACAAGCTAATAATAAACGAAAATCGTTATTTTTTTCAGTTTATTTCTACCCTTGGCTTGGCCCACTCGATGCCTTTTCACTTGTATTTACTTAAGTGTTCTGTCATGAGAATTTTTCGCAACATAAGAATTTTGTTGTTGTAACACTTTTAAATGTTTATCGCGTAGAGTTGTCGTTTTCAATTACAGTCCTTCCAATCACTTCTTGTCTTTTAATTTTCCTACCTATTTATTCTATTTGAGCCATGTAAACTGTCCTTTATCACCAGCAACATTAATTTGCCTTCGGGCCATCCCAGCATCCTATCGATTCTTTTCATCAGCATCATTAAAAGTTTCTATTGTATGAGGACCGACACGTTAAAAAAGCTCGGCTCCTGACTCTGACAAGGACGAGTGACAAGTGTGTTGGTTGAGGTAGATATTTGATAGGAAAAATCAACGTTCCTTGGTGGAATCAGCTGCGGAGACCATTAATATATGTGGTAAAGCTTTAATTAATCCACCATAGCGCGGAGTTCTGTTCATAATAGGCTTAACATTGCTGCTCCATCATTTATCACGCAGTTTATCGTGTGTTATGCTCCGATTTTAGATCGAAGCCACATCTGAAGAATTTAAAATACGCTTGATCGAATACTGTAGAGTTCAAGGCTGACCATGGCAGCAAATAACACTTCTGTCCCAGGTACGCTCCAAGTGCGGAATGTATTTTATTCTTTGTATGAAAGTAGGGCTACAGTGATTTGTATAAGTTTTAAAAGTTTCCATTAAATTTAACTGTTGGGTTGGTTCGTAGGCGAAATGTATCTCGAAAAATTATTTGCCGTAATAGGTTAAAAGTGGAATTTTCTCCGATACTGATTAATAACGTCTAGGATTTATTTTTATTTAAAGGGACTTTTGACGCACTTTTCGTTTCCATGAACAAGCCAAGGCACTTTTTCTTGATTCCAAAAATTTTTGCATGGTCCTATTTCAAATCGTTCATGTCTTACGGCTTGATTGTGCGAAGACTAACCCTTACTCTTAGATGGATTTTCTAAGAAATATGTAATGTCATGATTGTACAACGATGATTTGAAAAACTAGGACAATGATTTGAGGAAATGTACAATTTTTGGGTATTTCTTTTTCTTTTTTGTAACATTTTTTGGAAAAGTTTCCCCTCATCTTTATTTATATATAATTTTACATGAAATATTCAGTTGTCGTGTTCGATCAAAATACACATGAACTGTAAGAGCGGGTGCTGTTAGTTTTGTTCTAAGTGTCATTCTGTACGGTCTGAATTAAAAGGACAGATTATGAAAATCCAAAATATTTACTGTCCCGGTTTACTTTGTGTGTGTTTTTGTCGCAAATAATTTTATGTAGCGCTAAAATAAAACTAATTTTATTACCATAGCGAAATTAAATGATCAAATACTGTAGCTTTCCCTGGAGGTTCATTAAAATCAAAGACGAATGAGTGACAGTTCGTGAATAATTTAAACATTTGTGAACTTCTCAAGAGAACTTAAGAAGATTCATCCCTTTTTATTACTTGAAATAATTGAGAAATCAAATCCAAGTTGACGTGCAGCTTCCCTTGTGTTCTTTTTGTGCCGATATTCGCCAACGTAAGTAAAAGTTCAAAATCCCGCCTTAGTGCTACAAAACAGTTTCCACAGCTGCTGGTATCAAATGTTCCCCACAGGTAGTTTTTTTTCTATCCAAGCAAACTGTTTCAATAAAGAAACCGATTTAGTTAAATCTAGTTATTACTTTGGATACCATTTATCGGACCGGAAAAAGTTGTTTTGTGCATATTTTAGCAAGTGAACGTATCTCAAACTAATTTCCGATTTCTTTCCAAGAAAAACTTTGCATAAAAGCTGGCAAGCCAATGCAGTGAACGAAACAGAGCATGTCAGGACACAATAGACTTTTAAAATGATTCCTAATGTTGGAAATATACTTTACTGCTTTCTTCAAAAAATTTGAGTCGTGCTTACCCCTAAATTTTTCCCAAAAACTCGAAATTTTTGCATTGATTTACACTTACAACAGTATTCATTTATGCAGGCGCCCGAGGCGAAAAGAAACATCATAAAAATGTAGTAAGTTAATTAAACAGCATCTGCAGGTCAGTGGCGGCTTTCCTTAGATCGTTCTTGGTAAAACGAAAAATTATAATAGTGTAGTTCCTTTCCTTCTCTGTACTAAGCTGACAATTTGACTTTTTGCCCCATCCACAGTAATTGTTTTTGACCTCCTTTCATCTTGTATCTTCAGACCATGGGTTCTTCAATAGTTTTTTGATGAGTAAAATTGTCTTGGTAACAGTTTTTGGCTCTTGAAAAATCGGTCTTTGCACTCATCTTTGTCACTGTTCACCATCCTCGTTCTTTTTGGGTTGTTTCACCAAATTTGGTACTTTGTTATCTCAAAGGAAGTCACGTCGCTTTAAGTCAGGTCGCCCTCAAGTTGAGTGACCTCGTCTCCAATTGTGGTTATGTCGCCGCCCTCAAGTGTGATTACCTATCGCGGTGCGACTATGCAAACGAATATTTCAAGGTTTTGTGCTTTTTTTTTTTCTTTCGTCGACTTCCTTTGTTGTCTTGGATAGTTCAGGGCGAAAAAGAAATTAAAATGCTTCGTTTGATTGACTAGGCCAATAAATATTAAATGCAAGCTGTATGTAAGTTCATTACAAGTTAAACTGACAGATAATATTAGGCTGTTGGCTTAAAAACTAAGTTGAACTGATTTGGCAAGTGCGACCACTGGATTTGACACCGAGTAAATTTATATCACAAGCGTTGCTTTTGGCTTCAACCTAGGAATAATTTATATTAAGAGAGTGACTATTGGAAAGGGAGTAACGAATCTGTAGAAATAAGGGGTTCATTTTGTGTTCTTGTCTTCTTTTTATCTCCAGATATGGAAAACGCGACGTCATTAAGTGGTGATGATGTTCACGGGGCTAAAGTGTGGATGACTCTCGCTTATACTGTTATCTTTATCTTTGGCTTCTTTGGTAACACTTGTATCATTTACATTGTGGCAACTCGTGCGAGAATGAAGACTACTTTCAATTTTCTAATTGTTAACATGGCGATCGGCGATCTGCTGGTTTCTATTTTCATTATGCCTTTTGAGGTGAGTCAAACAGCACTTGCTTTGTAAATATACGAGTACATTGACAATTACATTCAAGCCTCAATCATCAAAGGGGTTTTTAATAATAAGTATTCTGGTGCAATGATACTCTTTAATATGGGGCTAAGTTGGTTCTCTCCAAGTTTTAAACTTTTCTTGTTCTCCGCTCTAACTGTGCCTCTATTCCTTCAGCTTCTTCGCGATATTGCTAAGTTCAGTCATACGCACGCACACATTATTAGTTTTGTCTGAAACAGTCGAACTTGTATAAGTGGGCACCCACGAGGAATGGGAGGGGGGGAGGCGGGTGCTCCCTTTGTACAGTTTCAACAGATCAGGGGTATCATAATAAACGGTGCACAACACCACCTTATGCCATAAATGGCCATTTAATGTGCTCAAAAATACTACTTACTTTGATTTTTAGAGAGAAACATAGATCAAAATTTGAAATATTATTCTTAGTTCTATTTGGGTGGTTCCGCTTTCAGTGAGCGTTCGATACAGGTGGAAAATAATAAAAACAGGCAGTCAGGATGTAGTCACAAGTAACTGCGACCGTTTAATAGAGGTCACCGCTCAATAAAGGTGAAAATTACAGTGATTAGGGGGAAACAAATTGGAGACTTTAACAACTGATCGCTTAATACGGGGTGACCGCTAAATACGGTGCCACTTAATACAGGTTCGACTGTATTCCATTCCAACAAAGGAGACTAGTAAAATTAGCTACGCAAAGGTGAGACGGAGCTTGGGCTCTATGAGGAGTATCATTGCATTTACCAGAATGAACTATTTCAATGTTTGTGGAAGCTCTAGCTTTGTCGCTGACAAGTTTTTTTTTTAACTCACAGCCTGGGTATGTTTATGTCTTTTTTTTGGTCTTTGTAGGTGATTTTTTTGTACATTGGATTGACGTGGTTACCCGGTGGCTTTGGATCAGTGACCTGCAAGTTTGTTAAATTCTCAGGGGTTCTGTCCATAGCAGCCACTATTATAACCCTCGTGTTTATATCATTGGACCGCTACTTTGCCATTCTTCATCCATTCGCCGACGTCCCCATTATTCGGAACACTAAATTAGTTACCTCTCTGATTTGGATTTCATCTTCGCTGTATTTCTCTCTGTATCTGGTTCTTTTTGATAGCGTGCCTTCTGCTGACGGATCTTCCTGGGAATGTAGAATGATCTGGAGCTACTTATCCTCAGACAGGATGAAACAATTCGAAATTGGCAGAGCTTACTTCATGACAACCTTTGTGGTGCTGTATCTGTTTGCACTTGTAATCATTGCAACCTTGTACATTCTTATTGGTCGTCGCCTCTGGTCACGTGTGATTCCGGGGGCTTCAACTGCCAGTCAAAAGCGTCAAAACGAGTCGTCTAAAAGGAAAGTACTGCGCATGCTCATCATTGTTGTTGTTGTCTTTGCGCTGTGTTGGCTGCCGAGTCACATTGTGCATTTGATGGGTTATTTCTTCACCCCGACTTACGTTGCTTTATTTTCACACGAGTACTTGGAATCCAGCTTTTACTTTCTGTCGCACGCCAATAGCGCTATAAACCCGTGCCTGTATATTTTTCTCAACCAACGATTTAACCATGAATTTAAAAACGTTGTCCGATCTCTTTTCTGTCGTCCAGCCAAAGAAGACCTATTGGGTCCTCAGTCAGTTTACCAAAGGTCTACTGAAGGCACGATGGCCATGAAATAAGTCTAGCTCCAGTGAGGTCTTTCTGTCAAAAAACCGATACATTCTATTCTTTCTCGCTGGAAGCAGAACTTTGTGTGGTGTGATATTTAGGTCAGGCTCGGCTTGCATTTCTATTGGTAACTTCATATAAGCTGGATTGACTCCAACTTACTTTGACACAAATTAATTAGGGAATAAGTCACGTTATTCTTGGTCATTTTATGTGACATGCAAAACTGTTTTCAAAATATTAGTTTGGTCGAAAAAAAATATTAACGAAAAAGGATTAGGGATAGCCGATGATGGAAATGATTTAAACGAATTAAAAATGATAAACCTGCGTACTTGACCAACTGCCAAACCAACAATAGGCCGAGTGTTTCTCCTATCAGACGATAGATCAACGGAAAGAGAAGTATAAGCAGATAGGAAACACCTTCAAAACATCAGAGTGTTGTCTAGAGATACTTAAAAATTGTTGACAATGCGTACAGTTTAAATACAGATTAATTTTGCAAACGTTTCGACAGACTATGTAGATTATTATCACTTGTATTCTGGTAGAAGCCAACAACCAGATCACAGCAATCAAACATAGCAAGATCTTTAATTGCTTTGAGCTGGTGGTCTGCAACCACAGTGCTCGCTTACGAGCCAGCTCCCAATACATTTATCGTTAAATATCTTATTGTCAATCAAGACTATTCACGTGTTTGTAAGCCAACAGAAAAATATCAGATCTCAATAGTTAACATGTATGGTTTTTATGTTTTCAAGATATATATAATTCTGTAAAATAACGTTGTCTGAGCCTTTTCTACAGCAATAAGATTCGACAAGAGATCTCACGTGAGCACGAATGATTAGGAAACTCAGTAATTTAGATTTAGCCTGCTTAGAGTCTAAGAATATCAACACAGTTAATCGCATCATACATTTTCATCTAATAAGGTACTTCATAACTTGTATTTTAGCGAAGCTTCTGTCGAGCAAACAAGCTTCATACCTAAACTGAATTTGTGAGACTCTCTGTGATGGTAAATGTGTTTTGTCTTACATAGCAAATCAGTGTGTAATGGTAAGACGATTTTGACTTGAGTGTATAAAGTAATCCTGGGTTGCACTGAGTTTGTTTCGTTCTATGATTGGTTTAAAAAACTCGCGCTACCCTCTAAACTGATTGATCAGTGTAAAAACCAACTCCAATTACTTTGTGTTTTTTTAGTTTTATGTCACTACTCTCAATCAAAATTCACCCTCTTCTTGCTTGAATCAGGTAACCTGCGAGCAGAGCCTCATTGTCAGTGACTCTTCAATACAGGCGCCTCTTCGCCCACGAAAGTTTGAGGAGGCCTTGAGCAATGCTTGCTGGCGAGAGGTTTGCTTGTTATCAGACACTGATAATGTGGCCAATCCAGGCAAAGAAACGTTCGTCCCGCAGTGCTTAAAACGAGGGCCTTCTCGTAAGCCATGAATCAGACATCGAAACTCAAAGAGAAAAAAGAAATATTGCAACGAGAGTTAATGTAACTTATCCCTTGATAATTAACTCTTTTGACACTTGTACTACGAAAGACCGGCTTGCTCCTTATACGTTTTCAGGTACAAAATATAATTCAAATGCAAAAATGTAGTTCGCGATTTTGTCAACTTTTTCATTAATATAGACAAATAAAATCGAAAGTTTCTTCTCCTCTGCACTCGAATCTCCTGGCTCGTTAAGAAATACGATAAAGCAGTAAACATTTCCATCTACTGAAGTAAATCAACGTGAACTATTTAAGTCACTTTTGAGTTATTACATTTTATTTTTTTGCGTGAGTTCACTGCAAGTCTCTATCCTGGTTGTCATTCAAGTTACGCTTCTTGTAACAAAGAAATTACATGCGGGAAGTTTTCTGGTGGGAAAACGTCTTCATTAAAGTTTTCCCACTGACTTTTTTTTAAGAACAAAAAAAGAATATTTGCAGAGCCTAGGCAAACACCAAACCGATATAGGAGTTTAATATCGGGCACCGGAACACCCAAGGAAATATCATTCAAGTTATATTTATTCCGGATTTCCAGTGGGTTGTAGCTTTCCATACAAATTGAATCCACGAGTAGCGAATTCAGATCACTTTATTTGCTTTTTATATAGAAACAATAGAACACCTGTCTGTGTTGTAAAGGATGAGGAATGATCATCTAATAAGACAAAAAAACACAAACTTTGACAAGATATCAAGTTCAAACAAGAACTTTAGGACCGCCTCAAACTTCATCTATGGTCACAGTTGTAGATCCGTTGAAAGAGAGGAGGCAAAAGGCGAATCTACGTCAGGCATTACAGATTATTTCAATAGAAAAAACTTCTTTAACTGCGCAGAAATTTCCTGAACTGGTTCACCGTTTTTAATTCAACTCTAGTTGCCTAGAACATTTCTAGCACTTAAACCGTTACCTTTACGTTGAATTAACTAATCGGAATAACTGAATGTAATAATATTAAATAAACAATTCTGATGAACAAAGCCCAATTTGACAGATGGTTTGCAAGAGAAAAGCAGCTACAGTTACAGACGGCGTGAAAAGGGCATTTTAAAGTTGTTATCAAATTAAAGATTATTTGAGAGCTTACTTGTTCATTATCTGAAAATGTGAGAAAAGCAGGAATATCCTAAGTCACCATAGAGGAGGTCAACTTTGCCATGAACAAAAGCTAAGAAATGAGTAGCTCTTAGTCGGCTTCATTCATTTTACTACCAAGTTCTCATGGTGTTTTCACGCTAATTGAGCTCGACAGATATCATGAACTGAATACAACCGGTGTTAACGCTATTCAATGTTATTACTCCTTTTTATCGGCCTACCTAATAGTGATGTTTCAGTTGTGTTTTACAGCACACACCATACTGCGACTCACTTTTTTAGTACTTCAGGACTCATCCTTCTACTTATTATTGAAGTTAACATGAAGCTCTCTTCTTCTTTTCTTAATTTGGGATCAATTTAGGGCCGGATTGAAGCAACTTATTTAAATAACTTAAAAACCTCAATTGGCAAAGATTAAAATAACTTCGTTCAGGTGGTTACTTCAAATTCGCCACAGTTTAGAGTTTTTCTTCGTTCAGTGAAGAAATATTTTTGATTTCTTTGATTCGGTAACCACAAAGAGTTCCCTGAAATCATTTTTCATGCAAACTGTTCTAGTAGCTCGGTTCGAAAAAAGAAACAGAAAACAAACAAAAAAAAAAAACAAACAATACCGGTATTGAAGAGTGAGTGAATTGGGACTGAACGACACGATAAGAAAAATGATTATGATAGCGATAGAAAAGCATATGATCCTAGTAAAGACAACATTGCAGTTTTTTGGGCCTAAAAAGAGAGCTTCATTTTAGAAATTTTAGTCTTAAGTTCAGCGATGGGCACACACAAGGTAGTTATTCATATCCCCTGTTTTCATATTGAATTGAAATTTAGAGTGTTGGTGTTCTGTAACAAAATCATTTTTTAAGATCAGATTTTTGTATATCCTGGGAGTAACGTAAGGATACTGAGAATATTGAGAACAATAGTAAAATTATCGGAGACTTGACGAGAAATTTCCTAGAAAACAGCTTGAAATTAATTCGTCCAAGCTAACATTATGACTGACACAAAAATGTCAATTTTAGTTACTCGTTTTAATGAATGACTCATTGGCGCAAAAATCTAGTGAATATCCAGTAGGTCATATTTTCGTTGAAAATTCTTGGAGCATATAGTTTCTAGTGTCTTGGGTTATTAAATCGTACATTTTACTTGATCGACAGAAAGGTCAATCTCCGCCGACAAATAAGCGCAGATATAACAAAGATAAAACAACAACCATAACTACAGCAGTTCCTCTGAGTTGTGAATAACTCTTTGCTCTTGAAAAAAAGTCTCAGCGCATTAGCAAATCATTCCGTGAAAATTTCCAACAGTGACGGTATTTGAAAGCGTTAATCTTGCAAACTTTTCAGCATGCGGTAAAATGGCCTCAAAAATGTTGAACCTTTAGTGAAACAATCGAGTAATGAATGGACCAAAGTATTTACTTAAAATCAACGAACTAAAAGGTTCATCTTATTATTCTGTTCATTTCTTGGTTGATTAGTCCTCTTAAAGTTCCTGACCTCAATGCAAGGGAAGTGTTTGCGCGCAGAGCTACTAAATCACATTCTGCTTAAATGTTTTGGTTCCATTGTGGCTTACCTGCGCTTTATGGCCACACTTGTTTTCTTTTCGTTAGATGAATTTGTCGGCAATTTTAGGCGCGCTGCCGTCTCGAAATATGAGCCCAGCTTTTATAGATCTGGCAACCCCAGGCTTTATAATCAACAGTCAAGCACAACTTCCAGCGAAATCGCTATCTTAAAAAATTTTCCAACGCTAATGCTCTTGAGAACCCACGGATAATGGACTGGGGGAGGGAGAAAACATTACCATGACATTTCTTTTATGCATCGGTGAAATGACTTAAAATTCACGGGGACTTTATCTTTCTCCGTACTATTTACAAGTAGACTTAAAGAAGGAAAGATACGATTAAACCATAGACTTGATCAGGTTTTCTTGATAGGGAAGAATAGAGAGGCCGGTGCCGTTCTGTCGTCTTTAATAATTAAATCACATAACAATCACGCTTTCAATTCACAGATACAAAAAAAACTGTTAGTAGCAAAACGTAGGTTTGGTATGACGAGCGGTAATATATCGTATTTAAAGCATCAAATCACACCACCAAACGTAATACTTAAATAACTTTTTTCCTTTCTCAGACATTACTATTTCCTTCGACAAAGCTGGTAATTTGAATCCATTCATAGACTCTTAGACCCTCTGGCCTCTCTTTGGCAAAGGTATCGGCCTTAATTTCAGCCCGTTAGCCATGCTATTCGTGTAAGGAGAAAAGTGTTTTCATAGAGGTGAAAGTTGTAATCTTATCTGAAAATTGATGCTGTGAGAAGCACAAACTGACAAGAGGCTAAGCCAAACCGCTGTTTACAAGCTAATTCTCAGAGTGGTTTGCACCACTTACAACGCTACAGCTTAGTATATATTCCTCAAAAAGAAAGAGGTTAACATGGTGAAAAAGAAAAGTTGTCCTGAGTCCGTGGGGGAGATTCGATCTCAAACAGCTCTGCCCGATATCGCGGTTAGATACTCGACCATCTGAGCCACAGAGACCTCATTGCCTGGCAAACACATTTCTAGGGGTTCACATGATAGGTTGTTTTCTTCTAAGGGATAAAATGTCGTTTGACTAGTTGATGGCAGTCGGACGAACTCAAAGGCAAGCTCAAACCGAGTAAGAAAGAACGTTTTGCTTCGCGAATGAATACTACTAAGTCTTTGACACTAAAGATGTGATTTGGACAGATAAAGCACAAAGAGGGGTTAGCTGAAAAACCTCAAAATACATCTATCAATGAAACCTTCCCTCAATAAAAAGAATAACCTTGGAAGCGAAAATCGAAGTAAGAGAGCTATTACATAGAAATGACGTTTTAAACCCTTACCTTACAAAAGAAAAGAGGTCAACGACGAAATCGTCTACTGTCGATAATTTGAAATTTCTCGCTGATTTCCTTCTCTTTGCATTCTATGGCTCTATGTGTCTTAGTAACTAAACCGAAGTTGTTTCAACAGAACAAGCAGGTTAACAGACCGGAAAAGACCAAATCAACCAAATTTGCGATGCAATTAACAAAATGACACTGGTTTCTTTGGCCTACACCAAATTTACCGAGAATGTATCAATAACTTTCAATAACTACATTTTGGCTGCCTGTATTTAAAGACATCTGCTCCCAACTTAATTATATCTAATGGCATAGCTTTTGAAACACTTTTCAGCACTACCTTGCTCAGTACGGCCTTTAAATCTGGGGCTTTTCATCGAAAAAACAATAATTTTAGAACGGGGAGGCTATTTGGCTTCAAATAGCAAATGTCGTCTGAATGGCAACCCTTAAAATCCTAATTGGTAAGGCTGTAGCGATATAAAAAATTTGTAATAGGCTCTTGCTTCCAATTTCGACGGGTCTTATGAATGGGCTCTGTAATTGCAAATAATTTGTGTATTTTTTCTTCGTTCAGGATATTGAATTTTACTCGATCTGTCGTGTTCTGTTGAGTTCTGTTCTGTACCAAGTGACCGGAAAATTAAATGACTTTAACTTCGATCAGAGGAAACAAGAACTTAACTCCAACAAATAATGGCCTGTCTACCAAACACCTGCACTTTGTTTCATTACGTTTCCTTGCCATGTCACCGTGATAAACTGAGACTGAGCCCAATACTACGAAAATTCAGAGATGGTTATCAACGTAAATGATAATTAAAAAAATAGAAAATACAAAGAAAGAAAAAGATAATGATAAATTGTCGTCGCTTATGCATTACACACTTTTAACTTCCAGTGTTTGAACGGCAACAATTTATGCACATCGTTACTTCTTTGCTGATTTCTTCTGACTTGTCGTCGGTACAAAACTGAAAAAAAAGAATGTTCAAAGTTTCCACAGGTACATTATGCTAAGAGAAAAAAATGCCTGCATATTTGACTTTTGTATGAGCAAACACTTTGTCCGCTGTAACAACGTCCGCGAGACTGGCACTCGCTTCATATCTAATATCACAAAAATATTGTGTTTATTCATTGTGGTTAATTACAATAATGATAAAATATTATCATTTTTCTCGTGCTGTAGTCACTCTCGATGTGGATCGCAATGTTTCGACCGTGCCCTGCTCGACTTCTTTCGCTAGAGTCAACTGGATGTTCACTCTTAGCTGAGAGGACAAAATTTTTCCAACAACAATGAAGGGCAGCTATGTCGGACCTTTTTTATTGATTTGGCGTTAACATTCCGTGCTACATGCGTGGTAGCCAGTCGTATATAAGAACGACTGTATTCTGTACAGTGAATTATTTATTCGCTCAGGTGACTCTCTCAATATTTAGAAAACATTCCCCTTAACAGAGGTCTTTCATATTTGAATCTAATAGATACAAAGGTTATAAGGGTATCTCTTCTTTCATTTGACCAAAGTGTGCTGTGTCCTCCGGAATGGATGGGTCATATGATGTGACGGTCAAGTTTCCCCACAGCCCTGGTAAAAAGGAAATCAGACTCGCCCGGTCCGAGATTCCGAGATCTCCGAATATGTCCGGCGTAGGTACACTATAGTAGATATCTCTTGTGTGGTGGAAGGCATCCTCCATTCCCCGATTATCAGTGATTCGCATATAGGAAATATAATTTACAACGCTGAAGTAGTTGTGAAATCACAAAACTGCACGTGTATTTATGGAACCCGGTGGTCCTTCCAAGTTACACAGAGGATTAAAACATGCCTTCTCAATTTGACTAACTCTGGGTCAGAGTACACTGACATTCTACGATGTATCGTCCGTAGCCCCCCTTTTAATTTCAGAGAACGACATGGGAAGCAGGAAATGAAAAGTATCTACACAAATCAACCCACCTACCCACCCACATGTAAGCCTTTGACAGTCACGTGTTGTGTGGTCTGATGTGAGATAAGACCGTTTGTCTGACCCATGCCAGTAAAAAAGTGCGTGAAATGAAATGAACCCGGTATGGTCGTGCTCTCTGAGAAGACGAATTTGTGTCGGAAATTACTGAAACGCCGTCGGATTTCCTCGCGCGCCGTAGGATATGACGTGATTCCAAACAATATGGCGGGTTTATCATTACGCAACGTCTTCAGTCTGTCCCAGTATTTACTAGCAAATGATGTTGCAGATGAAGGGATCGTGTTTGACGTGAAATTCGCAAAATTAACGCCATTGACGATAAGTCAAATTCAGTTTTGAATTTTGAACTTCACCTGCGTCCAATTTCCTCTATTTTTTACGCAATTCAGCTATAGTTCGAGAACCGTATTTACAAGGAAGATTACTTTGTTAATTAATTCCACCACCGCACGTGAATTCATATAATTCCTTTCATATACACATTCAGCAAAGAGTAAAGAAAGTCGGGTACCCGGTTTTTCCTTTTTGTCTTAAATTTGTCCAAACTTATACTTGTTAACAGCTTTAAATTTTCAAACAACGCCACAGACGTTAAGATTTCAGGGGTACATTTTACAATAGTAGAACAACACTCCCGTAAAGAAATCCGACAAAACCAGGTTAATACAATTCGATCAAAGTACAAAAGGGACTCGAGTTGAACCCGTGTTCATGGCGTGATATGACGTCGCACAAGTCCTCGTGTTCTCATTGACAATGGTCCTCGACCAATGAACAATCGGAATTTCCGCTAGTTGTTTCGGAATGGTAAGTGGACTCTGGACACGTGCACCGACAAAGCGAAAACCGAGCTGCTCTTCCTCTGATAGAGCTCTCCCAATATTCTTCCTCGGAAATCATAATTTCCGATTTCAATAATGAATTTTAAACAAGTCGTTCGGTCAGAAAGCTAAGGGTGGTAGTAGCAATGGGCACACTGGACAACGTTTCATGCTGTTCATGTTCACACCCCTTCCCAGCCTCGACCCCGCCTTCAACGACCTTTAACTGCTTCAATTTACCGCAAGTCTAAACGAAAACAGCTCACGGACAACTGAGACAATTCCTGTGGGAGAACACAGCCCAATGCTTCTTTACTGAAGAACTTGGTCTAAGCAGTATGAACGGATGCCAAGGTGACAAAGGTCGGAAAAAACGAAATGTAACGATTTGTAATGCGCACACTATCATACCAATTCCTGTTCGGCAAGAATGTTCAGAGCCAGAGGTAAGTTGATGTTGTTTCCAAGGTTTATGCTGCATTAAAAAAATTGATGGTAAACATTGAAAGCGGAAGTATTCGAACCATGTCGCGAGCCTGTATCAAAACTTTATATTTTCTATCTCAGTGGCTTCGAAATCACTCACCCTCGTCAAGATGGGAGATGATGATGCTGACAATGCAAACCAAGACACAAAAGATCAATTGTTTTCGAGGCGATCTAAGGGGAATCAATTTTCATCCTTACTTTAGAACTTGTTAATCAACAGATTTCAAAAAACAGAACTGCTCACGCGTTATATAACTGTGTATCGATTATCATTTAACTTAAAAAAAAGAGAAAAATGAACGAAATATGAAAGGCATTCATCACTTGAATGGAAGACACTGATACGTAAATTGTACACAAAGTGCGACCAGTGGCAAAAATTATCATAAATTGATGAACGGATATTCGCAGAGATTTGTTGAAACGCATCCCAGCCTTTGACACTTAGTCTTTTAACCGCCTTCAAAGGGAATATAGAAAAAGAAACTTAGTCTAATGCTTCTGGAATAAGCTGGCTTGTTGGAACTTCGTTACGAAAAGAAAGGAGTTTCTTTGAAAAATCCGTGTAAATCTGACTATTATTAGTCTCTTGTCATACAGCGACGCTTGTGTGATTCTTTTTGTATGGAAACTGCTGTTCACTAGAAGCAAAGAAAAACGCAAATTACATAAGAAACGAGGGATTTTGGCAAGAAATTAAGCAGTTAAATAATCGTGGATCACTCGACAATCCATTCCCCCTTCATTTAAATAGTTCCTGATGTAAAGCACGTTATTGGACGGTATGATCAACACGCTATTTCTCTTAAAGAAAATAAACACGACATCATAGTCAAATTAGCAGGTAAAGGCAACAAACACAACTTGACCTGGTTAAATCAATGCCACAGAACTATTCGCTTTTCACGTAATGTTTACGGTTAGCTTCTGAGTATTTTAAAAGAAAGAAAAGCGCCTTATTGATATGTGTAGTTGAAACGTGACGGTAACTGATCAAATACAGTTTGATGGAGCTCTCAGGCAATTTTAAGCTCCTTTTTATCTCGTTGTCATTTCCATTTTCGGTGCATAGCTTTATCTCCAAAGTCTTATCAAATAACTTTATAATTTGCTTCAAATTGTTTAAATTCGGGTGACGCCCGATTTTCAGTAAATTAGAAATGATCTAAGATATGGGTTTGGCCTTCAAACAACGCCTTTGTGTAGGTGACCGTTCTTACTGTCGACTCACCAGATGGTTTTCGTCGCTCACAAGAAATCGAAAACATTTTACATGAAGATAAACGTGACAATAAACGCTCTTCTGCCACAGACGTGTGAATCTGTGCGTGACCCTTTAGACAAGACAATAGTCGTTCGGTTTATTGTTGTCACGAAAAAAGACACGAATCGTCTACACCTGACCAAAAAGTGATCACGTGTTTACTATTTTGGCCTTGGCAGAGGTAAACAAACCGTGCTCGTTTAGAGGGACAAAGTTCGTTTTCAGTCTATTACTACACGTGAGAACGTTTCAATTCACGCGCTTTTCACATGAAGGTAGCTCTCTGATTGGCTCACCTCACCGGAAGTGTTATGTGATTGGTCCAACCCCCTCAAACGCCCTCTGTACTGCATGATCTTCGTGCTGATCTAAGTTCAATCAACAGAAAACGATAACAAAAATCCCCTACGCTTTTAGTCATCAGCAGAATTTTTGCACGATTAACACTGAGTCATGTACGCTCTTCCTATGTCTCCTCCTTCAACGCCTTCGTCGCCGTCTAAAGAGATGGAAGTAAGTGAAATCAGTTCGGAAGCTTAGATGCGCTAAGTTATTGAGTGACTAATTTTTTTACGCTCTTTTGTGTTTACATCAGGAGGACACGAATTCTGTGCATTCGGATGGTGAAGGTTGTCAAAGCGAAACGAGCGAAAATGTCGACTTGGATGCAGTTCAGTCTCTCCTTGCAATGAGTCAATGGTCGCCTCATCTTCCAGAAAGGAATACTCCTAGTCCTGACTCTGGGCTGTCTTCTATAAGCAGAAATTCGTCAAGCGCTTCGTTGAGCAGCGCGACTTCCGTTGAGGACGAACCAGAAAAGGTAACGACATTTATTTCCTTAAATTGAAAAGTAAACTTTTCTGTATTATTATTCCTGGTTATGAATCCCTCCAAATTTTCATTTCTGATTCTAGCTAGTCAAATAATCGATTTCGTGCCACTTTTTTATAGCATGAAAACAACGGAGTTAAAGAAACAGCCGATTTTGGAATTCCTCGTGGCAACTCTGGACTTTGCTCTCCAACTTCGGGAAATGTTACTTTAGGCGCGATTTCTACTACAGCCGCACCTTCTGCAACAATGTCTACCTTGCCTTTAAAAGTTTTCCCAAACGGAGTAAATATGAATCAAGTTCTTCTGGCAAACGGCGGACCGAATCTACCAGCTGGTGCTGTAGTTGTACTTTGCCCCGTAGCAGCCACAAACGGAACTGCCGCAGGAGTCAGCAACATTTCACAGTTACAGCAGAGAAATTTTGTTGTCACTCAAGCAGGACTTCTTCCCCAATTTCAAGGACAGAATCAACAAGAAACCGAGAGTGGAAAAAATCAGCCCAGTCGCCGAAGGAATCACGTTTGCTCGTTTGAAAACTGTGGTAAAACTTACTTCAAAAGTTCCCACTTGAAAGCCCATATGAGGACGCATACAGGTATCTAATAAAAGTTTTGTGTTGACACAACAAAGTGAGATTTTGGCTTTTTATCATCGAAAGTTTTCTGTTTAAGGTAATTCTCCCAGTTACATAGATTCTAACCAACAGTCTTTGATTTTCTGATATCGCGGAATTTCTTTCGTATTGGCATTGACATGTCTTGCCCACACACACCTTTGTCCTGCCTGCTATACACCCACTAGCTGATCACGTGAAATTGCAGTGTGCGAGGCAATTTATTATGTAAGAGCGAGCGGAAACTGCGAACCAAAATTGATCATTGTTATCACTGTAGAGGTAAATAAAATTGTCATAAGCAAAGTGTTTCTAGAAACTTTGATATCAATTAAGATTTTTTCCGCTGAATTTTATATTTTTCGATTATTTTATCTAATTACGTAACCTTGTCAGTGGGTCTTTGTTGCTGGGCTTGGTGTTAAATTTCATAATTCTTGATTTAACATTGCTGACATTTTTACAGCGATGTACCCCAATTTTTGGAATTTTCGGCTTCAAATGAAAGTTGATGTTTAATCTGGGTTTATTTTGTACACTTTCAGGCGAGAAACCTTTTCCTTGCACATGGGAAAACTGTGACAGGCGGTTTGCAAGATCTGATGAACTAGCTAGACACAGACGGACGCATACTGGAGAAAAGCGTTTTGCTTGTCCCCTTTGTGGAAGGCGTTTCATGAGGTCTGATCATTTAACAAAACACGCAAGAAGACACATGACAGCCAAGAAAGTTCCAGGGTGGCAGTTGGAAATGAATAAACTGAACCAGGTTGCCACTATGCAGCAGCCAGCATCTAATGGCACACAGCAGCCTATGCAAATTACAAGTAACTCTTTACCAAGTATGGTATTGCCAGTGTCAACTGTGAGCACAGCAACATTACCCACTGGTACACAATCAGTACATTCATGATTATGTAACAGTCAGAGAGAGAAAGAGGTGGGTCCTCTGTGGGCTGCGCTATAAGCCAAGAGAAAGGCACAATGGTGGATGTCAAGTCAAGCTTGGATGGGAAAATAAATGAAGAACTGCCTCATATAAATATGGTAAACATTTGTACAAATTGATGCTACAATGATCAATCTTTTTAAGAACAACTTGGTCACACCGAAGACAGGCATAAATTTTTAACCAAGCAGAGGGAATTTCTTCCCAAATTTAAGTTATGGTTGTTGTATTAATTGTAGTCTGGTTGGCCTCCCATGCAGGATCATGGCAACTGTGTTGTGTGTTCATGTTGATTTCATTTTGTGTTTGTCAGAAATGGATTAACAAAAATGGAACTTGTCCATTTACATTAAGGGTCTTTGAAGATTTGTTGGCTAGCATGGCTGGTGTTGCTACATTAGAAGAGTTTAATATATTTGCTGTAAATAAGAAAACCAATTTATTTAGTTCTGCATGTTGAGTTTTATGTGCAGACTGTCCATATTGGTGCCAGTGAAGTTAAGAAATAAGTGTAAAATCAGTTAATTAAAAAAATTATCAATTTTAAAAAAGTTTAGTTGCTGAAGGTTGTGCTTGAATTGTAGGTTTAAATTTGTAACTTGAAAAATATTATGTAAGATGTGTTCATAATTTCATACTTAGTATTTATTTTAGGTTAAGGAAAACCAAACTGATTCAAAACTTTTCCAAAAAAATTGGACTGAAATCTTGTGTACCTGTTACTTTTAACTTTTCAGGAATTTCGTACGTATAATTTATTTCGGTTCCTTTTCGTTGCAGTGAAAGTATACATTACTATACATAGGTACGTGTAAAAAAAAAATATGAAAATTTAAGTTATGCTTTTTTAAACACTCTTACGCCGATACAAGTTGTAAATAAATTGCCTTATTGAAAGCAAGATGCGTACGGTTTGCTTGATCAAAGTCTGCCCATTCTTTACGCCTTAGGCGCCTGTCCTTCGAAGGATTATTTATACACTGACTTGTTCTAATTGAATATTATCAGAAGACCTTATGTGATAATTGGTTTGCGTCAGTGGGGAACATTTTCAAATATCAGTCGAGGGTTTCGTGTAACTCTTTTATCACGTGAAAAGCACGAGCTGTGCATTAGTCGTGTTATCTTAATTTCGTTTCGGCTAGTTACAGACCCGGCCATGTAGATTACCTTTTCATTTGAAGGACAATGAAAATTATTCTCTCAACAGAATAGAAAAACGATATTAAGCTATCTTTAAAACAAAAAAAAAACGGAAGAAGGATGGAGAATTAGAAAGCGGCTTGCTAATTATGAACTTGTTAAAAATGTGACTAAATCAAGATTAAGGTAGCCTTTCCATTAAGCGCGAACTATGACGTAACTTTGAATGATCGTCGCAAGTGAAAGGCAGAATTTCTATAAGATAATTGGCAAAGAGAGGCCTATGTCGTCTTTCTAAGAGCGAAGATCAAACAGCTTTCACGAAGAAAGGATTAGAGCCATGGTCAAGAAAACGGACAAAATTGTTTTCCGCGCTCAGTATGATGCTCAAACAAGAGACGGTCCACTATTCGCCTGAAAAGATGGGTCTGGAGTTCATTCTTGGGACCATTCATATCTTATATGAGAAGGGTCGTTAGCATAATACAAACTTTCTTTTCTTCTGATTGAACCGACAGTTCCTTAACTGAACAAGTTTATTATCATTCAGACGTGAGCTATTGTGATTATGTTCTGAGCTTTATAGTTAATATTTCATTCGCAGTCTTTTCACTAATATTGGATGGACAAATTTCCATTCCTTTCCCTCTTCATTAAGGCCAATTTCGGTTAGCACCCTTACCTTAATACCGTTTGGAGACAAGTTGGAGGGATGTTTAAATTTGAATATAATTTCTTCTAAGCTAGAAGACTACGATTTGCCATAGTGTGTTGTTCAAACGACTCACCCACAACCCCACCCTCAAATACTTCTAATTTTTTTGCGCATACAGATCCTTTTTGATTGACTAATTTTTTTCATTACAAAAGCTGATAATTATGTGCATAATTTTGTCTTGGAAGCTTGGTCAGGCTTTGCGCAATCGTCTAGGACCACCAAACCAACCAATCACAATAAAGTTGTCACATGGTCGCACGCGAGCCATAGTTTTGACGGTCGTACACGTTCGATGTTTGAATGTTCGCTCGTCGCTTACTTTTTCTTTAAAAGTTCAAGATAAATCAGTCACCATTCCGCGTTTAAAAGAGGGAAGAATTGTCTGCTGCGACCCTGCGGTGAAGGTGAGACATTTTTGTCCATATTTTATGGAATTACTGGCTTTTCATATGCGACATTGAAGTCCACCTTAACTGAAAGTAATGGCCGTTCACCCACCTTTCTCCCGACCTTTATACAGGGCGGCCATACTGCGAAAATCTACTCCAACTGCCCAGAAGCTGACTTCCTGAAGAAGGAAAAGTTCGAATTCACCTTCAACGTGGATTCCGACCCAAGCTAGCGTTTGCTAAGGGTGCATTTTTGAGAACAGTCGTCATGTAAGTATACAACCATGCATTTTCAAATGTACCACACGGCTTTTCCGCAATAGAGTTTTAAGACATGTTTTCGCCGAGAGGCTGTGTTAGCTCTAGGCCCCTCGAGTTAGTCTTGGTTTTTTTTTGCTCCCCACATTTTATAAGTGCTTTCTTTCTCGATAAAAGCATAGCTAACGCGTGAACTAAAAGTTTTATAACCTTCTATAACCTCAGGTTATTTTTAAATCTTTTTGTAACAAACAGTTAGTGATTTTTATTAAAACCTCTTCTTTCTCGAAAAAGATGCTCAAATGAAATACGAAAGGGGTTTTATAAACAATGGTTATAGGACTGAATGGAATCCAATTCGGTCTGTAACTATATGAGTGATTAACAAAATTAGACAACTGCGAAGTGGGAGTTCAATTTGTTAATTTCGAGTATGATTACAGGCAGAATTGGATGACATGAAGTGCTGTTACCAAGAAATCAAAACTATGGCAAAATTTTGAGAAAGAAACTAGACATCGGTTGTTTAAAGAAAATCAACAGTTAACTTGGCAAAATGCGAGACAACAGTGCATGCTCATGATGCATTCTGTCCACTTGCATAGGCATAACCTATGAACTGTCCTATCACACTGTCCAATTACAAGCATAATGCGCACACTGTCCTATTAGGGTTCAAATTGGGCTGGTGATAACCAATCACATTTGAGAATTAAGTTATAGCTTTGATTAAGGGTGGATAGCGCTGCCCAGGGGATAAATTGCTTTCCGGCAAATAAGTGATAGCAAAATGTATAGTGCTATTCGCCAGATGGAGATTCGTCTAGTGGATATTGTTATCTGACCTTCAAAAAATAGTGGCCAGGTGAGTAGCTTCTGAAGAAAGGCACAAAAGGTTATGGAGGCTCTCATAATTTTAATCAGAAATCTAGATTTAAGATTAAAAAATCCAGAATAAACCAAAATAAGTCTGAAAGACCTTTTTTAATGTGTAGCTAAGAGCAAACAAGATTGTCATCATATGACCAGTACAGCCATGTACACGCAATCACATATGAAAACCACAGTGGAAGCTGATGTGTGTCAGTCTGTAAGGGTTGACATGTGCTTGTCTGGAAATAGCTGTGTGGCCCTTCAGTCAAATGGCTTTGTTGCAAAATTTTCTAGGAAAAAAGGAAAAGGCTGAAGAAAGTTGTGTTTTTGTTAAAGTGTGAGCTTCTTGTTCTGATTTGGAGAAAACAGCAATGGAAAATTTTTATTGTAGAATCATTTTATGGTTGTCCTGCATGCTTCTGTCTTTTGTTCTTTTAACCTCGAGCCAATATTTTCCTGTCTGGCCTTCCACTCAGTCATTAAGTACATGTATATATTATTAGCTTGATGAATTAAAATTCAAGTGGACATCAAAGACTTTCCACAAGGCACCCTTTTCAAACAAAGGCTTATTTCTCTTGTATGCAATCAGTCTTTGGAATCAGATTTTAGAGCCAATATGTAAATTTGTCTGGTTTTGCAGATGACCAGCAATTGGTTAATGTTTTTGCATGTATTATCCAACATATGGAGTAGGCAGGAAGTTTTCACAAGATATATATTGGAGTGAAACAGTTGTTTTTTATCTTGATAATCTTTGATTTTGACGATATGTAGTGTGGAAAACTGATACCTCAAGCCAATATTTTCCCGTCTGGCCTTCCACTCAGTCATTAAGAACATGTATCTATTATCAGCTTGATGAATTAAAATTCATGTGGACATCAAAGGCTTTCCACAAGGCACCCTTTTCAAACAAAGGCTTATTTCTCTTGTATGCAATCAGTCTTTGGAATTAGATTTTAGAGCCAATATGCAAATTTGTCTGGTTTCGCAGATGATTTTGATAATGTGCAGTGTGCAAATCTGATATTTTGTTATAGTTTATTTTATTTCATTTCAATTTCCTTATTCTATCAAGTCACAAGAATAAGAGGTCTTCAATGTTGCCAATCTTGACAGTATGCAAAATTAATGTAACATATGAACATGCAGGGTACAGTTAAATTGATTTTGGGCAAGTTGGAATCATTGTCCATTAGTCTAAAGGCTTTTCTAACTAGCCTTCCTCCATATCCGAACAGAATAGTGAAAATTTGTGAGTTGCCCTTTGGGCAAGTGATGAAACAAACCCACTGTCACAGCCTGGATGGAATATTAACTACATTAAGTGGCAAATGTTTTGGCACATTCCACAACTTTTTTCATTTTCCCTATAACTTTTATTTTCCTCGTAGTGAAAAAAGAAAAAAAAGATTTTGGTGAGAGATCATCACTCTTTTGCTGCTGTTTTATCAGAAATGGGTTTGGGTAATATTGATACAAGGGTAGTGCAAGGTTTTGTGTGAACAACTGTGAAATAGGTAGTAAAATCTCACAATTATCTTTTGGGGGGGGGGTTGGTGAAATTCACCATGCCTAATGATCTCGAACTTTAGAAATATTAGTTTTAAATCGCAAAGAAATAACTCAATAAAGCCTTTTCAGTTTTATTTACTTGTGTGAAGTCTGCATTTAGCTCTTTTCTTGGCGTGGTATTAAAATAAAATAAAAAAATGCTGCAACAGCTACCTCAAAGCAGCTAAAGTTTGAAATTGTGTGCTTAAGCATTAAATATTATCTTGATATATTAGTGATTAAACACCTACACTACCCCTTTGTTGTGATGAATGAAAATGAACCAGTGTTGATAATTGGCTCAAAACTGAACCCTTTCCTATGCAACGATGAGAAGGTACAAATGGGTTGTTTAAGAAGAGATGCATTACTGAGTATGTGTACATCCATATTTTCTACCAGAGTTTAAATGTTCTTGGTTTTCCTGACAAGATCTTTTAGGGAATTTGGGGAGATAAATGACAGCTCTAAAACCTTTGGATTTTTCTCTACTAATTATCACTTGACCTAGGGATTTCCTTTTATTTTTCATTGCTTATTTCATCCTTCCAAAGAGCAATAGCTTGGTTAAAACAATTTCCATCACTACTGACCATGACTTCTCTCCTTTGAAGAGGAATATTTTTAGACATTGTAATATGTTTGTTTCATATGTTAACAAGTACAAAAACAGGAAGTACAAAAATACAACTGAAAAGACTTAAGTGTGCTATATCTGTGTGGTTGAAGGTTAATTTTGTGATATGATGAGGCCATTACAGGATTGTGATTACATAATTATATGATAGACCTTTTGCAAGGAGAGAAGGGAATTGGTATAATTTACAACATATTTAATCTATCTATGATAAAACTTTGGCAAAAGCCTTGATCTCTCTCCAAAATCATTTTTAGGATGTTGAAGCAACCTTTTGCCATATACTTCCTTCTAAGAACTTGCAACCTTTTGCCCCATGGCAATTCCACAAACCTTTGTGCAAACACAAGGATCCCTTTAACTAGCAACTTGTTCATTTCAATGTTGCTTGGTGTTGCAAAATGGGCACAAATTCAGACAACAATGTTTAGGGAAAAGGGGGAACTTGCTAGTAACCTATTAGAGATGAATGCAAAAGCTCTATTTTTATGTTGAGTGGAGGTTTTTCTACCACCTAGTGAGGGGAGGCATGCCAACTGCTTTTGCCACTCATTGTAACATTAGGGCTATTGGTGTGGACTTTCTACGCACTCTGATATAATGATGGCCTTGCTGACTATAGAGTCTCTGTGGCTTTTTGTTAAGAGTATAGGAGTGTGGAATCTGAAGGTCTGAGGTCCAATTCCTTATGGGAACTCTGAAGCTTTTCTTTACCTCATTCTTTTTATGAGGGAAAAAATATACTTCAACATATATGCATTTTTCATTGACAAACCTCTTGTGAGATATTTTGCTATGTATATGAAAATAAATGTAACGGGAGACTACTCTTCAATTTTACAATTAGAAATTGATTTAATGGTTGGTAAAAATCTGTTTCACTGGGAGGTGTTCTTTGTCATTCCTTTGGCTTTGTATATCAGACTGAGGATAGAGTACACATACACATTAAATGTGAAAGGTTAACATTTCTATTCAACCAAAAGAATTTGGTTCATCAACTGAGTTGATAATGAAAATTGGCAACTGTGAAAAGTTTTGAAAGGTGAAATTTCAAGTGTTTGCCTTACATCAGAGCAAATATATTCTTTTAATACCCTTCTACTGATGCAGTGCCACAATTTCTATAGAAACTTATTCCTTTTATTTTCATTCACAGCCTTCCTAGGTAATTGTTCAAGATGAAGTGTTCTCTTGGAGAAGATGTCATACTTGACATATTGGAGGATCAGTTGTCCTGCGTGGATGTTATTGAACGAAAACTTTGTGCCTTGGGGAGAGAGGTTTGAATCCATTTATCTCTTTTTTAGTTTAATGTACTAGTTTTTTGGGGGGATTGCAGATATTAAGTCTTGAATGCAAACATCACCTTGCATTTTGATGTTTGCAAGAAGACCCTGATTATGTGGTGAGCTCTTCAGCCTTTTAAAGTCCTTGTGATTGTTCATACTTATAGAAGTACTACAAACATTATGTTGTGTTTTAACATAGATTTATCATTCATTTGTACAAGGTTAATCCTGTTTTTTAAATCTGTATTGGGATGATTACTCTAAGTGATATAATGTGTAAGAAACAAAAGCAATGTATTATAAGATTAAACAAATGTTTTAATCTTCATTTTGCTGGGGTTAACTGAATAAAAATTTTAACTTGTAATCTACAAGTTGAACCATTGTATTTAGAAGTACCGACAAAGACAAGTTTAATAACCATTGTTACAAGTCCAGGTTGCAAGTGTCCAGTTAGTAATTACAGGTGTAGCACTATAATTGTAAAAGATGGTAAGTATCAAATTTGATAAAACTATTGGAAGAGTCCAACTTGTCTTTTAATTAATAAGGGTCCAACTTGAAAATCACTTGTGCAAAATACAAGTTTCACATCACTTGTAGACATGGACTACTACTTCTGAAAAAGGACATTGGAGTGTCACAATATGTCATCCTCTAGAGAAGGGGAATTCAACAAGCTGCTGAGACATCAAGTTATCTGTTAACCAAGGAATTCCTAAAATAGATGGCTTTTCAACATCAAAAATCCAGGGAAATTAGAAGTTTAGAAGTTTCGTCTGCCTGTGGAGGCCTCAGCAATGGCAAGACAGCAACTTTTAGTGTTTCTCCACTTCCATGGAATAAATTCCTTCTATAACTTAATGCACTCTTGTCATGGTGTCTCCTCATCAACAGTATGGCATATCATTCATCACTTTGTCCCTGCAATAATTAGCTTTTGATGGGTGTTCATATGATGGCCTGGCTGGCCTCTTAGTATTGCCTCTGAATTCAGAGACATTGCAGGCTTTCTGTGTGTTGCAGGCTGCTTTGATGAAACTCGCATCCCTGTGAACCCACCTTGCAATGATGAAGATACCTACATCAACCTCCATCATTCCAAATCTCAATGTTGCCATGGTAGCAGGCCCAGATTACACCATCATCTTCTGGACCACTAATGAGCAACAAGGGAGTAGACAATTCCTGGAAGCAGTTATTTAAGGCAACTCTGCCTACACCTGCAACAACTGGTGGATCCCCCCTTTCAGAGGAGAGGTGGAAGGGGCTTGCCGCAGGTTTAATAAGGTGCATGAGAAAACACAATGCACTATTGAAAGGGAACATGGTGTTCTCAAGAAGAGGTTCCAAGCTCTCCAGACAACCATGTGAGAATGAGAAACAGGGAAAAAAAATGACAATAGCATTCTCATTTCATTACCAACCAGGCTCACATGTTTAAGAAGGTTGATTCATTTAAATGTGGATTATGACTATTTACCTTCAAAGCTAGGAGTTGTTGTGACAACAATCTCCTCTCCAAATACAATATCCAGATCGTTGACTTTCACTGGCTCTGTGTTGGCACTTTCATGGCTTAAAACATTGGGGACAGTCTCATCTTCTCAGTTTACTCTCCACTCCCCCTGCACCAGTCTTCTTTGATTTGCTTACTTTTTTGTGTGGAGACCTAGCCTACAGATGGTAGCCCATAGAACATTGGAGGGTTTGGGCACTGTCTATGTTTGTGCTAAGGCCATTTAATTGCATATGAAACTTTTCCCATGTTGCTTGCTTTACTTTCTCTATCACTGGTGCTAAAACTATTATTCTGTGTTCCCTCATGAGCTGAGCCAAAAGAAAATTTTGCTGTGTGGATAACATGCCGAATGACTGACAAGAATAAAACTGTAAGCAAACAAAGCAAAGCAGCATATGTTGAAGGGAAAGTAATGATTTTTAACTGCATTTGTAAAAGATGTGCTAACATTCAAGCAGAGTCAACATTTATAAAAGGGTCACAATTGTGGTTCACCATAAGTGGTAAGATGGCAGGAAAAAATAGCTATTAAGAGTGAAAATTGACAAATTTTAACCATTAGTCGTAGAGAAAATAAACCGCGAAAGAAAATTCTTTCAAAACTAATGGGAAGAAAGTAACCTTTAGCCTCAAAATCCATCACCCTATTGAGACTGTCTTGTATGATTCTACCATTGTAATTTACACTTGTGTACTGACTCGAGATACATGTGTAAATTCCAGTGTGGAATATTGTTTTATTAAATTCTTGTCATTACAAGTCAGACTTTACCTGCATATATTACACATGTGAAAACTACAAGTGTATTTTCTTTATTAAATTGACCCCTGTTGTTTTTTTTGTACCCAAGGACCCTGATGATGCCTTTTATATAGTAAACCTGGCTGATGTTCTTCTTAAACACAAGAAGTGGGTTTCTCTTCTTCCCCGAATAGAACCTTTTTATGGTTAGTGGATTTTTTTTTTCCTCTAACAAGATAGAGATTTTATGTGGACTACTGTAGAATAAAACTACCTTTTAATTTTGTTAATCAGTCAACTTTTAAATCCAGACATTGTAATGGCTGAAACTGCAATTGTTTGTTTTGTCTCCTTGTAGCAATGAAGTGTAACTGTGATCCTGTAGTCCTAAAGATGTTAGCAGGGTTGGGAATTGGTTTTGATTGTGCAAGCAAGGTATTAAATTTCCTGTTTAGCATTATCACCTAGTAAAGTCACTGTGGTGTTCTTTTATGAGTCTCTCATTTATTTTGTATTTTTTTAAACTTTTTTTGGCAGATTGAAATGCAAACTATGTTAGGGATGGGTGTGCCCCCATCTAAGATTGTGTATGCCAATCCTTGCAAGCAGGCTTCTCATCTCAGGTTTGTTAAGCTACTTTGCTATTAACATAGGGTGCCTGATCTTTACTGATAAGGAGCTGCAGATGCAAAAGTGTTCTTGGTTTGTGGTAATCATAAATTCAATCAAAAATTATCCCATGCTGAATTTACATTAATTGATACAAATGCAAATATGCAATATAAAATGTATACACACTGTGTATGCTACATGAGATATAACAAAGCCATACAACCATTGATATTAATACTTTGTTTGTTGGTCTTGAGAAAGTAATGTTATACTGCACTGTATGCCCTAGTTGATTGGTTCTAAATTTCCATTGCCTACAACTGTCCTTACACAGTTAAGAGAATTAGATTTATGATTACTCTCTAGAGTTGAAGGATCTTTTGGCCTTCTTTCTTTCTTATGATTTTGGTATGTTTCACATTAGATATATTTTACAATTAAAATTTTCAGATTCTCTGAGAAGCATGGAATTTCCTTGATGACATTTGACAATGAGCTGGAGTTGCACAAGATCAAAGAGTTGCACCCTGCAGCAAAGTAAATATTACCTCTTAAGTTGGAAGTACTGAGTAGATACAGGATAGGCTATGTCAAACATCCTAAAAAAAAGATACAGAGAAGGATGTGTTGAACAACACTCCTGGGACCTTTGCCACTGTATGCTGTTCGCAAGTGTCATTGTTCACGGTTGTTAGTAGAAGCTGGTAGGTGGTACAGACCTGTCAGCTGTGCTACTTTTGTGCCAGCTACCTAACAAGTAGTGCTCAAAGACAACTGATTATAACTTTGATGTTGTAGAGAAAAAAGGCCCAAAGATGTCCGAGAGTGCTGAAAATCTTGTCTCAGAGAGTTTAATATTTAAAATTTTTTCAGGGGAACATGCCCTCAGACCTTCATATGAAGGGCATATTGCATAAAACCATGCTTGCTGCACAAGCATAATAAAATTCAGCCACCTACTCAGTTGAGATCATGCATCTATTATGTTTGCTAATAACAACCCTGCCATTTAAAAGTACTTGAACTTAGCCTCTGTTTAGCATCCTTAGGTCTTATAAAGCGATTTCTCCTTGTAATAGATTACTTCTGCGCATCAGGACAGATGACTCCAAGTCCCTCTGCCAGGTTAGCACAAGGATTTTTGCTGCTTCTTGTGGGTGGGTTAGTGAAAGCATGTTGTCTGGAAAGATGTATGGAATAGTTTTTTTAGCTGTGCAAAACCACCATTAACTTAAAGAGGGTAATTTGTAAAGGGACAACAATGATTAAAGTAAAAGCAAGATCTTCAGAGTACAGTGAGGATTAAAGTGGTTTGCAAATCATGATTTTTAAAATAGAGTTTAAATATTTCAAGATGCTCAAATGCTGATCTTGTCCTTGGTGGTGAATGTGACTTGTATATTCCCCATCTTCTTGGCCCACCTGACTACCCACTATGGTGACACGTTGCAGATTTTCTGTTAGTAAAACTATCTTATTGTTTTAATTAGCTTGGAATCAAGTATGGTGCTCCTTTGAAGCAATGTCGTCATCTTCTTTCTGTTGCCCATGCACTTAATTTGAACATAATTGGAGTAAGGTAAGATAGTGAAAAATATGTTTTCCTACTTTTTTTTTTTTTTTACTTTTCTGAATTCTTTGGCTATGATGAAAATGACTTGCCCTTTCTTAATTTTCTTATGTGATGAGTATGTTAATGTACTCTCTGAGCCAGTTTGATCTGAATGATTTGGTGTCAGATCACTTTGTTCTTCTTGGATTGAAAAGTTGTTTTGTTCTGTTTAGTTTTCATGTTGGCAGTGGATGCTATGATGCAAGTGCATATGCAACAGCCATTTCAGCTGCTCGAAGTGTGTTTAACGTTGCTGTGAGTAACGCTGGATTTATGTTAATAATTCTGATATCAAGAGGAATCAACATCATTATTTCATTATATTAGTTGTGGTTCAAAGTTAATCAAATGATTAAATTTTAACTCCCCTTGCAAAAGTAACTCCTTGGACTTGCACGTGCAGGGGATAATTTGTGTGCATAAGCCACCAAGTGAAGGGAGGAAGTTCATATTTGGTTTGTTTGGGCATCATAGATGAGGGCTTTTTTTTAGTAGAAACCTTGAAGTAATACATGACTTTGCTAAAACTGCATCCAGATGAATGCTGGGACTGGCCAACCGTGTACCAGGTTCCTCAAGAAACATGTTGTTTTACACTTCCTCTATCTTTGTTATTGTTGTGTGAGATGCAGAGCCCATAAAAGAGTTACAGAAACTCATCAATTGGAAATAAAGATTGTTGTTGACAGTTGGTACCTTTAGGGATGTCTACTGTCGTTTCCACATTTCCACAGAGATCAATGATCTTGTCCCTTCATGGACAGAAAAAAGGTTTGCAAACACAGCTTCAAAAGAATTTTTTGGTTCTGTACCTCACACAACAACAGCAAAGATCAAGGCTGTGTGAAATAATATAGTGGTTAAGCAAGAGGACGGGAGCATCATTTCAGAATGGCGCGCGCAGCAAAAATGCTGAGAAAAAACTGGGTTGAGAATCCCGCCGTCGTGTTGAAAAGTGACTTAGCAGTTGTTTCAACAAACCGTCCATGTTATATTTGTTCTTGAATATCCTAACCTTGGCTCTTTAGGATCATTATCAGCTTTGAATTTTCAGTTTCATGGACCATTTGAAGGACAACGAAATTATCCTCTGTGAGAGAGTAACAAGCACAAACTGAGAATAGTTTACTACAAGCGAGTTGTTAATATGAATCCACATGGGCGATTAAATTTTGAAATTATTTCATTCCAGTTCAGTCTCGAGTCTGCAGATTCATCTATCAAATTTTGAAGCCCACTAAATATTTTTTTCCCTATGATTTGTATCGCTGTCATTTCGTTTCTTGCTTCTAGATTTTAGCACTACTCTTTTTTCTTTATAATTTGGTAAAGTACAATTTGGAATTGAAATCGTCGCCGTTTTTCCCTTGTTTACTGAATATTCTTCTCAATCATGACAGTACACCTCTTTTAAGCACCACCTTCTTAGAGTTGCAATGCATTTTGAACGGAGTTATCAGGAATTTTGGCAAAAACATGTAGAGATCAAGCAACCCAATGATGGAGTTGTTTACAATGAGTTCCCGTTTAACCATAAACGAATGAAATGCACTCAAGCTAGTCACCAGTGAAATGGTTAGACTGAGGAATCAGACTTCGTTCTTGTTTTATTTTGTTTTTGTTTAATTTAATTTAATTTTTTTTAACGAATAAAGTCGTTCAAGACTGAATCAAATTAATAGATTTAGAGAGCCTTGCCGAAATCACGTTGATTGTTATTTTCTTTTGTAGATGACTTTCTTATCTAGGTTTTCACCGGTGCTGATCAAAACTAAAGACATAAAAAAGTGCAAACCCAAGCTATTCTCAAATTTTTTGTTATCTCTGACTTCAATTCGTAGAACACTTTTTAATCACGGTTAAAACGACAATGACAACAGATAACACTGAATAATATAGCACGTAACCTTAGTGTTGTTTTATTTTGATAAACTTCAACATGAAGCAAGTTTAATTTATTGATGAATTAGTTCACGATAAAATTAACAGCACCCGTTCTTAAGAGTTTTCATACATGGTTTAAGAAATGTATGAAAGAAAAGCCCTTACACGCTCAATTACAAAAGGTAACTGAGCCCTAAAATCTTAGATCACTTGCTGACGGTCGTGTTTTTTCTTGGGAATCCAGAGTAAATGTAGCAGTAAATTTTCACAAATTCACCGAATAAAACAGAGAAAGGAACCTGGTTATCCTGGAAATGAATTCTGAAATCATTCCAAACTGCATTATCTCGTCTTTAAGTGCACAATTAACACAGATCCTAGGCGTTTTGATCGGAAGTCGAATTAGAGTCGTGTCCAGATTATCCACGCGCTTTCCCGTTCTGAAACGACGTTCCCATCCTTTTGCGAAACTACTCTAATATACCCCTTAAGGGACCACATATAGGGTTGGCCAATCCTAATGTTCATTCAGACCCTAGAATTAGCAAAGTTGAGTAAAGGTCTTAAAGGAGGGTGAAAATGCACATTGGCCTTAAACGATAAACCTGAAAAATAAGACCAAATTGGGTGCCTCTGACTGCCTTGTCCAAGCCTCTGTGTACCAGTTTCTAAATTATATACTCTTCTAAGCTAATTTTTTCTCTGTCTTTGCTCATTAATTTTGAATTTCAACTCAGGTTGAGATGGGATTTGAATTTTCAATGCTTGACATTGGTGGTGGTTTCCCTGGAGCGCCAGATGCGGCCATTACTTTTGAAGAGGTTAGGTTTTGTGAGTATGTGTGAACTTCATAGTGAGCTTCAACAAGCCATAGTTCCTGAAACGACTAAAGTGCTAGTTGTACATTTGCAACAATAGGACTTTGCTGGTATAAAAGCACAAGATATTATCAGTGCGTCAACCATTGTCACATTACAAAATATGAATATGGAGTACAGGTAAACAAGTATAAGATAGATGATGGTGATCATGTTGACTTGTGAAGCATGGATGCCTTTGATCAAGGTGTATAACCATCTAGCGTACTGAAATTAATCATTTATAGAGTAGTGAGCATCAACAAAAAGTGTCTACATTCTGATACAAACAATGAAGTAGTATTTTTGTTCCCTTGATTCCCTCTTGTAGGTTTGTTCTATTCTGAATCCACTATTGGAGGAACATTTCCCAGTAAGCTCAGGTATCCGCATCATAGCAGAACCAGGCCGTTACTATTCTGCATCAGCCTTTACTCTTGTTGTCAATGTTGTTGCTTGTCGTTCTGTGAAGGCCAGTCAGTTTAATGGAAATGATCTGACCATTGGTACTCCTGAGTACAAGGACTCTGATGAGCTGGTAAGTTTTACAAAAATAAAGTCTCCTCAAAATTACAACTGATATGAAATCATAGGAAAATTAAATCTCGTAGGAAGAGCAAATCCATTACAATTATGTGAATTTTCAAATCAATGCACACAAAATGATTACAGCTGAAAATGATTTTCATGACTGTTGTTGAATGGCATGACCCTACCACTTGAATAGTTTTTGTTTTTGTTTTTTTTTGCTGATGTGAAATTACCCCTCTCACCTCAAATGGTGTTGAGCTCAGCAAATATTTTTTATTTTTTAAATCTTTACCAAATGAAGGCTGCTTAACTTAGATTTTTGTGTAGTTAGGTATTAAGTGGTTTTAATTTTCTGTTACAGTTTTGGATAAGGGCATAAATGTATAGTAGATTAAATGAAGTCAATCTTTTTTATTCATGTTTGGTAACCAATTGTGAATATTCAATCTCCACTCCAGGGTTTCATGTATTACATCAATGATGGTGTGTATGGTTCCTTTAACTGCCTGGTCTTTGATCATGCAACTGTGCACCCTGAAGTCTTTGGTGCTGAACAAACTGCTCCAAAATTTCCTTCAAGCATTTGGGGCCCCACTTGTGATTCTTTGGACTGTATCACCAAGAGTGCATTCTTGCCAAAGGTATATTTTGAGCTTTAAATACAATTTTAAGTATTATTGTAAGTAGTTTTACTCTTTGCAATATATGTCACTGATTCTATCTTTGAGGTTACACAAGCTTGGAGACTTTGTTCAGAAGTTTGAAATAATAAGTTAAAGGAATTAATTTACATTTACCACCTTTTTTCATGTGCCAAATGTGGGTCATTAGTCCTGAGAAGAAATTTCAATTTTCATCTTCTGTTTGAATTAGATTGAAGTTGGGCAGTGGCTTTATTTTAGAAACATGGGAGCTTATACTTGCTCAGCAGCTTCTACCTTCAATGGATTCAACAAACCTATGAAGTACTACACTATTTCTATCAGCTGCTGGTAAGGAAAAGAGGCTAAATATTTCGGAAGTTGTGTCATGTATGATTGGATGATTTGGTTTTATAAAAAGAGTTGGTAATGTAAATTAACCACTGTAAAGGGTTTCTAAAACTTGCATTTCAAGGATTAGCATGTTGTCAGAGCAAATTACCGGTACAAGGGCTCAGACAAATGGCTAATGCTTCAAACATCAATTAAGAAACTCCTTACCATAGCCAAGTTGCATTATCAACTCAGTTGATAAGACCAAATTATATTATAATAAATCCCCCTTCTCAGTGACACAGTACCACTGTTACTTCAGGAGCTAACCCCCTTTATTCATGCATGATTGTTTACTTTGGAGTCAGGGAGAACGGAATGATTTGGTGTGTGTACTTGATCAAGACATTTGACTTGACATACTTGTAGTGCCTCTTTTTATATTTTGGACCAAATGGTTCCTGGCAAATTTGTAGGGTGGTTTGAAGAACTGCTATTAGTTTGTGTGATTGTCTAAAGGAATTGCAATGTAGGTCTTGTGGATGGTTTTTTAAAGATGTGCAAATTACTTTAGGGTGTCCTTTGTTATTGAATACGTTTAGGAATGTAATCTGTTCTTCTGATTTAGCAAAATTGAAAAACATGGCTTTGATTTTGCTCTGTGTAAACTTACCAGAATCTTTAAAATCGATTTAACTCCTTGGAATTTTATCTTTTCCTCATGGGTTTGTTAGATATTTTTAGTTATTGTTGACATTTTCCCTTTTGTACTTGGAACGTTACCATTAGGGTTTTATCATCCTTTTCTCAGGCCTATGCTGAAAAAAGTCTTGGAGAAGATTGGTTTGAATGTGCACTGGCCTTGTCACATCTCTGTAGATCACAAGACGGCCATTGGTAATGGTCCTGAATCCTTGGAAATAATCACCTCTGCTCCATAACTTAAGAGGGAAGAGAGAGAAGAAAACCTGCCCCTCTTTGATTAATCTCTTCCCTAGTGAACTGAGAACCAAACATAAGGATTAAAAAGGGTTGCTATTACAATAAGCAGAATACAAATATTATACCAGATTTAACGTTTTGAAGTTAAGTACCCATATTTAAAAACTCGACATTGTTACAGAGGTAGAACTGAAGTGTTACAAGTAGTTTTAAGTTGCTTTAGTATCTAATCAATAACAACATGAGATAACCGTGATCCACTTATTTGATCGAGATTTGTGGCTGTTCATCGTTATGTTTATGCTATGGCTTAGCATGAGGTCTCTTGGCAATGCACCAAAGAAAAGGGTATATTTATAAATTACAATATGTCATAATCGTGTGAAAGGAGATTTTATTCGTTATAGTCATGGATTTTCCTTACATTAGTCATGTTACTGTTGAGTTGTTGTACAACATAGCAGTGAAAGGTTATTTAATATTAAGAATTGTGTTGCTGGTCTCTCCACAAGGGTTGTTGGGCATACAAAATGTAATAGCTCCACGAATGCGCAATTATAGAACCAAATTGGAGTTGACTGAGTTTTAAAAACGCTGTAATTGTTAATTCATGAAAGAAAACTAATAAATCTGTAGTTAAAGGGCTTTTGGCTTTGTTTCTGCTTGATTTTTCATCTAACTCTATGTCAAAGATTTACTCGGATTTAATATTTTTTTTTACTCTTGGCGCCCTCTATACTTGAGTTCTACTTTTCTTAACCCTCCAAAAAATTCCTAAACAAAACTTTTCATTCCCAATGAACAATTTCCTGACCCCCAGATTATTAAAGAATCGCTTCCATTATACGCAAAAGATTTGCTGGGATATTTTGTTCTCGAGGCTCACAGTTGTCCACAAGCTTCGCTCTCAAGACTGTTCACTTCACGGGACAGATAAAGTTAGAGAGGGTAAACGTGACGGGAAAAGAGAAAAGTATAGTGACCAATTTGTCCCACTAATTTTGACGTTTGCAGGTTTCAGCGTGAAGAAAGGCGGTATCGCGTTATTGAAAAATGTGAGCAAAAAGCATATGTTTATCCTATTGTAAAGTACTGGCGAGCGTGTGCTTGGAGGCGAAGCCTCTTAACTCCTTCTTTGAGGTAAAATAACTGTCTTTATCCGGAAATTACCAGGAAAATAAAAGAAACGTAAGAGTCTTCTTCGTGAGCTTCGTTCAAACGCTTTGTCTAGTTTCGCAACATGAAGCAATTTTCTGCCGCAGGTGTCAATTTAGGTAGGATGATTTGAAGAAGTTCCAAGGAAATTTCCGAACGATCATCAAATCATTTGAAAGTAGAAAGATAGCATGTTACTTTGGCAAAGTCTTGTGTTCCTAGGATAGTATTTAGCTTTCCCGTAACACTAAAATTTGCATGTTTACCAGGTAAACCTGCTCGCATGTCGAATTTTGAAACTTTTGAAAATTTCTCCCGTATATCAAGTCAATAGAACCTTTAACTATTTTCTTACATACATTCATCAAAGGGAGTGTTATGGCGAGATAGAAAAATTCTTTTGTCGTCAGAATGAGACGGTGAACAGCAATTCAGGTGAGCCATCGTGTCCGCGGAGCCAAGCATATTTTCGCGCCAAGAAAGCTTTTGTTTACTTGCAATTTGCAGTGGACTTCATAACAGAGTACCCGCTGAGAACCTGGGTCATAGTCAGACAAACAAATATGGCGGATTTCTTGGAAGATGTTGGAGTTGGCTATTACCGCTCGTTAGATCCCCCGAAGAACTTTGTTGTAAAGTACGAAAATATTCTACTTCCAATAACTCAGTTCAAAATCATTTCAATTTAAGTCAGATGCAGTTGCTTTTAAAACGGAAGCCGTTTTGCGAGTCAGCTGTTTTACCTAATATTTCCATAGGGTGAATTTAAGACGAGTGACGGCGGCGAGCTATCTTCCAGAGTTTAAATTTGGTTCTCAGCAGAACGTAAATGATCAAGAGGGTGCTGAAGTTGCTGGAGAAGCTTTGGAAATGCAGGGGTTAAGACAAAGTTCGTGACAATTCTGTATAGTTGCGTCATCATCAATAAGTTTTATCTGACGAGTAGTTCTTGACAGTGTAGATAGAAAAGTATGACAAGTTTTTCTTTTACAAGTCCCCTTACTTAAAACCTGACAAGGAGACCAGTCATGGACGAAATTTGTTTGTATTTATGATCTGAAAAGGACTCTTGTCAAGTAAATTGTATAAGGCTCAAGAGGGCAGAAGAAAGTGTAATTTTAGCTCATTTTAGTTTTTGTCAGACTATAGCCACCTAGTAAGAGTTTGATGAATTTTTTTTTGTCATTAGAAATTGCACCTTTTTTTCGAAGGAGGTTCTGACATGTGAGGACTATGTCATTTATTTCAGATGGTACTATTGCTGAATTTAAATATTGATTGTGACTTTCATACTTAAAATAGACCAAGGTAAACCACCTGATCAAGATTCAGAGGAATCTATGTTTTATTGGCAACAAAAGATGTTCTCTCAGGTTTGTATCATTAGTGGCAATAGACCATGTGAGCTATGTGGTCACATGGTGTCAAATGGGTAAACAAGAATTCAAAATGGCTGCTTAAGTATGTGCTGCAGATGACATCTTATAGGTGAAATTCCTTCTTCTTGTCAAAATTTTCGTATTCACAGGTAAATCAGCTCTCAAAAGACTGTGATAATGCAGAAACTGTAATAATCAAAATGTCCAGTCTTAAATTGAGATTACAAACAACCTCAAGCTGGAGAAACAAACTTGTGAGCACACAATTTTTAAAGATCACAGTGATAGATAAAACGGGTGTAAAGGGAAGAAAATGAATGATAAAAAGAACTTTTGGGTGATTTTGTGATTTGAGGTTAGATTAAAGCTATATTTTGTTGTGAAAACTGCCAGGCTTTTTGTTTTGCATTGATTGGTATGCTCTAGTTTTTGATTGGCAGCCAGTTATTGTTCTCAAATAACTAAATGACTGGAAATTTTTTTTAAAACATTCAAGAATCTGAGGCAACCAATAAAATCCAAACTAGTATATGTGGATGAGGAACTCCTAAGCCATCACAAGGAGATTTATAACATTCATGTCTAATGCTTGGTTTATGCCAAGTTAAGTGTCAACATCCATGATTTCATTCACAAACCCACCTCAACTTGCATTTTAAAGGGAATTTATAGTTGTCAGGAATTTTTCAACTGTAAACAATGTACACGATCAACATAAAAAGGGAAAGTGTCACCATCTTTCATCACAAAGAGGGCCAAGACAAGATAAACAACTTCACTTTTACTTAAACTAAATTAAATTTTCCCTGACTCAAAGTGAATTTCCCTGACTCTTCCCTCGCCTTAAGTGATTCATTTTAGCTTGAATTTTCCTGATATTAAGCAACCATGCCACACATAACATTATCATGCTGGAAACAAAACACTATTTCTTTGTGAAATAGCTTCTTCTTGACTATAAAATCAACAAAGGACAGATGTCATCTGCTTTCAATCTCCTTGTATATCATGGATACTTAACTTTTGAAGCGCAGAATCCTCAGGGTATTTATGAAGAAACAAATCTAAATTTGTGGAAATATTGTTAGTGGCATACAGACACAATGATAATGGACTGTTCTATATGCTTCACGGTTGATATTGTTATGGGGCGACAACTGTTTACCCATTTTCGACCATGTGACCAATCTTTGACAAATGGAGCTAAAATGGCTTGACTGAGACCTAACTTTCTTGACCCTGTTCAATAAGCATTTCCTGATGACACAGATGTATACATTTACATGATGTATATATCCTGATGTATACATTTTATGGTTTCAAGTATTTTTTTTTTCATTTTAATGATAAATACCTTGTGTAGTTCCATGTGAATATTACATTCACTCAGTTTTCTTGAATCAAAACATCAGAGAGAGATGGAACTCTATGGAGATCTAACCAATTGTTTTGGACCTCTAGAGCAGAAATATCATGCAGAAATATTAAAGCTAAGGTATGTTAATCGATATGTTGAGGGAGATTTGTTCCCTGTCAATATGATTTTAGATGAGATAACTGATTAGCAGACTGAAAAATCTTAAGTAACGTTATTGATCCTCAATGAATCCTTGTTAAAAATGGAAACTGATTGTTAAACTTTATCGCCATGAATATTAACCTTCTGATGTCAGAAAAGTGCACAGTCTGTAATTCTTTGACTGAGTTTTGACGACATAAACATTTTTTTTTTTCTAAATGTCAGTAATCTTCTTAAATTTGAAATTCTATTTTGTAAGCTGAAACACAGCCAGGTTCAGCTAAACTTTATAACCTAAAGTATTAAAGGAAAAGTTGTCACATGTATTTGGGTGGTGGTATAAATTTCCCAGATAGTTTTTAATGAAGTACATGTTTGAAATATTCAGCTACTATTTTGTAGGGTGTATGAGAGTTGTATTTTGGTGGCATTTCAGTTATTTAAAAGTCAGAGGCTAGTTGTTTTAGATCTTGTTAGCACTATTTTTGGAGTGACTACCCCAGTAAACATTAAAAATCAATTTCATATTTAATGTATGAATTGAATGTTAAAACAGAACTTAGATGTGTGGTAGTTTTGACTGATGTAAACAAGATGTAAATGATTTAATTGTTCATAAAGCTACAAAACTAATCAACAATGTTGTATTGCACAACCCAGGCTAGTCTATTTGATTAATCTTGGTGCTATTATTGATTATTGTGTTTGAAGGAAAAAGGGTGGAAGACCAAATAGGAGACTTTTCTCTTACGTTGATTGTGATAGCTATGTTAATGTGGATGAGGTAGGTCAACAGAAATCAAAATCCTTATTGTTGTTTTCAGTTAGGAATAAAATTGTCCTTTACCTAGTGGAATCTTAATTACAATGTTGGGATTCAAACCCAAGTATTGAACCTCCTGTGTCATTCTTGGTCATGAAAATTTGCATTCAGTGTCTTTCTCCTAGACTTTGGTGGATTAAATGGTTATTTGCAAATTGTCAGGAAAAGCTGACAAATGGTGGAAAGTAGCCTTCAATGGACTTGCATTTATCCATGGAAAGAAGTGAAGGATCTTACTAGTAGTGTAGGTCAATGAGCTTCTGAGCAAGGCTCTTCCAAATAATTTTCAGCTTAAGAGGATCTTAGTCATCAGATACATTAGCTAACTTGGCTAACAAACAGTTTGCTTAAGTCTTGGGTCTTTTCATTAGCCTCTCAGTTTCACTAATGTCTCTTTTCCAGGTTACTTTAGAAGAGAGACCGCATGCTTTTTCAGTTTAAGTTGGTTAATGAATGAAAATTCCCATTTAACATGTGAGTCATGATTTAGAAAAGGCTGTCACTATTTTACCTGGACCATGTGTCACCTGATTAATGTGTGTGTTATTCGAAACTTGTGTTGTATAATGTGGGTAAGATTCACCCAGTTTCAGTCCTTCTTAGGTACACTTTGGTTTATTGCATGGTAGACTGATAAAAATCTTAAAATTTATCCTTATTTAGTTTTGAAAAGACCTTGAGTCATCAAATCAACTTTCAGTGTACCACAAATCCACTTTGCAGATGTATCAAATCAACTTAAGTGTTTCTTAAATAAACTTGTATTGAATCAACCTTCTCCACTGAACTCCTCTATGACTTTTGGATTGATTAGAAGTCAATCAAGATCTGTTTATAGAATCATTAAACATTTTGGTATTGCATTAGCAAAACAACCTATGAGATGTTAGCAAACTACCCTGAGATGTTGGAAAAGCGACCCAAGACATTAGTGAACTGGTCATTAGGGAAATAAATTATAAGCAAAACAACCCCTTACCTCCTATTTTTCTGGGGCTGTTTTGGATACATAGATCTTTGTTTCTTGTTTATTTTAATGAGTCTTTGTATTATGATTCATGACTTGCTCTGTAGTGCATCAGCTTGAATGTAGAATTTTCTCCACAGGAATCAAGACCTCTCACAACTTCTCCAACTGAAGTACCCAGCTACCTCACTAAAAACATGACAACTGTTAGGAGGAGAAATATTGGAACCAGAGTTGACCGCAGGTAAGAATTATGCCATTTAGGTCGGACTGGCAAAAGGAATTTTGGTAATCAACAAAATTTTACTTCTAAAGAATAACATATTACCTTTTGTCCTTCTCTGATTTTTTGTAGTGTTTCTGTGCTCTTAATAATGAAGAGTTACCTATTTTGTTGCATTTTTTTTAGGAATAGACCCGGTGGATTCATTACCAGAACTGATCCAATTGTTGTTCATGAAACAGAAACTAGCAAAACAACTGCCCATGTTGTTAACATACCATACAAGACCATGCATGTAATGGCAGATCTTGCTCCAGAGGGAAAGTTAGTGATTGTACATTCCTTCAGGCAGACATTCTAACACCTCTCTTCTGTTGTTTGTTTGTTTGTTTGTTTGTTTGTTTGTTTTTTTTTGTGCCAGTCCTCACAGTCAGCAGAACCACCCCAGGTTAAATACCTTGAATGATGTTAACCCCCCCTCCTCACCTTATTGGCACACCACTTTGTAAATGCACAGAAAATGTTGTCTTTAATGTTGTCTAGCAATTAGTTGAGTTATCATGTAATCAGAGTGTAGCTAATATATTTGCATTCTCTGTGAATCTTTTTAATATTCATTTTTTTCTAATAAGCTGTTTGGTTCAGTTCAATACTAACTACAGTTATACTCTCAGGACACTCAGTTGTAAAATGCTGGAACTTGACATCTAGAAGAAAACATTTACCCTTAGTGGTAACTGCTATTGAGTCGTTAGATACAAACCTACCTGCATTACGTACCAGTTCTCCTTCTTTTGTCCTAGAGCTGAAATTGATCAGAATGATGAATATGTCCTGTTTTCCATTAAGGTACAAAATAAGTTCTAAGACATTCCTTTTTTGAATTATGGAAAGCTTCATAACATCTAAACCTGCTCTAGGTGATTTAAACATACTGATATAGTGTTGCTTAATATACTATTAATAACTTATATATAAGTAAGGGTGTCAAACAGGTTTTTTCAACTATTGTACAAAATAATCAACTGTGGAATTGAGTGATAACCTTACTTAGTTTGTAGTACACTGTTGTACCCTACTTAATATGGATGGATAATTAAATTGACATTATTTGAAACATCTTCCCTCATTATAAGTTTTCAACTTTTTTGTGCAGATTGATGCTAATGGACAAATTTTTGTTAAACCTGACTTCAATGGGGAAAAGCCACCATACCATATTGAGACACAAAATGATCTGAGAGGTACTGTGAATGTTACCATTCAAAGACTTCATGCAGCAATATTGAGTTTCACTAATGACATTCTTAATGTCATTTACAGAATCACTTTATTGTTCCATTTTGTACCTTCTGACAGGCTAAATGATAACTTTAATTAGCAAAGCAGTAGCTGTAGTAGTGTTGCATAGCAGACCAAAGCTGAACAACTATTTCTTTTTTCTCTTGCAGAGGTTTATGAATATACTATTGAGCACTGTTCTGTTCAAATGACAAGGTACGCAATGTATTTAATTTTGTATGTTTGTAAAGATTTCCCATTCTGCTAAATAGAGACTTCTATTTAGCAAAATTACAGATTTCCCATTTTGCTAAAACAGATTCCAATCTCACAAACACACTTTGCTAAAATACAGATTTTCATTTTATACTTCCTGGTCTAGTTGTTATTGTTTGCTAGGCTGGGTATGCAGCCACACCAGTGATGAAATGAACACTTCATCATTCCAGCTGCTGGAATGATGAAGTGGAGTTGTCTGCAAGGATTCTTTTTTAGCAAATTATGGATTTCCATTTTGCAAATTATAGAAACACCATTTTATTTTGTTTTATTTCATGTCTCAACTACAGTAAGCCTTGTGATTAGACAGATGCCATCTTTCTTTAGTGACAAATTTTTCCTAAACATGTAACATGCAGAATTACACAAGAAACTGGCCACTGATTTAAGTCAAGAACATTATTTCATTTATACAGCTTTCCCATTTCAATTATTTTTAGGAGTCATGTCTCAATATGTTGTGTTTTTACACTTTTGGAAACAACAATTTGCAGCTTTCTTAAGGCTACAAAGTATCAGTTTGACTTGATAAAAAAACACAAAAGAGGCACAATGAACCAAGATGAAGCAAAACTGGCTGAGTGAATTTGAGGAACTTCGGGGTACAGTTTTCCAAATGAAATACCTCCCTTTAACTTTTTTGTATTTTATTGTTTATTTTCAATGATGATATTTACCATCATGTTTAATTTTCTTTTTTACCGGTAAATTTTAGCGATCAACAGGAGCAAGAATTCAAGAGTTTCAATGAGGCAAGTCTGTTTAAGATGTGTCTTATAATCTATTCAAACAATATATCTCTATATTATTGTAGTAAAATCATTATCAGTCAGTGTAATAGATTGAAGTGTTTTATGTTTGTTGTTTCAAACAGCTTTACAACAGACATGCTTTGTATTTGGCCTCACAAGTTGGATCTGGATTTGAGACTATGGTTAGATTAGCTAGTTAATTAAAGGTTTTTGTTGGAGCACAATTTATCAGATGCTGTGTTAGACAACCTGTTTAAGAGGAAATTAGCAAAGCTCCTGCATTTATAATTATTATGATAGTTTAATATAAAAAAATGATACTCTGTTAGTGAAAACATGGACTCAATTTTTTCTGCTGTTACAGCCAGAACCTGGTGTTTTGAGAATGAATATTTTGGGGGAGATAGGTAAGTTAAACAGATTTATTAGAACTGAATAGTACTAAGTGTGGTTTAAACTTTACTGCTATTGTTAGTAGTGTCTATTTGGTAAAGAAGAAGCAAGAATGGTGGGGTCTTTGTGTAGCGTTCCTGGGTTAGATACTTGAAATTCACAGTGCCTCTCTCTCATTCCAAGAATATGATAGAGTGCTGCCAAAATTTAAAGGGGGTGGGGGTACTTTACAATAACCTTTGTTGGACTGAGATCTGATCCAGGAGGAGTTGCCATACTTCATCTCATGCCAAAGAAAGCAGGACCAGCTCTTGCAGAATTGGCCATTTACTTGTATGCATTGATCTTCATCCAACCTAACCAATGAATTTTATTTCAACTATAGTTTCTGCCAAAGGATTTGACTATGATGGTCTATATGTTCACTTTTTTCTGGATCTGCCTGAAAGTGAGTGATCAATAAACCAAAGGCCACAATAAAAGAATAGTGGTGAACTCTTGGTATTTTATACTTAGAAAAGTAAAGGTTCATAATCTGTGTGGTAAGGGTGCAGAACTCTCACAGGTATTAAAATTTAAGTGCCACATAAGTGGGAGTATAACAAGATAATTTGGTTTTATCAACTGAGTTGATAATGTAAATTGGCCACTGTAAATAGTTTTGAGGCCTGAAATGTCAGCTGTGGATGCTCTTTATGGTGGTTAATTTACATATATCAACTCAGTTGTTAAAACAAAATTATCTAGAAGGTATTAGTTTCACTCTAGAAATCCAATTGTTTACTTGAGTGAATGGCTTGGGAGTCAGTGACTAGAAGTTATGAAACTATCAATTAGGAGATTGTATTTGGAAACAAGACCACTTTTTGATGACGTGTCAAAAAATTGAATTTTTGTCTTATTCATTGCAAAGTTTGAATTTTGTGAGGTCTGACACTAATGAACAACAAGAACACAGCTAGTTAATGAATCAAGTATTTGATTTTAGATTCAACAATTTTAGATTTGACTGTTGTAGACAAGTTTAGCAGAAAAGACACTATTACTGGTGTCTTGAGTTTAGAAATATTACAATGTCACTCATTTTCCCTGTAAAGAGTCACATATAATTTATTGCATAATATAGTTAGTGCATGAGCAGAACTGTAAGTATTGTAGAGGAAAAACACAGATCTGTTTATTTTCCACTTCTCTTTGTAATGTAGAATGGAGACCAACTGATGACCCAGTTTTATCAGGTGTCACACAGACCTGCATGACAAAGCTGGAAGGAGAAGTAATTTTTTTAAAAATTGAGCTTATCGTGCGATCAGATTTGTTGTCATTTATAAGTATTGTAAAACTAATTAAGTGAGTAAGTTTCCAAACAATTGCTAAAGAGCATCTATTTGGGGAAAAAGTTTGCGAAGTACAAAATTTGATGTCCATCCTCAAATTATCTTGGGAAAGTTAGGTAGTAGTTAACGCTTCCAGGAGAGATGGTGGCAGAGCATATGCTATACTGGGCTCAAGATACTAACCAAAAGTATAAATGAATACCAGTGCACTGTCAGGAAAAGTGGACATTCCTCCTGTCTTGTTACAGTCACCATGTACAAGAAGGGGCAAGCCTTAACCTGTATGGTTTTGATGCTTTGATAATCTCAAGTTGTCTTATCCCGTATTTTGAATAACATGTTGGATATTATTCATCCAAGATTTTGTAATGACTTATTTTTATTTTCATATTCAAAGGACTATGTGGCACACTTTAGTTTCCCTTTTGATTTCTCATTGATCTATCAAGAGGATGATGATTGTGGTACGTTTGATTGGAATTCCAGCATCATTTGAACAATTCTGATAAGTGGAGATCTTTGAAAATGTTTCATGTTGCTTCTTTATATTATTGTTCAGATGATTTTATTCACTGGCCAACACTCTTTCTGGAGGTGTTGTCATTGGACAGCTGGGAAAGGTTCAGAGCTGAGGGTTATGCATACATCACTATACCCAGTAAAGCTGGTAAGAGAGGTTATGCATATATTAGCATAAGTAGCCATACCCCATAAAGCTTTGTGTAGAATCAGGATGAAAGACATCTATGCTTAAATTTCGAGTTTCACCTAATAATTCACATGGGTTATGAACATAAAATAGGCCAACTCATACAGTTCAAACAAATTGAAATAATTCATTGTGTTCAAAATTACCAGGCAGCTACAGTATGGAAGTGAACACTTGGCGACCAATAGGAAATGGCACAGGTCCAGAGATGCGAAGGTTCTTTATTGGTGGATCACCAGAATTGGAAGATCCTACATATCCTCAGAAACCTGCCATTGCTGATGTAAGATATATAGTATAAAATCTGTATTATGTGACAGTTGTGACCACTGCAGAGTCTGAGTTACTGATTCTATTTTCTGTGGGTTGAGTGGTAATAATTGAATTATTAAACATGATCAGTTTGTTCACCAAAAGTCTGATTCATAAGACCTTTGACCAGTCAGTCAAATAAGAGAATGCTTATGTTTCAAAGACATTTATTTGCTTCAAAAATATCCTTGCTCCTGAAGGAACACCTGTTTATTGTATAGAAAGAGAACAAATCAAATAATGGATGTTCTGTTTCTTGAAGGTCTGATGGCTGGTTACATGAAGAACATTGCTAAGACTTAAAGTGCGTTGCCCTTGGAGTGATTAGGATGAAATTCCCAGATACTAGTTGTCAATTTTGGTGACCAGCTGCTGGGAATTTCTGACCCTGCAATGGAAATCTCTCTATCACCTAGCCAGTTGATTTGTCCAGGTTTAGGTAGCTTGCTTAAAAGAGTACCAGTACATCACTTTTCACCTCCTTTTCCCTTAGGAATAAGCATGACTAAGTATTTTGGGGCACTGACTCTGTACCATCAATTTTCATATATCATCTTTTTTTATGACAGGATAAGGTATTGAGCAAATATTTCTTCAGGACAGCTGGATCTGGGAGTGTTAATGTCAAGTTTCATGTCATGCAGCAGTGTCAGTAAGTCTACAAAGGTCCAAAAGTTATTAACATGGCTGGTACTTTCAATGTTTGTGATCCACATTTTGCCATTCTACTTATTTGTTATTCTTTGAAGGTCTTTTATGGATTCAAAAGCAAAGAAAACTCGTCGCACAAGAACTATACTGGACAGACTAGGGTGGGTCAACTACTGTAAATGCCTAAAAGAGTAGCTTCTGCCTTTGCTAAATTCTGCCTATGGGTAACTTTGAGGCTTAAATAGTAATCAACAGTGCTGTACCAGGAATATGTTGCTTCTTGAAACTATCAATTTCCACACTGAATTTTGGGTCCCATTTCCATAGTGTTTTCTTTTTTTCACATTGTTGGTGATTTGTTGTACCTCCGGTAATTTGGATATTGTAGTTGTTACATCTTTATTTGACTTCTTATTCCTCTTTTTTAAAAGGAAAAACGTACATAAACATTTTAAATTAGTCTCTTCTATTTTTACAGTGGAATGAATGCTCTGGACTCTTTAGCACAAGTTATGGGTGAGTTGAAGGGATTTTCTGCAACAATATTTCACTATTTCTAAATGATGAAATGAAATTTTAAAAAAATTCTAAAAATACAAAAAAACCAAAACAAAAACAAAAAACACAAAAAACAAAGGAACCAACAGAATTCTGAGTTCCTTATTAGCATTTGAACACCTTTGATTCCTACTTTGGTGTTGGATGTTCTGTCATCTAAATTAGGATGAACTTATTGAGTGCTGGGCTTGTGCTTGTTTCATAAGTTATAGTTAAAGTGGTATGTTTATACTAAGACTTAAAAAATAAACATTCTGGTTTTTTTTTTCGTATGTGTGTGTATTTTTTGAAAAAACTAGGTAAAGATTTGTAAAATACCATAATGATTCACTTTAGCCCCCTTGTTTTGATAAGTGCCCCCCTCAAATTTTTTTGTTATTAAATGCCCTAATTCTTATAAGCGTCCTTATAGAAGAACCCCTATGCTAAAAATACCCCTATTCCGACAGATGCTCCTGTTCTGTTTCAATGTTAGCACTGTTAGATTACATGTACATTGAGATCAACTGTAGTTTATCTTCCTTTAATTTCTCACTGAATGCCTCTTTACAAAAACAGTTGTCTTCGTCTCAGTCTCTCAACTATTGTGTCCATTTTAATGCACAGTTCCTTCAGATGGATGCTTGTTCTAACCTAGTGGGATACAAGGACAACAAGTCTGTTTTCCAGTCTTCTTGATCCTTGTTAAATAGACATCAAAGCTTTGTTTTGCGTACTCTGCTGTTATCCAGAAAAGAAATAAGTGCGCTGTCCCTACTAAGCACCCTTTTTCAAATACATGCCCTCCCTACAGGTAACAAAGGTAAATGAGTGCTCCAGGTGCTCTGTCAAATCACTATGGTAACTGACTTTTCTCTGATTAAAATGCTCTCTAATTTCCTTAAATAGATGCATTCCAAAGAGCAAAAAAACGGATGTTGGATGCGCGTGAGGGACTTCCATCCGTAAAATGAATACAGAGCAAATCTTCCTGTTTTTGCTGGTATAAAAGATTAACTTGAGTTATGGTTTGCATGAAACTTACGGTAAAGAAAAATGTTTTGTAACAGCTGGAGTTGTAATTTTTCTATGATGAGCGACTGTATAAAAAAATATGAGATGTACAAATGTATATATCCTTTAGGAAATGTTACTTGTAAGGTGTAGTTACAAAGTGTGTAATACAGTTCTTATGTACAAACATGGCTTATAACTTATTTATACCTGTACAGTAGCTGCTCAAATTTCTTGAATTCTTCACTCCAATGAACAATTTGTCAATTACTGTTACAGAAATTAATTTTAAAAAAGAAATTGCAGTGCATCACCGGGTTCAAGGCAATAAAGTGCTAATTTTTTGTATCAGGAGTTGGTAACTTTTGATGTCAATGCAGTTTGCAACTTTCTGAAAGGAACATTTTCCACTAATGTTAGAGTGGCCACTATACTAATAACTACCAGGCTGTTGAAAAAAAATTCACCAAATGCACTAAGGATCAAAATAAGCCAATCACAGCTGTTTAATAAAGCCAGTCACAGTGAAACATAACCTGCTGACCTTATTTCTTCGTTAAGATTAATATTGTACTGTCAAAACACTGCAAGTGATTACACTCATATTGAAATAATGCTTTGATAAGTTTATTAGTGTAATATAGAATGTTCTCATCTTCATGACAATTTTTATCACTCAAAAAAATCCATATATACAAACTTTAAGGCAATTTTCTCATGCTTAAGAATCATGTAAGACACGAGTTGTTTCAGATACAGCCTCCAGCCAGTTTCTGAAGCCAAGTTTTTCTGTTTGATCATTCAGCTTGGTTAGTGCTTGAGCTAGTCGTTGTCCATTGCCTTGCAGGATGGAGGATACCTGTTGCAGAAATCATAAATTAATCTACAAAGTTTACAACCTATTAAAAGGAAAAAGAAGGGGTATTTTGTTGATAAAAGGGTCATTACTCAACTCTTTTTCTTAAACCATAGTAACACTCCTACATACAACACTCCTAGACATTTTCACTTAATGTTTACCTTCAAATTTATAAAATTTAACTAATTAGCCAGGCAATATACTTGCCTGGAACACTGTAGATAAGTTACACTCCTCATTTGACAAGCTTGGTAGATTTAAGGAGTTTTGAGCCTCAACTTGGAGCAGAGGATGGAGCTGTGTAGTAAAGAAACAAAATTAACGACTGAATCAATCAAGCACTTGATAATAACGAGATAATCAGGATCATTAACATTAAGAAAGTGTTTGATTCCTTATTGCATTCTGTCCTACTTCAAAAGTTACAAGGCATAGGAATCACCAGAGACATTTGGTTGTGGATAAGGGATTATCTTGCCAACCAATATCAAGTTACTACCATTAATGGCTGTAGTTCCAGTGTACACAGAGTTACTTTTGGTGTTCCACAAGGTCACTCCCTATTTTCACTCTTCTGTAATGATTTACCAGATATTGTTGATGATTGCGAAGGTGAATTTCAAATGTATGCTGATGACATCACTATTTACGTAACCAGCTCCAACCCTAACATGGTGGCCACATCTCTTAATTTTACTTTGAGTAAACTCACTGATTGGCACCAAGACAATTTTTAGCACCACACCTGTGCAAGACAGAGGTTATTTTAATGAAACACAGCACCTCCATTGGCCCTCTACAGGGTATAAAATTTGGCTCTACTATTATTAATTAAGTTGCCTCCACTAGGGCCCAGTTGTTCAAAGGGCAGATAATCCTACCCAACAGATAAGTGTTAATAAAACATAGCGTTATCCACCCTTCAAACAACCCGAGCCAGATGTTTGAGTGGTGATTTTGATAGTGATTTCAATTTTGGAATTGACCAAATTTTTGTATAGAAACTCAATTTTTAAAAATCATTTTATTTCTTTCCTGTCAATGCTTGGATAGACTTCTACTTCAACACAATATTACCATCCATAACTTATCAATATTCTGGGGCTCTTGCAAAAACATTGTTTGATAAACTTGACCGATTACACACAAGGGGCCCCTAGAATTATTTTCCACTTAGATTTGTGTATGCCGACTGAAGTTGTTTCAAACACCACAAAAATGAGAGCCTTCATGGCTCATTTACTTCAGCAACTACTTGTTTTTGCCTAGAAATGTTGTTATGGGTTTATGCTTGGCCCTCTTGAAGACTTACTGGCAAAACATGAGAGTAGGTACTGTTTAAGAAAACAAGTATGTTTATACAAAAATCCAAAACCTGAGACAGATAATATCAAGCGGTCCATCCAATACATGAGTACCGTACTCTGGAAAAGGCTTGCCAATGAAGAGAGAATGACCAGCTTGGTTGCCAAACCATTAAGAAAATTCCCTCAAAATTTTACACTTTTTAATTTATTAGTGGATATAACTTTAAATTTCTTGTTTTAATCATGTATTTGTAGTTTTAATTACAACTGTAGTTTCTTTTTACTTTTTACTCCTTAGACTTGACTTAAACACTACCACATCAGCTATGCTGTAATTTTATCGTATTTAAGTAATGCTTTTATTATTATTACTATTATTTTATCAATAAATCAATCTCAGCCTAGGCTTCAACCTGACCTTTATTTCCTGTAAAGATAATGGTGTGGTAATTGCCATAATAAAGAATAAATTCTCAACTGCCAAAGCTTCTTCATTCTAGATACTAGAAACAGCCTCATACTGTTAGGTTTTGGTGTAGAAGGAAAAAATCCACTCACTCACTCACTCTATTTTTGATCTGTTAGACAATTAATGTAAACACTAAAACTTGGATTAAATGAATTATCTCCCGCCTCCCCTACCAGGTTTGCTTAGACTGTCTCCAAAGTTATCCAATTGTCTTTTGTTAAAATATCTGGAAGGTTATACAAATGCCATAATTTTTACCTGAATACATGGAGTTATCAATTGGCAATTGTCCTCAGGCACTAGGCTAAAATGATCTGGCTAGTTTTTCCTTCTTTTTGCTCTATCCTTATTGAAATACACCCTTCTGCTCGTCACAAACAGAGAGGAAATGTGCATAAGAATACTCAATTAGAATGAGGAGGGGTTCAAAGTCTTAAAATCAATGATGACAAGTTTCAGTGATAGATATGGAAACATTTTGTTGCCATGCATAAGCAATTTTAACTCTTGACTCCAAGTTGATTTTTGCATATCTGTTTGGCTGCAATTTGGCATATTTTACACAGATTTGGCAGCTGATTTAGCTTGTTTTGAGCTTTTATAGATTTCACTGGATTTTAACTCTCTTACGCAATTACCTTGTGAGCTATTTCAGTATTGGTTTGGCAATGTGAATCTTATTAGTCAGAACTTTAAGGCACAGTTAAATTTAATTAGTTGCTTAGGCAAAGATCAAATTTTTAGCATCAATGTGGCCTCAGTTCCATGATATTTTTTTACTGTTTGGCCATCAATGTATCTGACTTTTAAGTAAACCTTATCTTTTGTCTGTTGTTACTGAATATGCATATGCTTTATTTTTAGTGTTCCAGCTAACGCAGTTTAAGTTAATAATTATTTAGCCCCAGTTGTTTGAATGCCAGATAATGCTATCCACTGGATATATCATAATCCAGTGAATAGCACAATGCATTTTGTGAAGAGTTATCCACTGGATAGCAATTTATCTGTCAGATAGTGTTATCTGCCCTTTATACAACTGGGCCCAGGTCATTTAAGGGTATATGGATATCATGCAATATTGGAAGGAGACTGCAAATGGTTAAAGTTCTCTTCTACTTAATTGAAGAACTAAAACATACCATGAGGTAGCTCTAAGGGGCCTTTGATTATGTGTGTCTGTGTGTGTGCTGTAATATACGGACTGAGAATAAACAACAACAATACTTTGTACTCTTAAAATTTTATGCGAGACAAAGCTGGCAAGTATCTGCCCTTGCTGATTTCATGTTTCGGTCAATAACATATTTTTAGAAATATGGGAAATTAACTACCTGGGGTTGGTTTTGCTGGTTTTTTTTATCCCTGAAGCTTTTCACCTTCTCTTCATCCTGTTCTAAAAGCCTGAATGAGAATGTTGGAAGTGAAAAGTTTCCAAATTTCTCTCAATTTTGAAAGCAATTTCTTTGTTTTTCACAATGAATGAATAGAGGAGAAAATTACAATAACTGGCCACTTAATACAGCATGACCATTTATTAATGTGTCACTTACTATAGGTTTACCTGTAGCATACTAGATATAAGATGGTTATTTCAATATGACAAAGTACACCAACTATACCTATTTTGTCTAGAGAGACACACTGAGAGACAGACAGGGAGGTGGGCAGCCTGACTAAGGTAGGCTTTTGGATACTTTTAATAAGCTGAATTTACATGTATCTGTGGGTAGTCATAGTGGAAGAACAATTTTCCTTACCTTGTCTGGTCATTTAACTCTTTCTCCAAGGCATTTACTTGATTAGTACAAGAAATTAATGCATCTTCCAATTCATGCTGTGTTTAAAAAAAGTTTAAATTCTTTCAAAATTTGATCATTTTTAGGTAAGAGTTGAAATCAATCAAAAATAACACTGGAAACTCATGTAACTCATGTACCACTAACTCACAGTCATTATTTTAAAAATTGTTTGCTTGTTTCTTGACTTACTGATTCAGTTTCCATTTTGGTGTAGTCTCCTCTTTGGGTTGGTCCTTTGATGTTGTCAAGCCTAATCGCAATCCTGTTCAAACAATTTCTGGTTTAAATCTCATGTTCATTTTATTGGTGGAAGAAATTAATGCTGATGCCAATGTTTAGATTCTAAAAAAGGCTAAGATCAGTCCCTATAAGGTAAATTTACCTTTCAGATATTTGCTGAAAATGAAACTGAATTTCTCTCTTCTTCTTGGAATCTGGAAAGTCATTCAGAACACTCCTATAAAGAAAAAAAGATTTAACATCATTACCTTTTGATAACCCAAGCCATAAAGATTGTACCCAATAGAGTAGAAAATCATTGCAAGCATATTAGGCATGGGATGCAAATGAGTTTATTTTGTGGTTAAAATTTGTTGTCACAGAATATTTTCAAGAGCAACCTTAACTATTCCAATTAAAACAAACTTTTCCAATCAGAAAAAAAGGTCAGAGGCACAGCAGTGCTTGAGTGGAGCATGTAGATTTTGGAAAACCAAGGTAAACAAAAGAAATCATTGTGTGAACAGAGGAACTTTATTAATTTAAAACACCACCAACTTGGAAAATGCAAAAATTTTCTAGGCCTTTGCACTCTCAACATGAATGGTTAGCATTACTATCCCTCACAATTTCAAGGTTTTATACAATGGTCATAGAAGTTCTTGACAAAGACCATTAACACACTCTCAACGGGACCCACAATTGGGATGTCCTTCCTTTTTTGAACAGTAAACATGCACTCTGGCTCAGTTCTCAATATCAAAACACTGACAGTTACCTCTCACTAATGTGACCCTACTTGTTTGACTAAAAAGTTTCTTTCCTGCTGGTGTAGGACCCCCCTGAGCCTACAGTTTATTTTTGAGGGAACCAGCATAACTTACAAAATCAAGTTTTCAAGGACTTGTTTAGTATATGTTTTTGTTGACATGCAAAGTGGCTTCCATCTAGCATATGTCCTCTTTGTGACAGTTATATCCTGAATGCGCTGTGGCGTTCCATCATCCCTCAATGCTTTTCCTCTCTCATGAAATAGATTTGTTCTTTGTTTACTCTTGGGTGTTCTTCCAGATTTACCTGGAAGGGAACAAAGCCAAACAAACTGAAAAAAATTATCGCTGCCGCATGAGGAGGAGTTTTGATCGGACAACGAGTATTTTTTGGCCATTTCTCAGTGCACCTTGTTATAAACAATCATTGACAACAAAATCAACTCTGTACCTTCAGTTCTTTTAGACTTTAAATTTCTGCATGGAGATAAATGCTCCTCGTTTGCAGAACGAATTTCACTCTGTTAAAATCGAAACAAAACAATCATCATTACATGACTGCTATCGCTAATATTTTGATATTCAATAGTATAACCAGCTCATTTTCAAAATGTCCCCTCTCCCTTCCTTGCCGCGGGTGACAACACCACTCCCTTCTGACACAACCAAGCCAATAAAGGCTATGAAGTCAGTTTAAGGTCCTCAAAATTATTCACTTAGAATTTCAAAGGATTAAAGTGGAAAAAATAAGCTCCCTCAGTAACCGAATAATGTAGAATGAACCACGAGATTACCTTTTCTTGACTAGTCGATGGTAAAACATCTGTTTCCTTTATCCTCGGTACATTTGATTCCACAGCTGACTGACTACGATCAGATGTACGGCTTCTGCGCCTTGACTTTGGGGCGTAGGTGATTCGGCTCCTACGTTTCGCCATTCATATATTAGTGATCACTGTCCTAACATCAAAAGGCCGCCATGATTCAAAATCCGAGAAGTTTGTGCATGTAAGCGCAATTATTGTGTCCCAAAGCACACAGTAGCTACATTATATCAGTTATGTTGGGAGGTGTAAGGATGTAATTTATAACTTGATGTATTGAGACAAATATTTCCTTTAAGAAGATAACAAATTTTTTTCTTCTATTCAGCGCTCTTATATAAAATCGTTTGCTTCAAAATAAAATACTAAAGAAAGAGAGTAAAAAAGTGAAATCACTCTCTCCCCCTCCCTTAGTATTATGATTATACATTCCCAGAATGCTTTGGCAGAGAAGGTGTAGCAAAAGGCTTAGGCTGAGATCAATGATGAGTTGGTTATCGTCTTTAGTATCCCGCGCGTTTACGGTATCTTCAGCGTCTAAGCTTCCTGGTGCATCGTTTGTTTTTGGAAAAGTACTTCCTTTATTACAACAACCATGTCGCTATGTAAGATTTGGCATGGAATATCAGCCGAATAACTTACAAAGGAAACGAAAACACGGTTACTTGGCAAGACTAAGAACTAAAGCGGGGAGAAAGATTCTGAAAAGAAGAAGAGAAAAGGGAAGAAAGTTTTTATCACACTAAAAGGATTGATTATGCTATTATACCCAATATGCAAAGTGAAAATGGCGGAACGATACATCTTAACTTGAAAGTGTTAAGCATGAGCCCAGCTGAGCAGTCACTTCACCAACATCAAGTATTGATATGACTGAAGGGTGAGAGATGATTCGAATGACTGTCAGGATTGTAGATATTATGCATCACTGAAGACTGAAATTGTCTTCTTTACACCTGCACCCCTGAGTTGTCATCATCAGTAATATCCTTAACATCATCATCATTGTTATCATTATTATTTTTATTGTCATGATCTTCAAATATGTCTGCTGGAGAATTTCTTGGAAAATAAGTCATCAGGATGGACTTTTTACTAAGTAGGAAAGGTACTGAACCTTGTTGAACAAACATGTTGATCAACATGTTTTCCAAGTCATCACTTAGATGATTTCTGTCATGTCACCTAATATTTCCTCAATATGTTGGATATTTTGTTTCAATAAATGGACTTTAAAAATTGAGACAGATTTCTCATAAGTAGATGGGAAGTAGATGGGCTATTAAGGAGAGAAAGGACTGAAGCAGATTCAAGGAAGATGTAAGAAGCATTTACCATTTCGTGTAGATAGATGGGCTCTGTTCAACATCTTACTTAACAATTTAAGTATTTATTTCCAAAAGGTTCTCATGTATCCAACAATCCAGGTTAGACCCATTGAAGTCAGAATCAATAGTGTTTGCTCAGTACTTGTTATCACTGATACTGAAAATAACAAAAAGATGTACTAGTGATTCAAATCACTATGCAGGTTATTAGGAATCAAACATTTTGTATGGTGTTGTTTTCCTGTGCAATGTAACTTATCTGTTCTTTGTGCTGATCAGCCCTACTCTCATGCCAGTGTTTTTTTTGTGGCACCTGTTATATGAGATGAGCCTGAAAAAATAACTACAGAAAACCTTGATTTTCTGGTTGTTGAAGGCACAGCAGGCCTATGTTTCGCTTCTTTAGGTATCCCATGGCCTGATTAAAATAAACAGTTGTTCAGAGGCTAGTAATGATAGAGTGGTCCAATTTCATGAACTGGATATCTGATACACAAGATATTGAAACAAACTTTTGATGTTGGGTTCATAATTCAACTGAAAATTTTAATCTGTTTTTTACTTTTAATGTTGAAAATATGCTGCTCTCCCAAGTGTTGTAATAAGGAGACTGTTGTCACTTGTCATTCACAATCTTTTTCATTCCTTATGATTGGTGTTGATTCTTTTATTGATAGTCTGATCATGTCTCAGTGATATGCATCTCATTATGAGTAATATTTTTGGCAGCTGACACTGCATTGTGAACAGGTGTTTTTACATATTGACAAATTTGAATATTAATTTTATCCCTTGGTTGAAAGTAGGACACTTAATCTTAACCCAAAATGTCAAACTAGCTTCACCGCATCAAGGTATCCTAACATAACCATGAAGTTATTGGTAGAAAATTCTTAAATATATTAAATGTGGAGACTTAAAAAGGATGTAGCTCTGCAAGATTTCCCCATTTCTTCAAACCTGAGATTGTAGGGGTCAAATTTACTTGGTATTGTTTGTTCTGGTGCCATTAACCACTCAAGTGATAAAGTATTATTTTGTTTTCTTCACTCAAAACTGCTTAGTAACTTTATGATAATATGTGTGGGTGGTTTGCATGCAAATTGCTTTCAGACTCTCTCTAGTGTTTGAAATTCATACAGATCACTGTAATTTTGCTTGTGTTCCACTTTATTAGCATTTAAGTGATCATTTTTGGTCGAATTGGCCGAGATGTCTGTTAAATGATTTTCATGACTTCCCAGAGGAGAGTTTTGTGGAGCTCTCGTTAAAGCATCATTTGTTAGTTGTCACGTGACTCTTCATTATAAATAACACCAATTTGGCTCAGGTTACTAATCGTCGCTAATGTAGTCGTGAGAAAATATATTTTCTGTTTTGCATAGTTTAAAATCTCAAGAGCTAGAATGACAGAATTTCTTCCAACCTTTCGAGAAAGTTCTGCGATATTTTAGCGCAATTTTCTTCGATGATCTCTTAACTTACGGACCACAGCGGTTTTCAAGCCAAAACTAAGACAAACAGGGACAAGAAAATACTGACGAAGGGAAATTGCGTGGATTGTAGCAAGCATCCTGAGTTGGTTATCAAGTCATGAAATGGATAATTCTAGATTTAGAAGAATAACTTTTGTTTTCGTGGTAGATAAGATGTAGTGATTTTTTTGTTGCTATCTAGCGTCGATCACAAGTTTTCTAACTCTCGGAATGAGTGTGTCAGCAGAAAAGCAGACTCATCTAAGCGGCCATAAGTGGCACATTTCCGAACTTGAATTTAGTCCTGGTGGACTTCATCTCGCATCCAGTAGCTGGGATAAAACTTTGCGGATATGGGATCTTAGTACGCTGGAATCAGTGTTTGTCTTGAGGCATCATCGCAGCCCTGTGACCTGTCTTTCTTGGCAACCAGGAGTGGGGACCGCGGGTTGTCTTGGCGTACTTGCTTCGGGTTCTGCAGATAGTACGGTGGCTTTGTGGAGCGGGGAGACAGGCAAACTTCTGCAGTCACTTTCACCTCATAAAGGATGGGTGTTGGGTACTTCCTTCTCAAGCGATGGCACTTTACTAGCTTCTGCTGCTTGGGACAAAACTGTTTGTCTATCCGATGCGCGTACGGGACAAATGTTGCAGAAACTGACGGGGCATTCAACTGGTGTATGGACTTGTGCCTTCCAGACGAGCATCGGTGCGGGTCTACTTTGTTCAGGCGCGGATGATGGCTCTTTAAAGATTTGGGACACGCGAACAGCAAGCTCAGTGATGAGTTTGGTAGGAGGGCACGAAGATAGCGTGAAATGTTGTGCTTGGTCTCCAGATGGCAGTTACATCGCCTCTGGTGCTACTGATAGCAAGGTAAAAACTTTTTTTTCAAACTCTCAACTTAATGCAGAAATCATGATAATTATTTCTTATTTAAAGAGAAAGGTTACATATGAGTCGAAAGTCTAAGTTGTTTGTTATCGCCAATTGCTCGGTAATCTTTTTTGCGATCTGGCACGCGAAAGAAGTAAAGCGCGAAATTTGCTTCTACAATTTGTAGACATTTCCACTTAGTTTAACAAATGTGAGAAAGTTTTGTACGTTGAATATAATACTCCCAGCCATTTCAAGTGTAATCATAATGATAACTGTTTTGATCACTTAAATGTAGAAGTTTGACGTTTATTGTGAATTGCTGTTTAAGTCTTAAAAGCTTCTCTGAAGTTCCGTGTCTTGTATAATGATTTGTCGATTACACTGGCGTCAAATTACCGGGTGCAGTGGACAGTTTCTTGATTGCAAATTGGAAGATTTTTAAAATAATTGTTCTTCGTCGTGGCACTCCTTTTCACATTTTGCTGCATTTCGCGTTTTGTCCAGTAAAACAAAGGGAATATTTAAGGAAGTGGAGCCTGAAAGAGTTTGATATTACTGTGTGAGATAGATATGTTAGATATTGTTTGGCATCCATTAACTTTGTGAGCCACCACTTTCGTTCTGCATTGAAGCGTACAATAGAAGCCGACCTCAAGTGATAGTTGAGTGGAACTCTTAATTATGATAAATAATTCATGGCACACTGAGCAGAAATACAAAGAGTAGAATCCCAGTGGTTGAGCCATAAAATTTTGTTAAAAATAGTTATTGGGTGGCCTTGGGAACTGATACCAAAGGGGGTTTTTTTTTTCAAGTTTAACTTTAAACATTAGCTTTTTGATACACTCTATCCTTTCTCTTGTATGCTGGTAATGTAAACTAGTGTAGGTCTAGAATATATCCTTCCTCACTCCAATAACATGTGGAAACATCATATTTCTTTACAAGAGAGCCCCTATGTTGAGGAGAACATTTAGATTCTCACCATGATTTTAAAAAAGGAAAATGTTGGAAAGCTTGATGGGAAAATTTACCTTCCTGTCTTGAGCAAAGAGGGTATAGGTAAGAGGAATCACAAGGGTTCCTTTCCAGACCCCCATGTCCCCCTGAAGATAAAAAGTCAAGTTTTTATTGAATTATACATCTAATCTTGTGCCAGATTTCTTTGTGGGAACCAAGAAGTGGAACCTTGCTGATCAAAATCAGAGGGCATGAAGATGCTGTAAATAAGTTGCAGTTTTATCCTGTTATCAGTAGCAAATCAGTGCCACTGATTTTTTCTGTTGGAGACAATTCATGCCGTGCATGGCATCCATTGAGGAAGCGTGGAAAACAGCTTCAGATGATCAAACAGCACAGGGTGGGATCAGAGGTGATGTTTGAGACTATTAAGTCAAATTTGTGATTGGATGTTTCCTTACTATTTCTGTGGATACTTAGCAGAGGCTGCAGGGTCCATTGCAAAGAGGCACCTTTGCTCCCAACAAAAATTGATAACTCATGTTAATTACACTTCCTCACAGAAAATTACTTTGGATAGGTAGATATGGATATCTATAGGTACCTCTCTAAGTGGCAGAGTTTAATTTGTTGGGTATGATGTCTCACTGTCACTTATAAGTAGCTGGCCAAAATCACCATTTACTTTCTGAGTATGGCCTACAGTATTCTGCTGGAATATTCCTTTGATTCCTTTATCAAAGACAAAAAATTAGCCACCTATTTTAATTATAAAGCTGCTTACTTCAAAACTTAATTCCGATAACCATTGTTAGGGCAGTCTTTGAACTTTATAGTCAAAGAGGGCAGCTAAAATGTTTTCTTTTTCTGTGTTGAAGGTGGAAGCCCTTTCTCTGTCTCCAGATGGGACTCTATTAGCTACAGGTGCTCGTGACAAAGACATAATTTTGTCTTCATTGGATGTCTCTCTAACTGAGGTTGATGCACTTCCTATTGAGGATCAGAATGAAGCTGCAATAAACTATGGCGCTACACTGTGGAAGAAGTACACCCGTAAAGTTATGCAGAGAATACTTTGTAAGTGACAATCTACTGTGAGACCAATAGTACAAAACGCAAAAATCAAAGTTAATTAACCCTTGCCATAATATCAGCTTTGCAAAGAAAGAATAAAATGGCTGGTATTAACCTTATAGTTGGCTGATGCATTTTAGATCAAATGTCAAATGTAAATTTTTTTGTGTGTGTGGTTCAAATGCTGTGTAGTAGGTGTGCAACAGAATGGTAGAAGAATTGACAACATTGTTGCCTCCAAATAAGTACCTCAAGTTTGGCATACTTAACATATGTTGTGTATTGTTTTAAATTTATATTGATAGTCTGTATTTATGGGATTTCTCCTGACAGTATCTGTCTCTGTTTTAGGTGAACCTGGTGTAGGGACCGATGAAAATGATGACTTTTCTCAATCTTCAAATAATCCCAAAAACACAGCATCCTTGGTTGGACGTGCCGTGAACAGGACTGAAAGTAAAGCAAAAGAAAATTCTGCGGAGAAAGCAGTGATACATGTAAATGAAGTTGATAAAGATGCTCAGTCTGATGGTGTGTTACGAGAGCAGAGAGCAAGACTGCGCAAAAGTTCACGACCTGAGACCCCTTTAACCAATGGTCCTGTAAACAATTCAACACATGAGATAGATGAAGTGCGACAACAACTGCGACATGTAAAGCTTGACAATCCCATGCAAAATGGGGTAACGAATGGTCATCAGTATGCTGACACAAATGGTCATTTTTCCCATTTTAATTCTTTTGACAAAGGCCAGACAGGAATAGACGAGAATGGTGAGTCATCACCCAAGAGAAATGGATATCATAGCCATGGGGACAGCTCAAGTGCTGGCAGCAGCAGTTACTATGGTGACATAGAGGATGTTGCCAAGGATATGTATGATTTGGCAAATGGTGGAGAGGATGCCAGACTTTAGACAGACCAGTTATTTCCAATTTTCTAGGTCTGAGATGCACCAGATTTCAAAAAAGTATTGTCTTGTAACAGTAAAGGAAGAGTAATGACTGATTTGAATCAGCAGATGTTGAACAATAATCAAACTCTTTTTGACAGTGAATCTTGATAGCTTAGTGTACTGTGGTTGTAAAATATAGTTTAATACAGTTCTTAAATCAACAAGGCTCAAAAGTTTCAACTTGGCATAAACATACATTACATGTGGTGGTTAGTAGTGTAATGACCAATTTCTAGCATTTTTGGAAGCTAAAATGTCTGTTAAACAAATCAGAGGAAACATGCAGCATACAAATTTTGATATGCAACTTTTCAACATCATTCAATATCATGGAGTAGCCAGAGGTAAAACTCCTCCAAATCCATGGAAAAGCTCAATCTCTGACACATAATTTTGGTGCTGGTTAGAGTTCATATGCAAGGTAATTTTAGCAACCTACCGGTAACTCATTGTTGCCACTTTCGACAAGAATTTCTCAGCTCTTAATCAAGGCTGGATGAAAGTTTTTCATTATAATAATTACCATCACCATGATTGTACATTAATAATTTCTTATTACCCCATTTTTTAAGAATAAGCTGTTATTGGACCATGTAAAGTTTGTGTAAAATTCCCCATTGAAATTTAAGTCTTTAAGAACCATTTACCATGCCGGTAGGATGTAAATATATTTAATACATGAAATTGCAAAGCCACAAGTAAGGAATACTTACATTTGCTAGTACATGTTTTAATGTCCATTTCTTTGTTTATTGTATTTAATGTTTTTTTTAGTTGTTGTTTTTTTTTATATCTGGCATAATGCATGTAACATCAAACTCCTAGTCTTTCACCTTGAGAACTAAATGTGGCTGCCTGTTGATAGGTGAACTATGATGCTACAAAAGGCAAAGATTCATATTACACAGGAAGCTTCCAATATTACTTTTTTAAGAGTTCTATCTGATCCTACTTGGACAGTTGGTAAATAGAGCAGTTAGCCTTTGTAGAAATTTATTTATTGTGAGCTTTATGTGAAATAAAAATGAACACATTTGCCTTATATGCCATTTGCTGAACTGTTCAATGGTTGTTAACAGGAATAAAGGACATTTAAAGCTATTGACAGAGAATAGCATGTAGCAAAAACCTTTTTGTTGCAGAGGTGATGTTGCTATCACACAAGCTCACTCTAAAAACTTCCACTTGTAGTTCCATTTCGCATCCAAGCCAGGCATTGACCCTCTTTCAACAAAACTGACTGATGATTAATACACTGGGGATGAGAGGATAAGTTAAAATTGACTATCATTTGACTTCATGTCCTGACCTGACTTGACACCTCATGCAGTATTACTACCGGGACTTCTTCAGTGTTGAATGGATTGTCCTGCTCCTGTCACTGCTCACAGTTATGTTGCTTTACTACTGCAACATTTGTTACTTCAAGAAATGTTTTTTCAATGGCATGACAAAGGGCTGTATCAGTGTTCTCAACTGCACCCTCTAATGTACCTTTATGTTCATGGGTCAAATTGCTTGGCAACCAGGAGTCATCTGTAAACCCATGATCCTCTTGGTCAGCCAGTTCCTGCTGTTGTTCCAAAGACAGTTGATTTAAGAGAGATCCTGGAGTACCTTGAATGAAAGATGAGAAACAGTGGAATAAAAATTGGTAGGAAACTAGAAATAGGACCTTGATTGTGAACCAGAATAGGAAAAAAATTTATAAGCCCAGTAACCTGTTAATGCTGAAGCTTATCCTGGTTCCAAGAGCACGCACAGGGTCTGGTATGCTAGTAACCTCCCCTTCCCTTCTCCCCCCCCCGCCCACATTTTGTAAAGTTTCCCTTAGAGGAAAGAGACACTGTGAGATTTCAGTGTCGTGCCCAACAAAAACAACACTGTGACCTAGCCAGGTGTGGAACCAAGACCTCTCAATTACAGGATAGTAACCACTGGATCACTTTGTCTCCAAAAAATAGTCATATAACAAGTAATATGACATGAAGCTCAGTCTAAAAGTTCTCCACACCTTGGCCTGTTGGTTGGTTGCTATAGGTAATTTTTTTCATTGCCCAGTAAGTGATGTTTTGTTTTAAAATCACAAACAAATAGTACATGTTTGTATAACCCTGTAAACAACTACGAAGGTTTTATTAGATGGTTTCTGATGTGCAAAAATCACTATTACAGAAATGTAAGAGTGTGGAAGTCTTACCAAGAGTAAAGGCAGCAGATGCTGATGCATGAGAGACTGCCACACGACCAAGCTCCAACAGAAACCCAGTAGCCTCATCACACAGAGGTGGGAATGCATGGCAAAATCTCACCAGGGCAGGGAGGGCAGGTGTGAAAAATGGTACACGCTTGCCAGACGGGAGTGTGGCTAGAAGAGAGCTGAGCCGACTGAGAATGTATTTGGCCACACCCATGGCTTTAGGAAGGGGGAACTGTAGGCACAGGTATGAGGCAAGCTGAACTGCAAACAACTGCAACAACAAAAGTAACAACATCTTTGAAAAAAGCTCAAAATTATTTTAAATATTTTCAATCTCTTACAGAACAACATACACTCAGGCTGTTAAACAGTCCTACCTGTTTTTCAAGTTGTGGTTGGTTTATGAGCTCTGGAATAAAATCTAAACAAATGTGCATAGAAGGGATGCCAGCCACTGTCACTGGGAGAAGTTCTACTGGGTAACCCTACAAGAGAAACAAGTGCTGTTCAGTCCATAGTATGTTTAAGATATCACTTACTCCCATTCATCCTTCCTTATTCCTTAATTTTATTAACAGTTATGGACAATGCATTTAGAACTGTTATAAGGTTGAAATATGAAAACATCTGAATGACACTGTGAGCCACCTTTGAGTTTATCTCAAACCTGGAAATGCACAAGTTTCGCAATATCAGGAACAGCAATAAACATCTGATGTAGCTGTGAGCACACACGACATTGGATTTCACGCAGCACTGCTGATCCACTGCAGCCTGGTTGATCCTAAAGAGGTGGAGAAATTATCATTGGATTCTTTCCTGAAGATTAGTTAAACATATAGGAATTTTGCATTACATCACAACCACAACACCCTTGCACTGATAAGTTTTTCTCTTCTCATCACCACTACTTGCTTAGTAATTTTATAATATTGTGAGGAGAGGTTGAATATTAACATCTGCTGAACTCAGGGTGAACTATAGTTTTACTTCAAAATGCTTGAAAGACTACAACAGCACCAGAAAAACAAATAACAAAAACAAACACGCAAAATAACACCATAACAAAAAAAGCTTGTGATGTTACACAAATTTTATCCATTTAAAACTGAGGAAGCTCTCCTAAAATCCTGAAAAATAATGGCCCTGGAGTATTTTGCGCTTACTTTGGTTCTAAAGTTGATCAGTTTGCTTGTTTTTTAAACTAACAAACATTGAGATTTCAACAAACCTGATCCTGAGGTGTTTTGACACAAACTTCTAGTAAAATCTGAATGGCTGCACTTTCTTGTGCTGTCACCAAAGCAGCCCGTAGCTCTTCTCGTTCTTGTTCAACAGCTAACCCTTCAGTTCTTGATGCAGGATGTTCTTGGAGGTACTGACTTAAAAGGGCCCTTGAGCCTGCCAGGTACCCCATGAGGACTCTCACCAAAAGATCAAATAATGGTGGGCATCTGTCATAATAAGATGATTTTCATTTTATTGAAACTTGGACACATGGCTGAGTGTTGTTCCTAGATTTAGTAGAAGTATGATATGGTATTTTATTTATTCACATTACACGGATGAATACAAGACTTGTTTAAAGCTGAACATGCCAAATTACTATAAATCCAGTACATATCAAGATGGAGAAAAATATATATAGATACAAAGATATAAAAATAAGAATATAATAAAATCAATAATCATAAGAGGAAATGTAACCATATAGAATTATGTACATAAGTTACAATTACTCTCAACTCTGGTAGTCAAATTGACCTCATCCAGTATTGACTTAAAAATGTTAAGAGATGGAGCTCTCCTTACATAGTCAGGCAGACTGTTCCATAATCTTGAGATGATGTAATGATATGACCTATGTATAAATCTACTGCTATAGGTAGGCTGATTAAGCTTGCAAAAGTCTCTGAGGTGGTATTTATTGTTATGAAATAAGAACATCTCCTTAATACTATTTGGCCCCATATTGTATAAGCATTTGTCAAAAAGGGAGAGAGCATGAAAATATCTACAATATCCAACATAGGTAAGTAGGTCACTATATGAGGTTGACTTAGCTATGATCAAAAGAGTTCTAATAGCGTACTGATTAGTAAGTTCCAGTTTATTAGAAAGACCAGTTGATAACCCAGCTAAGACTGGAGCACAGTATTCTAGATGTGGCAAGATAAAGGCCTTGTAAATATTAACCATCACTTCTGATGGTATGAATTTATGAACTCTCCTAAGAGCACTAACTTTAACATTAACCTTATTACATACAGATTTAATATGGGCTTTAAAGATAGGGAGCTGTCAGTGGTTAGACCTAGTCACTTCATATCGTGTACCACCTCCAAGGGTGGCCTAGTACAGTCAGTGAACAATTATTTTGGTTCTATCATAACATAATTGTTCTTTTCTTACAGATACATACCTGAACACTCTTCTGTCACATCTAAGCACAGTCAAAGGATCTTTCATAATGTCTTCATCTGTGTACAGTTGAGGAGTAAGATGAAGGACAGGAGTCTCTGCTGGACACAGCATGTTGACAGTGGCCAACCACAATCTGTTGTTGAGGAAATCATAATTATGGTAAGGTTACAACAACTCATATAATCTTACATATTCTACCTCTTTTTGAGTTATCTTAGTTACCAAACTAAAAGTTTGTAGTCTCATTCATGCTGAATTTGACTGAAAATACATGTATTCTATTGACCATTTGGACGAAAATCCTGTTTTCCACCTTAACCTACTTAGCTCTCATTTCAAAAGTATTGAAAAGATGTCCCTCTGAGTTTTTCCATAATATTAACAACCATTGGTAGATGGAAAAGTAAAAAGGCATAACTACTATGGTCAATTGTTTACCTACTAAACCTAATTTAGTGGATTTCCACAGAATATACTTTAAATTTTTTATAGCATAAAAAAACTGCATTATAAAAGTAAGAAGTAGATCTCTAGAAAAGTCAAGAACTTATAGCTAAGACAGTGTCTCTAAGCATTATCTGTATAGTGTCACATCAATATACAAATTGAGGAAAAGTCAAAGGTACTGTAGCCCAAAGAAACCTTACTTGCGAGGTATAACAGTGTTAATTTTTGTCCAAAGTTCACAAGACAGAGTTTGCACCCGCCGGGGGACCCCAGGCTTCAATAAACTGGGTAAGGCTTGAACCAGTACATCCATATAAGGAATCAGAGCACTAGGCTCTAGTTGTAACAGTCTTTTAAGCAGCAGAAGAGCAGAACAGGGATTGTCTGGCAGCAAGCTAAATGCTGTTGGAAAAAAAAGTGATCAACACATTCATGGCCCACTGAAAAAAGGTTTATGAAGGAAATATTCTCCAATTGGAAAGCCTACATGAACTAATCTATATATTATTAACAGTTGGCGCAAAGCAAGATTGTTCCACTTCTGTCATTTTCTGAGACAAAGAAAAGGGTCTCAAGCACTCTTAAACTTCTTAAGTAACAAATCTGACCCTATTGAAAAATAAGACAACAGCTCTCCTTCTAGAGGGACCTTACATAACATATTGCTGACCAGTTCCTCTTTGATTCAATTACTGTCAAGAAATCTTCCCTTAAAATTATCTTACAGCTGATATAATTAACCTGCATATTGTTACTTGGACATTAATTTAAATAGCTGGGTTTTGAAGGTCATATGGTCATTATGAAAACTTATAATTTGTCCCTCGTTGGTAATTTTCACTGCAAGGGTTTATTTCTCTGTGGAGCCATGCAATCCCCAGATGGGTATCAAAACTTTTTACCTTAACTGTCTGCCAGATCATTTGCACTTAATTATGAGAAAAAATGTTATCATGGCCCTTGTGACTGACCATGAATTTAAAACAGTCCTGAGAGTTAAAGGAGTACTCCAAATTACTTTCAATTTTTCAAGGCATACCTTCTTTTAAACAAGGAGGTGAACATTGGACATGAAGCAGTGGTGAGGCTGCTGATAAGTGTGGAGCAGTGAATACCTCTTCCTGTCTCAGCCAGTCATCCACTAAACACAGGTGTGGCAAGTGAGTGTTGATCAGCTGCAGTAGGGGAGCATACAGACCCCGGAATTCTCGACGACGTCTCCTAGCCTGCTCCAGCAGATGCTTGATGGGTATTTGTGACAGCAACATGGGTGACAGCCACTGAGGCTGAATATTGCTGGAAACTGAAGGTATAATCAGTAGGTTGGTTTTCTGACACATTCTAGCTGATCATTGCTGATGACTGTATACAACTCATTCCAGCATGTTCCTAAACAATATTGTGTTAGAGGGTCTTGAAATAACTAGGACCTGTTTCTCAGTCTTTACTAAACAGGTAAGTCTTTCTAGCCATATGAATAGTTACAGTTAAGACTCATCAGAGCTTCCGCAGCAAGAAACCTTTACTGGTCCAAAGCACACACTTCCTTTGCTACTTGATCAGTTTCTCTGACAGTTTGCTAGTACCCATTTAATTTCACTGGCAGAGAAGCATTCATTTAATAAGAACTAAGTGTCCTATAAAAGAACACAATACAGTGACATAGCTGGGGCTGGAACCAGCACCTCTTGATAAGAAATCCAGTGGCCCAAGCAAGAAGTAACTTCAACTACCTCTTTCTTTAACTGAAAGATTGACTAATTCTTTGGTTGTCACTATGGAGAAGTAGTTACCATGAAGTAAAGGTTTGTTTCTAAAGGACATGCATGCATTTTAATTGACATCATTTTACATGTAAGAAAAAAAAACTGTCACTCATGAAGACTTTTAAGGTGAAGATAAGGATTGAACAGATCTTATCAGCCTTTACAGAGCCAACATATCTTACTGAGGTCACTGCCTTACCTAAAGACTTCATATTTGAAAGAAGACAGTCCTGGTATGTTAGAACATAGTATAACATCAGAATCTGAGATGTGAGATGAGATGACAGTTCTGTGGCCACATACACAGAGCTTCTCCTCATTGATTCTAAAGGAAGTCCATGGATTCTGAATGCAGTTCCTTCTTCCTGGAGATTTCCAAGATCAGAAAGGATGTCAGCATCAAAAATTTGATGGGAAATTTGGGTGATAGTACTCCTGAATAGGACTTTTATCAGTGAAAGTGACAACTCAAGCAGTTAGTTGTCAGAAGGATTTCCCTCTAAACAGATTATCACTTTCAGCTGTGTTGGGGAAATGCCAGTTAACAGATGTGCTTTTCATTCTATTTTGAGAAACTTTCACGAAGGCCAAAGCTAGGCTCAAACTCTACAAGAAAATTAATTAGCCTATTAAAAAGACACCAAACTAAGAAAAAGCCTAATCAGCTTCAATGTCAGAGATTAAGTGTTTGAATTCATTCATTCAATTCAAACACCTTTCAAATCATTAGAAATATTCAAAAAAATGGTAAAAAGTAAATCTTTCATACAAAAATTCCTATCTTATATTTGGGGTGACAGCAATTATTGCAATTTTCAATATCACATGTCCACTTAGATGCTTTAATCAGCAAGTTAGAAACTCAAAAACTGTAGAACTAAAATGAACAAGGTTATCACATGCCTGGGATTCTGCAGCAAAGACTGACATAACTTCAGAATCTGTAAATCCACGCAGAGTGAAAGTAGCTTCTTTGTTCTTAGTTGATTTGGATGTGGGATTGATGACAGAATGTACAAAGGCTTCAAGAAGAGGTACAACAAGAGGGTGAAGAGGAGTGGTACAACAACAGATCTGCCTAAACACCCAGTCCTAAAAAAGTTGATTGTAAATCACATTCTCAGTAAACCCTTTTGTTTCCTCCTTTAGCATAGACAATACATGTACAACTTGCTCAATTTTACTGGAAAGGAGGCTATTTCTATTTAAATCTATTTACCCCAGCAAAACCAGATTTATCAGTTCAGCCAAACCTCATAAATAGGAAGCACCCTGAGTAAGATTTATTTTAATGTTAAATATATTTAATCTCTTACAGGGGCTTGTCATCACCATCCTGTTAGTGAATATAAAAAAGAAATTTCAATGTTCTTTTTTGGTGGTCAAGGTGACTTCATTGGCACAGAGGAAACCTTTTCGTATCTGCAAGGTGATTATTAAGACTAACATGCTGTTGGCTATTGTATCTCTTTTATCCATAGAAGGAACACTGTTACTGACTTGAACTGACAGCAACACAGTGAACCAGTGGAATGACAGAACTGACAGAAACTTCTCGTAAAGGAAAGGTGTAGTAAGGTAAGGTATGGCAAGTCTCCAAGTGCCCATTCATACTTGGGAGTTGAAAGAGAGATACTGCAAGAGTCTTACCCAAGAACAAAACATAATGGCCCAATCAGGCCTCAACACTGCACTTTTAGATTCAGCATGCTAACAGTTACCCCATTGTCTCTGCAATAACTGCATACTCATTCAATTGACAATTAAAGTCTAACCTTGACAGGAACTGCATGCTTTGTGAATGCTCGTGACCGCAGCAACTGATGAATGCAGTGAATCGGAAGGAATCCTGTATCCTCTGAACTCAGCTGTGGTGTGACGGGAACTGTCACAGCATGAGCTGTCACAACCTATCACAATATGGGTCAGTCTATGTAACAGTTTTAATTTTATACCCAAATTTGTCATGCTGAGTGTCTGTGTTTTAGTAAACATATTTGGTAGCTATCGTCATAAGTTATTGACAACAAATTAAATTAAAGCTACTCTGTGTTCTAGGACTGTCCACTACAGACTTCAGGCTTTTGCACTGTATGGTGGTTTAAGTGCATAATCTTTCCACTCATGGCTACAGGTCATACCTAACTAAAGATTTTTTCTGTTTTTCATAGGTTATTTACTATGCTTGAGGTCTTGAGTATGGCCCAAGGACTTTGGACTGAGCTGTAGTCTGTCTTGTAAAAAGGTAGGCCAATTACAAGAGTGCAATTAGCCAATCAGATTCAAGGATTTAAGATTCTGGCACCCTGGGATGCCTCAGAAAAAATAAATTGCAAACCTTCTCAGGAAATATTTCCTGTGTGAAAAGAGTTTTCATTCTTGTCAGCGAGCCCAGCCTGATATTCATCCCAAGAACAGAACACACAAGATCAGCAATGGCTTCCACTTGACTAGCATGAAAGTGAATGGCTATTAGCAGAAGAATCTCTCCAAAGGATGCATGTACACCACTTGCTGCTTCATAGTGAGCTTCCTCTTTTGACAGCCACTTTATCCAGTGGGTAGCAATCTGTTCATGCTCTGGTGAACTGATCACAAAATTGTACCTTTATGAAAAACACCTGTAAACTAATGCCACCCATCATTAGGTGAAGTGTGACTCTGTTAACTCCTAATGGAGTGATTACAGATTCAGTGATGCTCTTATTGATTAAATCAAGAGTTAACATTAAAGATCAAATATTTCATGCCCTGGTCAGCAACAATTTTTGTGATTTTTTCAAAGACCTCAACCAGTAGCCAAAGTAGTAGGATAATTCTAAACAGTTGGGCTTCGAACTGTGTAACATATTGATTACCATTAAAGTTAAGGCAGATGGGCAAGTGTTCTCTGATTCAAATCCTCCCCTCTGTCATTCAATAAGACTTTCTTATTAGCAGTGTGACCTTAACTTATTTACTCCACCTTACAAACAGCACACTGATTTACCTTTCAATAACTCTTGACTAATCAACATACATTTTAAAAATCTATCTAGTTTTTCCAATTATCACCACACAGTTGCTAAATCTATTTGATGTAAACCACTCACCTCATTATGTTGGTACAGACCAGAAGGGTACACAGGCCAACCACAACAAACCTCACCCCTGCAGCAGTGGGAGGAGGGTGACATGTTACCAGCCGGAGCAATGCTTCTGATTCCTGTGAAGTTAGTTTCATACCAGCCAATCTTTTGAGGGCACAGTACAGCCGCAAGAGTGCTGTGCCTTGGATCACACCATCATCACTAATCTCTACTGTTTCAACGGTTTCTAAGTTCATGTGGGGAGTTTCAGAACTCTCTTCTGTGATTTCATAATCCGTGCTCACCTCCATTGCTGAAATATATGTAGGTAAATTCATTGGAAAGTTAATTAAACTAATCAACAAATCTTACCAAGCTTTATGCCTCACTACTGTTGGAGCTAATCTTAGGTTCCAGTATCATGTAGAAATTAGAATATTACATTTGCCTCTGAACTAAATGTTAGTTGATCTCTATTAACTCAACAACAAGTCATTAAGTTTCACTGACACTTTTCCACTGCCCATTTTTATTATTAGGGTGAGGGGACCACTGTTAGAGTTACATATCTTGCCCAAACACACAACACTAGGACTTTGCCATTGTGTGAAACAGGAATTGCCTCATCCAGAGTCCAGATTGCCAGCCACTGGGCCACTACATCTGACCCTCAACTGGCTGATAACATTTGATGGATGATTAATGGAATCACCTTGAAGTATTTCTAATGTTTCTTCATCTTCCTGTCTAACATCATCTCCTGCCACAAAATCCTTCACACTTGAATTGCTGTTCTCTGACCTTGCTCCTTTTTTTGTTCCACTTGGAACTAAAGATGACATCTCCTTCAGTAACTGACTTCTCAGAGAAGCCAAGATTGATGTACTGGACTAATGCAAAAGGGTAAAGTCAAACTATAACTCAAAACATCTTTCATAGCAATGATGGTTGCAGCCACAAAAAAACAAATAAGTAAAAATTGATTTCATAACAAAACAAAAACATTTTAAAAAATAACAGCAACTTGTAAAAGATACTAAAAAACTTGAAAGTGGATGACTCTTTTTCCACATGAGTTGCAGCAAATAGGAAGAAAAAACAAGAAAAACTGTGGTTAAATCCAGTTTCAAACACATTTTTATTTGGTTTCCATACCTTTTGTCCAATCCTAACAAAGGAAGAAAACCAGTTCCTAGCTTTTGTATCTCCTCCTAAAAGAAGGCCACTGAGAAATGCCACAAGATCACTTGAACTCAAAGAACCTTCATAACACAAGAAAAGACATCAAATAAAAGTTGCAAAATATTAAATTTAGATCGTGTGGTGTGATCATTCAGTCTGAAGAAGTTGTTAACAGGACTTTTGATGGGGACAGTGACTTATGGTTTTATACAGCAGAAATAATTATCCCTGCACTCTGAAGTTGACTTTTGACCAGTTTGTGATCTGAAGTATAAATTAAATTAATTCTCCACAGAAAAGTCCTTACCACTGCTGTCCACACCAAAGTCAAGAATAAGAGCCACAGCAAGACCAGGCATATGACACAGTCTAAGTGCCTCGGAATGCATAGTAAAGGCAGAGCTGGGGTTCATCGCACATAGCTGTCTTAGAGCTTGAGTTCGCACCAGACCACCTAAACTACCTTCATCTTGTACTTCACCATGCTCAAGCAGTGACTTGCACACTAAAACAAAAGCATGTAAACACAGTTAAATTAACTGTTTTCTATATCTGTATTAACTGTTTAGGGTTTTTTCAATATGACATCTACCGTAATTTCCGGTCGATTACCCGCACGGCCGATTACCCGCACCGGCCGATTATTGCATACGGCGAAAAAAAAAGTCAACGGATTACCCGCACCGGTGGATAACCCGCACGTTGTTATTCAACTTTTTCGGTGGCGAAAACGTGACATTAAGGCGATACATTTCAGTCTTTCGATTCAGACATGTGCACAATTCTGTGTCAATATTAGCTTATACTTTATTGATTGATTATTGCTGCTGCTCTATTACCGATTTCATCGGCAAGAGTTATTACTCTAAGCTTATAATCAAACGTAAAACTGTGACGTGGGCGTTTCACAGCAGGCATTTTAACTGAATTGGTGACTCGTGGATACACTTATCGCGAATGATCGAGGTTTATAATTCTTATTCAGTCAGTTACCTTTTTATAGCATGTAGGAGCGTAATGAGCAATATCCATTGTTCATTTGTCGTTAAAGTACTTTTTCAGCGCGAAATTAGTTAAGTTTCGCACCTATTATTTTCAACATTCTGGTGATGCATTTGGGATTTAAAATTACTGTCGGCAATTTCTCAAAAAAATCGATATCTCCTGTTCTACTGGGCCTAACAAGTCCCTTAAAACGGGAAAATTCTCTTTAGCTCAAGCTAGTGAAAACTGGAAATTTGTTACTGATGCGCCGGATATCCTTGGATTATTTTTGTCACCATCAAGGTTTTGTTTTCACGCGTGCCGATAAAAATTTGTTTGTCACGCAACTAATTATGCGTGAAATAAACTCGAATTGGCATCATGTTTTCGTGCCGCTTTGTGGCACTTTTGATACAATAAAATTCATTTGAGAGGTGGAAACGCAGGTAGGTGAGAAATTTTTTCAATTCAACTTCCAGAAGAATTTAAAATTGTCACATAACCCGCACCTCCCTATTACCCGCAGTGGCGCGGATTTAATGCAAAATCAACAGATTACCCGCGGGTAATCGACCGGAAATTACGGTAAGTTCTAAAATTTTCTAACAATATCTTTGCACGGGACTACATTAATCCTGATACAAGTGTCACCTTGTTCAAAGCTGTCAGGAGCATTAGCCACCAATCGACACAATAACCAAGGACCCTGCTTGACCCTGAGGAGAGCCTCTGCAAGCTGGTTTAATGCAAGAAGTGAGGGCAGCTCAGCTTGTCCAATGCAAATCACATCTGATACTTCCTCCAGGTAAACTTCACTTTCAAAAAGTTCACACTTCTCAGGAATGAATTCTTGTCTCACATCCACCTTCAGATAATTTTACATACAGTTTGAACATGAATTCCATTTTCACAGTTATTATTTTTGTACTGAAAATAAAGAGCCTCTTGATATGAGCGAAGTGATCTAACTGGTCTAGTCATTAGTAATTATCCTTACAGTCTGCTATACAACTCTTTCAATGTGAGTTTGGAAAATTTGGCATTGGATTGAGTAAAAATCCCTTTATTGACATTTTTTTTATTCTCCTTACTTTTCCACCCAATATTTCATTGACATTGTATTGATATTTTAAGGAGAAATTCTGTCTTAGTCACTTAAAGGAGTTTAATGGTTAATCATCCCAATGCAATATTTATAATTTCAGAGGTGAAAGGTGATAGGAAGAAGCCCAAAGAAAACTCTAAGAAAAAAAATCATTGTCAACAACTTGCACTAAGAACTCTGAGGGAATAACACTTGGGAGTACTACACTTAGGGATTGTGCTTTTGCTCATGCTGCTCTTGCATTACTGAACTCACAGCCATTACCGATGAGATCCTGTGGCAGCCTAGCCACTTTTCAGAAACAAACCCAAAAAATATCTCTTAAGGAAAGCATTCAGTAATAGTTTATAATACTTAATGTACAGTACTGCATTTAGCGCTATATATTTAATGTTTTATTCATTTATTTATACCAATTACCTGGCTCATAATACGAAGGATCTCACTCAGAACCAATCTAAGACGCCTTGATGGTTCACTGCGTTCAAACTCTAGCGCAAGACCATTTTGTAAGGACTCAACTAAAACACTGGAGCTTGTACTACCGCCAACCTTTTTTCTCAGCTGCTGCTCTTTTAAAGCATCTTGCTCAAGGAGACTAAAATCCACAGACAACAACGCCACAATGGAATTAACTACTTCTAAACCAGACAAGAGTTTCTGTACTTCCTTACGCGCTTCTGTCCACTTTGCACTTTCGTCTACTGGAGAGCAGAGAGCCATTCGGACCAAACAAGGCAGCAGAGGTCTTAGATCTTCCTCTCTCAAACTTGAAAGTTCACTCACGCTCACTGCACGTATCGCCTGAAAAGCTTGTGAAGATGGTATCTCCGGTAGCATCATTTTTACACTAGATTTCTCACTATGTAACTAATGCAATAAAACGGTAAAACGGCGAGGAAGAAATACTGTACTTCTAAAGTCTTTTCCAATCTGTTGATCCGCCATCTTTGATCTTAAATTTGTACCAGGCTTCATCGGAGAGCATGATTGGTTCCCACTCTCGCTCTGTTAGATGTTCGCAACAACTCTGCTCATGTCGTTAGTCAATTTTGCGGCGTATGGAATTCTGCATTTCTTCCTCGTAGGCATTACTCAAAATTGACTAGTTTTCAGGTTATCGGGAAATTGAAGGATTTAATCTGTTAGCAACAAACCTGGAAATAGCTGACACAATTTTACATAATATACTTTTAAACTGAGTGGGAGGGCTGAACGAGAGAATAGGGACCTTAGGCAAACCACAACGGCGACGGCAACAAGGACATGGAAAAACGAAAGATCTAATTGGCAGAACAATAGCTCAGCACGTGCGTTTTAAAACTTTGTACATTTCGTAGCCGTCCTATGCAAAACAACAACGTGAAATCAACACAATTTGCGTCGTCTGCGAACCGAAACCGCGACGGCAAATTATTTTAAATTCCATTTACAACTCAAAGCTCCTTTTAAACGTTATACTGAAGTTGAGGTGTGGCGCCGTATGAGACGGTTAACACATGCAGCCATTTTGAAATTCTAACTAACAGTAGAAATTTATTTTTAATCGAAGTCTTCCTTGGCGTTGCCGTCCTGACAGCTTAAGGTTCCTAATATCTGGCCTTCTACACCTCATGTACAGGCTACTACATGCTGGTACTCTGTGCCCTTTGTACAATTTAATGTAAGCTTGTGTCCTCTGCCTCTCGTACAATTTATTGTGAGCTGGTGCCCTCTACCTCTGGTACAATTCAATGCAAACTGCCGCCCTGTACCTCTCGTACAGTTAAAGCAAGCTGGTGTCCTTTACCTCCTGTACGGTTTGATGTAAGCTGGTTCCTTGTACCTCATACGGTTGAATGTAAGCTTGTGTCTGTACCTCTTGTACAGTTTAATGTAAGCTGGTGCCCTGTACCTCTCGCACAGTTTAATGTCGGCAGACGCCGTGTGCCTCTGGTACATTTTTTTTGTATCTGTACCTCTCGTACAGTTTATTGTAAGCAGGGGGCCCTGTACTTCTCGTACAGTTAAATGTCAGCTGGTGCCCTGTGCCTCCAGTACAGTTAAATGTAAGCTGTTGCCCTGTACCTTATGCAAATGCAAGCATGAAGAAAATAATGAAGAATATGATTTAAACTTGACTTTATTTATGTATCACATTGATGTATTTAATTTTTTTGACAATTGTATGTTAAGTATTACGGTTACAAAAATGTCAATTGTTATTGCTCAACAAGTTTCAAGAACGATGTCTGAACAAAACTGAAAGAATATCATACCTGAAAAATAATAACCTAACTTTTGTGTTGAGAAATGTTGCGAATGTTAATATAGTGTACCACGGACCAAAAATATGACACAATTAAGCAGAATAGTGCAGAGAGCAGTTGAAAACTAGAGACAGCTGATTGCCAAGTGAGTTCTTAATAAAAAGAATGTTGTGCTTTTACTTAATTGCTTTTGTTTCAAGAGACTTTTCCATAATTCTCAAATCACAGGGAAATCAACCATGACTTAATTAATAGCACTTTTTTTAGGAGAGCATTTGACTTAAATTGAAACTCACACCTTCATGAATTCTGAAGAAGAAATCAGGAGTTTCTTTTACCTTAATTACACATCACATAATCAGTCATTCACCCAGCTAGCAAAGAAGGATTTCTAAGGGATTCTCTAGTGAAACACAATAACATTTCAAATTAACTAAAAAGTAAACCTCGCAAACAAAACCACTCAATGAACAATAATGGCAACCTTCACAAGCCTCTGATGTTTTGAAAAATGACCAAAAAAATATGAAAAGAAAATAAGAAAGAGGAAAGGCTGGGTCTGTAAAGTTGTACACAAGAATCTTTAAATCTGGAGTTTGCCATACAAATCACTTTAGGGTCATTTCCTTGAAACGGTTCCTACACTTAGACTTTTTGGCAATCTCTCTCCACTCATTGCTTGTTCCCCTGCAAGAAGCCCATTGCCATTCAAGAATACACCACCTTGTATATGTACATTGTAATTCTTATAATATAATCATTTTCATATTCACAAGTGTTTGTTTAAAGCATGTTTCAACCGATTTCTTTTTCTCTTCATTGGGAGTTACCTAACACAGAGAAAGTTGTCACTAAATTCAAAAGAGCATGGACAAATTGATTTTGTTTTCCCTAACTATGCTCTACAATAGGTTTAAAAATCTTGTACAACCTTCTTTACTAATTAGATCCAAGAATTAAACCAATCATGATTGTCACTCATGCTTTGGCAGTTAAGTTTTACTACATGTATCTACTTGTTCTCCTTTCTGTTAATTGGCCACAGTGATCACCAAAGATTTTATTTTTTACATCACTTAACAAGATAGTTGCTGATTCTTAGTGTGTACATGCTAACCATATAATGAATAAAGTGCAGAAAGGATGCCAAAAAAAAAAAGGGATGAGCTTGGTGAGGATAAACTTCTGATTATCATGCATTGTTTGGAAATTTACATTCAAGTTAAATTGTTTGTTGAAACTCATTCTGTAAGATCTGTTGGGGGAACATAGGTGAAGCCTACAAATGCATCATCTGGGTCATCAACACTGGCGCTCAAGAAAGCAGAGTCGGCAGATTTACCAACTGATCCTATGGATTCAAGTGAAAATGTAGAATTAGTTGTTGTATTTGAAAAAAAAAATTCAAAATTAGGGATATTTGCATTCTGCTTGGCACCCTGGCCAAAAACTATGAAAGAAACCTTAAACTTTCAATCAATTTTGTGACACAGGTCTAAAAAAAACATCCAAAAAAAAAACAAAAACAAAAAAACAGTGCATTAATGTTTGGTAGAAGGCCTTAATTGTTTATCTCTGTTGGTGACACCTATACTCCCTGACAATTTAAACAATTCACAGCAATTGATATCCACTTGAAAGGTACTCAATGAATGATTGATGATCTAAGTCAATTTTCAGTAGTTGATATTCATTAACACTAAATCATTGGAAACTGATCAGCATATAAACATATCCCAAACAATTCTGTTTCACAGTCTGCTGCTTTGGATGATAGGCACTTGTTTGTTTCCAGTAAAACACAGTTAAAATTTTGAACTTAAGACACATGATAACATAGCTAGTACTTGGCAATTAAACCCCAAATGTTAACTTTATCCGTGTATTTCTAAGAATTAGAGGACTAGTTCCAACGAAAAAAAAAAAGTCAGTTGTATTTCAGGATGTCTTGATGTCACATCATTGAGTTATAACATCAGAAAAAAACAACACACCTGGTACTGGTTCCCGCACAAATTCAGGATCAAAATGCTTTAGATCCAGTTGACCACTCTGTTAACACAACAAAGAAAAGACTTCCATAAGACTAGTCTTTATACACCACTTAAATAATGCTGAGTTTGGATGTGCTTTGAATGGAAAATAAACCCCTGTTGTCTACTAGGTGTTCCCCTCACTTTCATGATCTTTGTTGCACTTGCTATATTTATGGTACAGCACTAATCCTTACACTTCAGAACTAATCTGAATGTAGATTCTAATTACAGTTTTCATACACTATCTACATAACATACAACAAGAATAAGGGGATACTGTTTGGTTGTGAAACCAAATTCTAAGGCTGAGGTAACATGAGTTAGGAGAATTCAATTTCAACTCCTGGAGTTAAAAAGTAAAGAAATAACATTGAAACTAAGAACAAAGTTTGAAAGAAAGAGCTGAACAACTCACCACATTTGGATTGTATGGTGGGTCTATCTTCTTGTCATATAACAACTGCCAGTCAATGGATCTAAAGAATGCATGATTCTTTATTTCATCCTGTTCAGAAATGAAATCACTGCATCAACGCATTGTAGTTTGATACAACTCATGATCCAACATTTTACGATTCATATTAGTTGATCTACTATGTACCACGTCACTATTATCTCTCCTCAAAATATCTATATTCCACTTAGAGATGGTAGCATCTGCATGTGGGTCTTTTTTCTCTCTGCACAATTAACAAAGTTCCACACCTTTCAGGCTATCTTTATTTAGATTAAGAAACAATGTTCCTCTTTTTGTCTAACACCCTGCAATGCGATGACAAGTTGGTTTGATCACATGCTAAACATTCACACAGAGTTCACTTACAAAATCATCATCTCGTCCAAATCTTTTAGTGCGATCCTTCTGCAGAAGCTACGAGAGGAATGTGACAAAATAGTTCATTGTGTTAATATTCATCACTAGGAGATCTTGAAACTTAATACACACCATAACAACAGCTGTCAATTTTTATCACATCCAACATATATATATTTTTCCCCAAATATCAATGCATTTCAAATAAAATTCAACAATGATTCCTCATAGGCCACATCAAATTCATTTAATTCCTTGTGAAGCATTCAAGTCTGGACAAATTAATATTAGAAATCATTTTGTAACATTACCTCTGGCTTTGAATTAGAGGCATGAGTGATTCACGAGTGTGGGTTATGTGAAAGAGTTTGTGTAATTACTACAAACAATTTGGTCAAAGATTTGAAATTTAACCTCAGTAACAGTCTGGTGTATATACATTGTAACTCACAGATTCACTCACCCCTGCAAGAAGGGTCCTTGCACTCTCAGAAATGTTACTCCTCAGACGCAGTGGTTTGTGCAAAATGTTATCATACATTTCTGCTGTATTGCGACTGTAAAATGGCGGCTGTCATAAAGCAAGTACAAGCATTTTTTTATACTTACTATTGAATCTGTCCTTATTATACATTTATAAACTGTAAATATCATTTATTACATGTATTTTTAAATTTAACAAATTTAAATTTAACAACTGGAGCTTAAGAGAAATTGTTTTTATCACCTTAGTTGATAACCTAAACTGGCCTCTGTGAAGAGTTTCTAAAGCTATTGTTTCAAGTGTTAGCCCTTTGTTGATTTGCCCTGATGTAGGGCTTATGCTTGAAACACCAGCATTACAAACTCTTTACAGTGGGCTAATTACATTATCAACTTTGTCGATGAAACCAAATTATCTTATCATACCCCCACTGACACAGCACCACAGTTTCTTTCAAAACCAACTCCCTTTACTCATTTCCCAGGAGCTTAGCAGACACTTTTTTGGTTAGCAATAATTGTAACACAATTACAGGCTAATGTGGAAAACCAGCACAACATTGTAGTTAGATATCAATGTTCAAGAGGAGTTTTCGTAGTGGTTGTTCTTCAGTCCCACAGTTGTGCCAAGCATTCCCCCACCCATCCCATGCATTGCACCAATCTAATCAGTGTTTATTAGTACCAAGAATGGGGGCTTAAGACTTGGTTACAGGGATTTATCAGCTATGGGACTAGGGTATTCTACCTGAGGACTTCCTCTATGTCTAGCCTGCCATCTGGCACTTAATGTACTATTTAGTGAGGCACTGGTTAACAGTGTGGTTTGCATATTAGTATGTGAGCCTGCATAACTGAAATAAAAGATGTAACATTGTAACCCCCTTTGATAAGCACTGGTACTTTTGGGGAAAACAATGACATATATATTTCAATTTAAAAAAAAAAACAATTTCAAGCAAAAAATATGGCCAGTAAAGGAAAGTATTGCCTTACCAAACCATACATCATTTCATACAAGACTGCACCAAGGCACCACCAGTCAACAGAATTGTCATATTCCTGTTTCTTAAGAACTTCTGGTGCAAGGTACTGTAAATCACATACAATAAAAGAGAAGTGTTTATTCATGCCTTTGTTTCCTCCGTCAGTATCTTTGACAAAAGAGGTAGAATGATTAACCACTGACTTATTTCTTAGTCCAGTTTATGAACCCTTAGGCCATGCCTTCAGAAATGACCAACACTTTCATTCTCAAAGCAAATCAAACACATCCAAGCAGAGAATGAAAAAATGACCAACAAAAAATCATTCTTTCATAGAACAAAACATTTTCAGAAAAAGCCAACGATGAAATGTACTGGCATATGTGTTGGGATAATCAACTTTCACATCTTTTGCACTACAGGGTTAAAGGCCCATTTCCAACCTTGATGTAGTGCAGTCATTTGTTTTTGTTTTGAACCACTGCTTTTGTTTAAATAACGCCTCTGATTGGTCAGTTATTTTTACCTTGTCACATTGTCTCAAAATAGCTTCTGCATTTTCTCCGATGAGTTTGGTGAGCTTGTCAAAATAATTCTTTGTAAAACAGTTCTATACCTTTTAATCAGGTATGGAATCAGATGAATCCATTCATTTTGTAAATTCTGAGACAGTAAATGCTTATGCATGGGCTGTTGTAAAAGAAGAACACGAAAATCCTTGCAAGCTTTTTGAGGAGGGTGAAAATGTTGATCCACGATGTTTTCATTCATACATTGATTTTTTTAGTGAAGTTTGCCATCTTTGCTAACCAGGCAGCCCAAAAATTTTGAACCTGATGTTTCTCGCTAACCCTGTATACAGAGTACAAAGCCATCCAAGTGCTTGACACCTAGAAACTTTTTAATGACATGGCTAGACACCTTCCTCAAATAACTCCATATTTCTCTTTGAAATATACCAATTTTTCCTTGAAAAATATTCTACCTTCATTTACAATCCTCAAGGGCTTCTAGAAAGTGGAAAAATTCAAACATTGTCCGCTTGGCCGACTCTGTACACAGAGTATGAAGAGATCCAAGTGTGACACTTAGAAAATTTCCAGTGGACATGACCAAACACTACCAAACACGGTCTTCCAATGACTAAACATCCAGCAGTCTGACATTTTTCCATATTTCTCTTTGAAAAATAGAAATTCCTATTGGGAAATATTTTATCTTTATTAAGAAACCTCAAGCGCTTCTAGAAAGTGAAAAAATTGGAAAGTTATCCTTTTTGCCGCCTCTGCTCACAGAGTACCAAGAGATCCAAGCATGAGTGATACTTAAAAAAACATTTTCTTCAGATTCAACCAGACAAAATTCAAAATACTGTAAAGAAACTGTAAAATGATGAACGGCAAATGTATTTATTGTAAAACATTTGACTATATGTCCAGGATGGCTCTTAAGAAAGACAAGCTTAGAAGGTTTTCAGTAATCTGGGAATTTCATGTTACAGGAAATTGGGTTGAGGCACACATTGCATCAAGGCTGAAGATAGCCTTTAACACATCTTTCAGAAATTTCGTTCATCATGCAGCCTATAATAGCACTGAATAATTGTAAAAAAACCTAGAATGCATTTAAAACTGTGAAAAATAAGAGCAAGAACCAAATGTAACAAGTATTGTGCTACATACTTCTGGTGTGCCACAGAACGTTGATGTTGTTCCAGATGTTTCTATTCCCTCCTTGCAAAGTCCAAAGTCTGTTAAAACTATATGACCCTGCAAACAGAACAATACACGTTAAAAATTCATTCTCTTAATACCAAAAATCACCACAGATTATAGAGAATCTTTAAGACTTATCAGGGCTTTTTTCAGTTGTAACTATTGCAACTAAAGAGGAAAATACTAATCTAGCTGCTCATCTTACGCCAATGACAGGACAAGCATTAACAAACTATCAACACATAAATACACTTACCTTGTAATCCAAGAGAATGTTTTCTGGTTTCAAGTCCCTGAAAATAAAACACAGTATATGAGCACTTCACAGTGTGTGGAAAGTTGACCTAGGATAGCAATCACTGATTTGTCTCTTGTGAACCAACAGCAACACAATACTTTCAAGTAATTGACATAATGCTATGGTACACTACATGGAGTGTGTACACCTTATGGACGAAGTATTCTCAATATTCTTAATATCACACTTATAACAAACCAAATAGGTAAATCTTAAGCTTCCAAATCTGATTACTCCACCCACCTATAAATGATTTTAAGAGAGTGTAGATACCCAATTGCTGATGCAATTTCTGCAGCATAGAACTTTGCCCTGAAAGCACAAAATTGAGTCAACTAACTTACTGCATATATATCATCTGTATGTTTGTCAATTACATTTCACTCAAAATTTGCCATCTTACAATGGTACCTCCGAAAAGGAGACTCTTAAAATTGCTGTTCTTAGCAGTATGCAGTCACATAAAGAAACTTGTATATAACCAAAGTCTCCACCAAGTTCCTTGGAACTCAGTTAATACAGCATCTAAGAAAAAGATTGAATCTGGCTGAGAGTTGAGACCCAGACTGTTTTTGTATCACAAGGAGATCAGTGAAAAAAAGAAAAAAAACTTGATCCTCCGTCAAAAATCAACCCCCACCAGCTTTCATTTCCATTAGCTCATGAGATAATTTTTAACAGACTTATGCCTGATGCTATTTAGAAATGAGAACATAACCTACCTTGCTTCAGGGAAATATCTCTCTCTTTGCAGATGAAAGAAAAGCTAAAAGGAAATAATGCAAGGCTTTCAATCTAACAAAAAACATCCATTGCTGAAAAAACCTGCCATTTACCAAATAAAAGTGTTTATAAAAAAATTTATAGTTATACATTAGAAAACAACACCACAGGTTGCATGTTACAAAATTTGGAACAAAATGCTTGTAACTGTGAAGTATAAATTTTGATTGTGGCACTGTTGCAACAACTCTAAAAAAAACCTAAATATAGGAAACATTTAATTACATACATTTTCACAGGACATTTAGGTAGATCCCAGAAATTTTTTCAATTTTCAAAGACATCAAAAGACATAGGAACCTAAAGTCCTCAGATTTAGTTCATTTTGGATTCATTCTTTTGTTTTCCAAGTTCGACCTTTATCCCTTTCAAACCTACCTCTCCACCATTGACATAATCTAAAACAAAGTAAAGCTTGTCCCTTGTTTGGAAAGAGTAGTGAAGACCCTGTATTAGATCAAAATAACTGTGTCTTTAATTTCATCTAGTTACACAGTACTGGATGAAATAATGTAAGATATATTTCTCTGTTAAACATCAAAGTGACATGCTCATGCAGGAAAGGGGAATATAAGGACCCAATAGAAACAGAAACATCTTCGTACTGTAGATTCAATTTGAGAAAGTTCTAAGCAGCTAATGGCATAGTATTGGGTCTGAGCTGTCTTAGCCTAGACTGGATTGGCAAGGAGGGTTAGTCTGTGAAAGGTTAAGCTGTTATAGCCCACTCAAAGTTTTGAAATAAGTTTTTCATGACAAACAGGCAATCAGAAAACTTACCACCAAAAATGGATGCTTGATATTCTTTAGCAGCACGTTCCGTTCTGCCATGATATGTTTTGCCTAAAATAATCATACCATAGTGATAAAAAAGCAAACAGGGAAACAGCAAACATTATATTGTCCCACCTGGTAGGTGGGAATAAGGAAATAACTTTGTGTAAAATGTACCCATTGACTCACTTACCTCATTTCTTTTCCTGATAGCAGCCTTGTTGAGAACTTTGATGGCATAGAATTTATCCTCTGCCTTGTTCTTTGACAGGAATACCTAAACAAATGATGATGATAAAACAACATCACTGACTAGTAAATAAATGAAAATTACAGAAAGATAACATCTAAAGAAACCTAGAATTGCCTTGTTTATAAGAAGACATGAAATGGCTGTCCAACTAACATGACTAAAGATTTGTCAGACATTAAACCAATTGTTGATTAACTAAAGGCAATGGTGACAGACAAACAGACAGAGTGATTGACTGACTGTCTTGCTGGCTCATTGGCTGACCAACCAGCTCAATCACTGGCTCACTGAGTGACTAACCTGACTACTTAAAACAGACTGGCTGATTGAAACAGTTTTTTTTTTAATAATTTTGAATTATAATAATTAAAGTTAAAGCAAAATTTATTGCATAACTGCTTCAAATCTGAACAAAATATAGCCCTAGTTATTGAAATGTTTAGGGAGAAGTCTCACAATTAATTACTCACCTTTCCAAAACTCCCTTTTCCAATCACTTTTAAGAACAAGAAATCGCTGGGTTTTGCCCTGAAATAGGAAGAAAGTACAGTTTATATTCACCTTACTCAAGAATGCACTGATTTTTGTTTAATTTCAATACACATAACTAATAATTCTATCTATAAAAATAGTTTTGTCAATAACAACCTCATCAGTTGATACAACATTCCATCCATGATAAGCAGTAGTACTTTCTTGGTTTCAATAAGCCCAATATCCCATGAACAAATCATATTTACCCAAATTTACAGTTAAAAAACAAAATTGTTGACAAATAAAAAAACCAGACTGTCTCTATTCTTAGAGTTTCAAGCCTGATAATTTGGCAGCTATGGTGCACATTAGTCTAAAATAAAATAAACCTTGAGTACAAACAAAAAAATATATTTCATGACAGGCATATTTTTCCTCTTTCAAACAAAATTGAATTTTTTAACTGCTCTTATTAAGTATCTCTATATTATAGCTTATAGAAGCTTATAGGGAGAAAGAAAATTGACTCACTTTGGATTATTTGTTCCTGCTAAGTCAACATCCATATCCTTTGCCTGTTGAAAAAATTAAAAATATTACCTCTCCCATACATAGACTCTATTAATTTACTCTGACCACCTTTAATGCAATGCAGGTGGATACCATGTTGAGAAGACACCCTGTGTGCATAGACACCTCTAAAACTGGACATAGACACCAGAAATGAGCTAAGGTAGTAAAAGGAGGGAATTAGAACAAACAGATTCCTCACATAAAAAGGAAATAGTAATAATAATAGTAAATAAAGGTACAGGGCAGATCCAGGGATTTCTCACAGAAGGGGGGGGGGCACCACTAAGGAATGACAAGGACAAATTTAAATTCAAGCAAACAATGAAGAAAGGATATGACTAAGTAACAATGCCATATGAACTGCAAATTGGCATGTACAATTTTTAAGCCAGATGAAGAAAGCTTGTGTAGCTTGTGCTCAAAACTTCAGTGCTAAACTCCTATTTTTATACCATTTCATGTGCTAAATTCTTCAACCTCATTTAATGTTTTACTTTAATACTGGTGAATCACATACTTTTCTTTGATTTCTTTTTTTGGCACAATATTAGTCATATCAAAAAGCTATAGGTCATCACAAGGAGGGGTCCACCCCTGGGTAAAGTCTGGGCCAAGGAGCTCATTCAGCCAGAGCTAGACCCAAATTTTAGAGGGCTAAAAACTACAAATGTTAGGATATAAAGCAGTTAACTATTTACAGGCACAAGAATAGATGGGGGTAGCTTTCTTATCCTCTGCTTTTACCCCCCTTATTTGCTCTGATGAAGGGCTAACGCTTGAAACGTCAGCTAAGAAACTCTGCTGGTGGCCAATTTACATCGTCCACTCAGGAAAGAAAACCACATCATCTTATTTACAGGTGTAGCTTTAGGTTAAAACTTGGGCTTGTGAGTTCAGTGCTCTTGTGACTCTGCCATGTTCCCTTAAGGTTCTGAGAGGAGATAATTTATTATAGTACAGTAAATCGTTCAAAAAAATTACCTGAGTCTCAGACTCATCAGCTCCAGGATGGTCATCATCATCATTGTTCTCAGCATTCTTTGGATTATCAAGTGAGAAGAATTCCCTCACCTCAGGGCTGCAAATCACATCATTCCAACCCAACAATCAGTTAAAAAATCGAAAAAGGTTGGCACAAACTACAGTTTAGGAAACTGCTGTGTCAAACTAATCTGTACACCTTACTTTTCAATGGCTTTTGGGTGATTGATGATCTTTTGTGTGACATCATTGAGACCTTCTCTTCTGATCTTGATAAACTCTATAGAAAGGCAAAAAATTATCACCTTAAATTCCTAGAACACTGAATGGCAAAATTATATGCCTTTAGTTCCTAAATTCACATCCAAGCCAATCAGATAAAAGATGGTTTCTTTTTTAATACTTTGTAAACACATTGTAAACCAAACACACCCCCAGTTTTCTAAAGCAGAAGGGAATTCCACGACTCTCTCATCCAATGTTCTATTTTTTATGCTTACCAGGGTCAAAGTTATTTCCTAATAGTCTCTTGCCAGGTAGTTTAAGATGCAAGTCAGGGTAAAGCTTTTTGAGCTGAAAGAAAAAAGGCAAAGTGAAGAGAAGAACAACTAAAGCACTTCAGTATACAGCATTTCAATAATTTTTAAGTTAGATCACTGGAAGACCAAAATTAAGGGAACATAATGTGAAATACCTGTTCAAAGTCATTTTTAAACATCTTAGTTATTCATCGCTTTCCATACAATTTGACTTATTTAAGAACTTCACTGCCTTCCTTTTACCTTATCACACATCTGATGAAATTCATTGTATCTTCTAAAAATAAAGTAGCTCCTTCCATCTGGTAGTTTGATCAGTACTTTGTATACCTAAAATATGAAAAAATGGTTTAAGTTTCTAAAACTGCTTTCAAAAATACATTTTGTTTTAAAAGGGAGTTTATATTGCAGGTTGTATATCAAACAAGACAAGCAGTTACTTTACTGAAGTAGGTTGCTTTTGTAAGATTAGGGGAAATTAAGTGGGCAACATTTATAATTTGTGTTAAAAAAGTCCACAGTTTAACAGTCTGATTGTTTTGTAAACAGGCCTTATTTACCTCTCATTAGGGGTGACAACCTACTAATTAGAATAACAGTACAAGCTGTAGTCACCTAGGAGAACATTTGAGGTTTTGAGCAGCGCTAACCAGCAAGAGATCTGCAAGTGGTCTAACACTGATAATAAGGGCCTGCAAAGAAGGAACTTTTTTTCTGATTCTAGCCTCCATAAATACTAGTTCTGGCATAAGAAAATTTCTGCTAATGTTTAAAACTAAAATCTTATGCACTTGAACAAGCAAAAGACTTGAGCAAGTTGTAAGCTTGTTGTAAATACAAAAACACAGTATTGAAGTCTACCAATGATATCAGATGAAAATTGATCAGAAATGCTCAATAAATACAACAGATTCCCTTTTCATCAGACCCATGCCTATACATGAAAATGATTTTGCTAAAATTGTTCTCTGATTGCAAATTTTTGTTACTGGTCCCAATTTCAACATTTTATTTCCTTGTATAAGGTAAACAATCAAAAAATAGAAATAGAAATAATAATAAGACCAGCTCAAAAAATTCAAACTGAGGGATGATTTGAATCACAACACAAATTCGCAGTAAATAATTCCTGACAAGGCCAATCATAGTGTTTGCAAACAAAACCTTCTTCATTTTTGGCTCTTGAATAATTATATGAACCTACTAAATGATATAAAAAATTAATACAACTTCTAAACCAGAGAGTGAGTGTACCCTTTCTACCACCCAAAAAGCCCTGATGTTGTGTGCCTTGTATTTTAAGGTCATTCTTCTAACTTAGGATACAACAATTGTGTAGATAACAAATGCAATGCCAGCCAAGTTTAGTGACATCTTTATAGGAAAAAGAAACAATGAAACTTTCAAGGTAACTTTGGTTTCCTTGATACGAAACAAAATTAACTTTATGCATGACAATGCTCAAACATTTTTTAGTTCAAAAACAACAGACAATAAATGCTAAAAATAAAATAGAATATATTACCTTACACATTAAAAGGAAGGAAAAATGTCACAAAGTTGTTTGCACTATGTTCTATGCTGTCTAAACATTGGAACCACGCAGTTAGTAATTTGGTAGAAAGTGATTGGAGATTTTTTCTTTGATAAAGGTTACATTTTTAAAGAACATAAATTTTATTGTAACACTTTCACAGTAACAATGTTCTGGTTAATGAATAAATATCCAAATTGGCTAGACCGAATATTGTTTGAAAGATCACATACTTTTTATCGACAACTGAAAATGGATTATCATATTTCATTGACATTACATGGATCTTATGAGGGTATTACTCTGGTAAAGGTAAAATAAGTTATTGTGACTTAGGACAAGGAAACAGCTTTTGCGATTGGCTGTTTTCTAACTATATAACCCATATGTGATATATGAGATTCGGCTAGCCTGGCCATACACCGTGGATTTAATAGACCTAAAAAACTTGATGGCTTTTGGCGAGACAAACACAACTATCAAGCAAATTAAAAATAACCTGTCCGTCTAAAAAAAGCAGAAAATATTTTTGTATAAATGAAAAATACCTCGCGATATTTTTGTTACAGATACAAAGCCCGTTTGAGTGCAAATGGTACTGTTAATTAGACCAGAGATTACAGCAATTCTAAGAAATATATCGGTTCATGTCCAAACTAAGATATGAAGAGTTACAAATTACCAAATGTACAAGATGACCATTTGTCTGAAGTCGATAAAAAGCTTAGAGAGGTTTTCCACAATTAGGAAAGAGCGAATAATGGCAAAATTGTCCTTTCCTAATCAACTCTTAATGAATGGATACCTTCGGGCAATTACGGGATGAACATGACATCGGAAACATGTAAGCTAATTGGTGAACTCCGGCTAAGGAGGACGAATCGCTTCATCTGCCTCCTTTTGCTTCTTTCTTTCAACCTTGATCGCAAAACATAACTCACAAGCTCAAAGAACCCTTAAATTCACAGAAAGGGATAATTCTCACGGGTACTACTTTTCGATCAAGCACAACATAACATAAAATTTGAACGTAACGACGAAACGCCTACAGAAATGTGAAATTCGATCGCCGCAAATCAGACACAGAGCAGAACAAGGTCTCCATCAGTGTTGCGCTCAAGGTAACTCCAAACCATATTCGTCCTGAAAAGTCTGTGCAACTTTTTTCAAAAGCCTTGTAACTTTCACCGGTAAATTACGATGACTATTGTGATATAATCCATGCATACCTGTTTGTTTTTATTTGAGAATGATCGGGAGCAAACAGAGGACAGAAGAACACGAGTAAGCTGGTTGGCAAAAGCAATTTAGAGATACTAGAAAGGACAAGTTCAAAGCTTACCGTAAATCGCTTAGATTTCTCTGAGCTCAATGTTTCAGAGTCCGGCACCGTTACGTCTATCTGCTTTGACATCTCATTTGCTGGAAAACGCACTCCTGCCCTGCTTAGTAATCCAACGTAAACTTCGTGACAGATGGCTAAAACCAGGCTTTGCTCTTCGCGGAAGATCGCGATCGTCACAACTCCTAAGGCTTTTTTCTTGACAAGGAAAACGCGTGGGAAGGTACACCTTTTATCACTAAACACCGCCTACCACAGCTAATTTCCTGAAACTGATGTATAAAGAGCGTCAAAGAAACAATGGGTGGAATAAAGCACGGTGCTACCCTGGGAAATAGTTCTAAATGCTAATTCCAGTAGGGCTGCTACACTGATCTGCGGGGACTGGGGTCAACATGTCACACCAAGCCCGCGACTGGTCGGGAGAATGTTAGGTTTGATCATAAATCCTTGTTTTTGTTGTTGTTGTTTTTTCTTTGTTGTTGTTTTGTTTTGGTTTTTTTGGCTTTTCATTCTTCTTTTCTCTTATTTCCTCTTCTAGCAAGTTTAAGTTTTTCCTCTGAAAAAATAAACGAAGAAGAAAGAGGTGTTGAATACTTGACAGGAGAATATCGAGGTTAGGAGTTTAGTCATGCAAAAAAATATTAAGTGAAGGGGCAAATATTATACTGCGTTTAAATTATGTCGTTGATCACAATATGAATTAATTATCCAGTGTGTGTATATATGTATATAAGTATGTATGTATATGTACGTATATATTGAAAACATTCTTATCTGAACTAGTCAATTGTGGCAGTTAGCGATCCAAGAATAACTCAGAATAGAGTTACAGCACAAAAGGGGAGATTTCCATCGCTGCAGCATTGAAAAAAAGAAAACAAATAAGATGCCATGTTGCTAAATTTACCACGCTGCTTCCTTGTTTTTCCTTGTATTTCCATCGACCAGACCTGGAAGATAACTGAAGTAGTGTGCCGTTATTCAAATTTAAGCAGAACTGAAGATAGTGATAAATCCATTCGAAACGTGTGGGAGGAGGGGAATAATTAAGCCCAGCTTGGGGGTGATAGAAAAAGAACAATGAGAGTTTTACAACCGGAATGATGGAAAAAATTCGTCATCTGCGCCGAGAAACAACATTTGCTTTGAAATTTGATTCCAGGATTTTTCCTGGGTAATAGGGTACACTAATGTGACTGTTGAAGAACAAATCCTCTGAACAAAACAGGAAGTAAAAGACAAATACAAAGGAGATATTACACGGCGTCGTAGGGATGCTAATGGTATCATTCAGAAGTGAGCTCTGAGTGCCGATATCTATATCATAAACATGTTTACCAACAACTTCAGGCGTGGGAAAATTAACAGACGTGGTAGATAGGACTGAAAAAGAAGTTTTGAGATAGTATGTTTGGGCGTAAACTGAAATAATTTTGGCTATATTACGTCCATGTAAGCGTTGTAATCGCAATGTTCCTCACGGACCGTTTTGAATACGTGGGTGCGCTTACGCAAACGTCAAGTGAATCAAGCACACGGACCAATGACTTAGCAGTTACTAGGGATTCACAGGTGAACCATGGAAATTTTTAATCGACATTGGATCACTACATCACTTTATACAACTAAATATGACTAGCACTTAAATACAACGTATTTTTTTGGTCTCTAAACTCTATTATGTTCATGCAAACACAGCATAATTATCAATAAATTAAATTGGAACACAATTTATAATGAATTTATCATGAATGGTAATAAAGTATGCAACTCAATCGACGTAGATTAACCAGACACAGTTAATTCATGGGACCAATGTGAAAAGCGTGTGAAAGTGTCAATTTTGGCACAAGATCAGGTGTGAGTCGAGTTCACTCGAGGTAACTTGTCTTCTTTACATTCCTTACCTTGTCATCGATGTTCTTGAAGTTTGACATTAACTGATATAATAATTAGATGGCTAATCAAAGATAGAAATGATGCTGATGAATTTTTAAATAACAGCATAAGCAAAACAGGCGCACTTCAAGACAATGGCTCTTGTTGCCTGGGAAAAGTTACCCAGCTTTTTCCAGTTTTCAGCTATTTTTGACAATAGTCATTAGAAAAGTGCTTTGGCTTTATAGAGGGAATGTCCGCTCTCTTATCCGATAACTTAGATTAATACATTTATATTAAAGCATACTGTTTGAGGTTTTTTTTTTTTTTTACTAGGGTGTACTTCGTTGCTGAAAAGGGCAAATCTTATCTTGAGAACCGCAAATTACTTTTACGATAAGACTATGCGACTCATTCATGAAGTACTTCTTCCATTGGAGCAACGTACGTGAAACCAACAAATGCATCGTCTGGATCATCCACACTCGCGCTTAAAAATGCCGAATCAGCTGATTTACCGACAGACCCTGTTGTGAGTGAAACAAACCAGGTTAAGTTTTATGACTGACCATAACCATGACGCTCTAAATGGGACGCTAGTCTATAACAACTCACCCCTATCCCACCAAGTTTCCCTGACAAATCACAGGTACTTTATGAAATACTGGGAAAAATAGACACTGCCAGAGTTTCTGTGTCTATTGGCCAACACAACACAAAAACCCAGTCAGGGCTCGAACCCAGGCCTTTCAGTTCACAGCGCCAACTTGTAGGTTATTGGAATCTCATAAGGATGAGAAGTTTGGTAAGATTAAAGTGAACTAAACACGAGAAGTAACGCCAAGCAAAGGTACAGTCAATTTTGTTTGAATAAAAATCAAAACATCAAGAAATATTTAATACTGTGCAGTGACCACAGTAGCTTAAATGTTTTAAAAGTTAGTCATGATCACGTGATCATTCATATTAAGCCATTGATTGTTTCAAATGCGTTTGAGACGTCCAAAAATAGGCCACGGGTAATTTGCTTGTTATAAATTGCTATTTTCAGGTTATAAAAAAAAAATAGCTTTCTCATTATAGTAGCCTTTCCTAAACTCAAAGTAGTATAATATATACAATGTGTATAACATAATTTTTTCAGAAATGAGTATAGCTGATAATACATGTATACTAATACATGTATACTAATAGTTTCCGTAATATACTTAAGGATGTAACAATAGTCTTTCCATTGTCTGAGGCCTCATCACCTGTCTACATAGGAGTGTCTTACGCTCCAAATTGTAATTTGACCTGAACACAGCAGACACAGTGCCATCCCCTAGAAGTGTGGCTGCTTAATTTCAACCATCTTTTCGCATAATCACTTCACGCTACTTACAGTTTTTGGATATGAAAGCACATTGTATTAGAGGAAAAGGAAGAAAAAAAAGGCTGCTCATCACACAGATGGAAATGATGGACAGAATAATTTCAAATCAAGTGATGTGTCACACACCTGGTACAGGTTCTCGAACAAACTCAGGATCAAAATGTCTCAAGTCAAGTTGACCTGTCTGTAAATAAGAGTCAGAACAGTGAAAAATGAGAACAGTAACATGTACAACATATTAGTATTTAACATTTGGTAAATTTATAAGATGGGGACAAAAAGTTCCAGTAACATCAAATAGATTCTTCACCAACCAAAGTGTTAAGAAAAGTGAAAGACTTAACTTTAAGATAAATCAATCCTCATTGCACCAAAGTATGTACTGAAAATTTAGTGTTTACAATTGTGCATCTCTGTAATGTTTAATTGTGGAGTCTAAGATTATAAAAATGTTCAGTAAAACTGACTTAACTTACCACATTAGGGTTATATGGTGGTTCAATTTTTTTATCATACAGCAATTGCCAGTCAATACTTTGAAAAAATGGATGATTCTTGACTTCTTCCTTCAATGAACATACAAAAGTAACAAATTACACTCACAGACCTTGCAAAATTAGACTGTCTTTTCTTAATGTTTTTTTCTTTGAATAACCCCACCTTTTCTTGGTGCCCACTTTTACTATCACCTCCACAACTGAAATTGACACTAGCTACATCAGTTTAAACAGACCCACAACATTTCACTGAAAATCAAGCCCTTCCTCAAATTTTACCCTTCTCAACACAACAGTTGCAGACCACATTTTTACATGCTTCTTTTATGCAATTGCTCAAATTGCATTCCACCTGAATTTCAACTGCAGGTCAAACTAACTTTATTCCATTAAAAAATTACAATCAGATTCCTTGGGGGGAAAGATGAAGTTTCAAAAATTTGCCTTGCTTCCAATGTGTGGCTTCATAGCTTGGTTGATAGTAGTGCTCAATTACTAACTGGAATGAATGGGTTTGAATCCTGTGGAAACCTGAATTGTGAACAGCAGTCATCAACAAAAGACATGGTCAACCCTTACTCCTTGGTTTGAGAGTTCTACTGAATTATCTATTATTTATTTATTGATATTCATAATCACACTAAACAGGCATTACAAGTTGCACTGACTTACAAAGTCATTCTCTCCAACACCCAGTCGTTTTGAACGATCTTTCTGAAGTAGCTGTCAACAAATAATTACAATACTTCAATTTATTATTTCATTTCAACAAAACATCAATCTTTTCTAAAGAAAAAGAGAAAAAGAGTGCTTTTAATGAAAAAAAACAAAGCTAAGATCTAGACAATCAAAATGGCTAATCAGAACTAAGGAAAATTTCATGCAGAGCCAAAGAGAACTAGCAATTAAGACACCACTGGTTTAAGTTTTGCATCTTATTGGTTGAGAGTGTGGTTCAAGTTTCCCATACCTTTACCATGGCACAGCAAATCAAAGCTAACAAGAAGTTATCCACAATAACTTTAAACATTCAACTGGAATTTCTCTCACTACAAAAACAACTTACTTTTTCAAGAACATTTCTTGCACTGGCCGATATATTTGTTCTGAGTCGAAGAGGCTTGTGAAGAATGTTGTCATACATTTCTGCTGTATCTCGACTATAAAATGGTGGCTGAGAGGAAAAAATAAAGTCCACAACCAATTAACTTATACACCACCAGAAGCTTTCAACATATAGTTTTGTCTTAGAATGTCACTTTGACTACGAGTTTTGAAACCAATTGAAAATAATTGAAGATAATTGAAAAAACGTCAATCATGCACTAAACTTGAATCAGTTTCAAAAGGTAACAAACAAAAAAAAAAGTTTCCATACCAAACCATACATCATTTCATATAACACTGCACCAAGGCACCACCAATCAACAGTTTTGTCGTACTCCTGTTTTCGAAGAACTTCTGGTGCTAAGTACTGTACAATGACAAACAGACAAATGTCACTTGACTTATCAAACTAATAGTGAAAAATATGTAAACATTGTTTTGAAGCAGTTGGTCCAAACTTTCAACAACACAAAAACATTTCCATGTGGCCAGGTTGTGGCCAGGATGAATCTAATAAAGGTGTATGTGACCCCTTATTTTGCCAAAAATATCAGACAATTGGCTTTCTATCAGTTTACTGTGAAAAGATAGTGTGGGATCCTAGTGCTGAAAAATCCTGCTTTGAGCCCTGTGCTTTTCATAGACTACACATTTCAACATGTTATGTAAGGTATTAAGCCTGTTTAAAAGCAATTGAACAACGGAGGCTCTGTCTGCCATCTTGAAAGGGAGAATTGTAGACTAGAGCTTTGTGCAGTTTTAAAACATCAGCTGTTGTAGGGATAACAGGGTAATTAAGTACTATCAACTGAGTTGATAACATAAATTGGCCACCATAAAGAGTTTTAAAGCTGGTGTTTAGAGCATTAGCCCTTCATCATTCGCTCTGACAAAGGGCTAATGCTCAAAACATCAGCCATAGCCAATTTACATTATCAACTCAGTTGATAATATTTAAATACTCTGTTTTACTCCTTCACAAATGCAGCACCACAGTTTCTTTAGAAACTTACCCTTTTATTGTTGTAAGGATAGTTTGGCATGAGACATGACAACTAAAGGAGTAATGTTTTAACAGCTATAAACTTCTATTCCAAATACTATCAGGAATAACAGGACTTTAAACAGCAGTTCAGTAGGAGATTAATCAGTCAAATCATTCATATTGATGCAACAGCAATGAATGAATGAATTCTCTAAAAGTACTTTAAAATTTAATTCACTACCTCCACAATTGCAAGCAAATTACCTCTGGTGTGCCACAGAACGTTGATGTTGTACCAGAAGGTTCTATGCCTTCCTTGCAAAGTCCAAAGTCTGTTAAAACTACATGCCCCTACAGAAAGGATTATGATATGATATTGGAAACTTAATACACCCTCACTTCAATAAATTCATGCACTGAGAATCAATGCCTCTGTCTCTTAACAAAATGATTTTTCAGGATTTAAAACAATTGGTTAATAATCACTTTGGCTTTATAAATGGAACCCACAAACCATCTTTACAATCAGAGGAAAAGTCACCTTAACTTTCATAAGAGGACAGAGAAATCTGCCGACAGGCCCAATGATAGACTTAAAACCGAATGTAAAAAGAATCTTTTTTTGCTAATTTCAGTGCCTTATACCAGTGTTATTCCCACAACATTGAACAGCACACATAGATCACTTACTTTATGATCTAGAAGAATGTTTTCAGGCTTCAAATCTCTATCAGAGAAAAGAAAGTACATTCAGCTAAGTACAAAACACTTATATCAAAGAATTTGCCAACACACATTAAAAGCCTCACACCACCTTAACCATTGACTTAAAACACACCTCTGATGCATAACATTTTAACAATCAAAATAAGCACCAGCTACCATGACCCCTTGCTAAAACTAATACATTTCACAGTTCTTTTTAATAAAAGGGCAAAGACCTGTAATACTCTCCCCAGGTCTACATTCTATGTGAACAATCACAAACCTCACTTAGTACGGTAATACAAAGCAAAAATGTTGAAACCCACTAAGTAGTTTATAATATTTAATTGCAATTTAGTATGTAATTTGAAGACTATCCATTTCAAAAATGTGTCAATGAACTGGATACAAAAATATAGAGTTATTAAATATTTTTTCCATAAAGAAACAAGACTTTGAGAAAGTTCCACTGCTTCATTTATATACCACATAGCTCCATCAAACCTGTAAATTATTTGAAGAGAATGAAGATATCCAATTGCAGATGCTATTTCTGCTGCATAGAATCTTGCCCTGACAAAAAGAAAAATATAAGAAGCAAGAAAAATTTACAGATTAAGTTTGATACAGATCTGTCATAAAGTGCATTTAAAATGATGAAAATAAGTAGGCTTTATCTATTGTGTGTCCCTGTTGTGTATAAGTTCTTTGCATCAGCCCAGAGTATGAATGTTTAGCTTGGTTATCCATAGCTGCTGGAAGGCAGGACAATGACAAACCAAAATACCTGAGTCCTTATGGATATTCTTTTACATGTCCATAACAAAACATACAACATCATACTTTTAGTTATCACTTTCTTTGACAAAGAGGATTGCATTTGTCATAAGAATTCTCCCTCCATTCCTCCTCAGCCAAACTCTTTCTACTTGACTGAGAAATCTAAATTTAATTTGGGCAACACTGGACAATACTAACACTTGAAGTACAAGGCATAAGATGTTCAACATTAATCTTAAGGCTAACCACCTCTCCATAACAACTACATTTACATAAGACATCTGAGTACTGACCTTGCTTCTGGAAAATACCTTTCCTTTTGCAAGTGAAAGAATAACTGAAAATATGAAGAATCAGTTTAAGATACAGCTTGGTGTCGAGATAAAATTATAGAAGAAAGTAAAAAGATCTTATATCTTACCTCCCCTCCATTTACATAATCCAAAACAAAGTAGAGTTTATCACGTGTTTGAAAGGAGTAATGCAATCCCTGAAATGTTTATCAAAAAGATAGTCAAGTTATTACTCTTTTAAGGTAAATTTTAAACGTTTTGGTTATGTGTGATGTATAATGACTGAAACACTGCAACAGGAACTGGCAGGTTTGGAGTACACCTCCTGAGTTAGAGAGCCTCTACTCATCTGAGGCAAAAATAAACCTAGTTGGTTGGGTGTAAACAAGACAAAACCCTTTGAAACTCCAATTTATATAATATCACCTTTCACATCAGATGAAGGGTTACTTACCACTAAGAAAGGATGCTTAACATTCATCAACAAAACATTCCTTTCTGCCATGATATGCTTTGCCTAAAAAGGTTAAAAATACTATATTAAGTAAAAACAGAAATGAATGATGTATTGGTTTTTATACAACAAGAAGCAAAAGCTTCTGTCAGTTTAAGTTCCAAAGAAGCATATAGGCCTTATAATTATCAGTGTTGTTTTCCATTTTCTGTAAATTAAAATTTCTACCATAAAATGCTCAGCAGCTATCTCATTTGCACACTACCCATGGCATGTTGCAGAGTCAAGCAATCTCCAAACTATTGAGCGCTTGAGATATAATGAAACAAAAATAATTTGATTTTTTTATATTTAACTAGTTTAACCCTTCTCAGAGGTAATTAATATGTAACTTCTCCCTATAATATTCAAACACTATCTTGAAAATAGGTAAGGAGAATACCCAAACTTATCAAGTAGAAGATCTAACACTAAATTCTTGTACCTTGGAAATGTATAGCAGCAAGAGGGGAGAATTAACAATCAGATCTTGGGAGTTATGGGATTAACCAAAAAAAAGAACATTCTAAGCAAAAAATTAATCAGTAAGTGATGGCTGATTGGGTACTGTGGAGATGACAAAAGCCAGCTTCATCTAAAATGAACAGTTTGCATACAGTGCAAGAGTGACATATATCAGATCAGAATCAACCCATAAGCTGACGATTTATTTCTGGATTGTTTGCTTAAAATGACCAATTTCTATTTAATTCCACCCTTTACCATTTCAAAATAAAGCATTCACAAACCTCATTTCTTTTTCTAATGGCAGCTTTGTTTAAAACCTTAATGGCATAGAATTCATCTTCTTGTTTATTTTTGGCAAGGAAAACCTGAAATAAAATAACAAAACTTAAATTAGGAATATCAAACCTTTGACTACAGGTACACTCATTTGATTGAGTTTTTCAAGAGTTTTACAACAAAAAAAGCTTTTAGATAAAAATATTTTTGAGTTTTGTCAACCAAAAAGCTTTGGGTTAAAATCCCTGACAAAAGCTGTTGGTTTACTTCCACTTGTGATACCTCTCTAACCACCATCTGTTTTGCCTATGAGCAAGCTCCTGTGATCAGGTTTCATGTTGGCTCTCACAAAAGCAAGTTACGAGTGGGCAAAGGGTCTTGAAACAAGAGTCTTCCCCTGAGCTATTGACTTGCTTGATTAAGTCCCTTACAGAGAAAGCTTTAAAACCCCAGAGTTTAAATTACTTAAAATGAGGTCAGTAAGAATAACTAGAACCAAGAGAAGACTAACTAACCTTTCCAAAACTCCCTTTTCCAATAACCTTAAGAAACAGGAAGTCACTTGGCTTTGCCCTGTTAAAAACAAATGATGAAAAAAATTGCATTTCTTGGGTGCATTGGTCAATTTTATATCCTTTTTAGCAGGTTACAATTTAAATATTCGACAAGATATTTCTGCAGAAGTCAGATCTTCAAAGAACTTTGAAGAATGCAAAAGTCCTACTTACTTTTGATTATACGAGTCCCCAAGATCAATTCTGTTGAGATCCTTAGCCTTTATTCCAAAAACAATTACATTTGACATCAATAATCATTTCATATTTGCAACCTAACTTTCATGTGTAAATAAATAAGCCTTGAATGTTCTACTGATAGCTACTGGAAAGGTAAGACTAATCTATCAGATAAAGTTTAGTCATTCAACTGAACTCCAAATCTCCAACAGGAGGAATTGGGCTGGCATCATCTTGTTATAATTATCTATAGGCACTTAAATGGGTGAAGATTTGGCTTCCAGTAATAAATGCATTTGCAGCTCAAGGAAAAGTGTTATTTAAAAAAAAGTACAGGATTCAAGTTATGGTTTGTAGTACTTAAACAATATGGTCATGAGTGTCTAATTGTTATTAAGTTTTCCACCCCTAAGCTATCCTTTGATTTAACTTACTTTTAACTTCTACTCTAAAAAACTTCAAACACATCTAATGAGACAACTAAAAATATTGTTATATCATTCTGATCAAGGGAAAAAAAGGAATGGGAACAAAAAGGACAAAAGGCAATGAGTACTTCAATTTATAATTTTGAAATGAAAAAAAAAACTGGTCATTTGTTTTTCTTTTTGTACCAGATGAAAGCATTTTCACTAACTTTGCAAAATAATTTCAGAGTAGATAGGTGATTATATAAATTATGACACTTATGAGGTCTAAACTTTCATTTACTTATAAAAACCATGATGGGAAAAAGTATTTTCCATAACAATAATTCTAATGTATCACAATAAAATTACTTTTCCATTAAGAAAGTTCACTATACCAGTGAGTCATCTTCATCAGCTCCAAACTGCTCATTGTCATTGTTAACTTGGGCATTTTTTGGATTATCCAGTGATAAAAACAGACGAATGTCAGGACTAGAGAGAAATAAGCAATTAATGGTTGAAGCAATTTAAATTGGTGTCAGAGGTTTGTACTGTAAATTTGTATGAATGTGCAGAATCTGAAATCACCACCAGAAACATGGAATGTTGGTACAAGTCTATTTGGAGCTTGCTAGCATGCAGCTGTAAGTCATTACAATCAATTATCAAAAATTCAAAAGTTTTCTTAAATTAAAATTACTTACTCCCTATTTACCAACAATAATATTTATAACAAAAAGTAAAAGGAGCAAGAGTCTGAACTTACTGCTCAATGGCACTGGGATGGCTAATTATCTTGGTTGTAAACTCATTAAGCCCCTCTCTTCTCATTCTTATGAACTCTGACAAAGAGAAACATGAAACAAAACATTTCAGTAACTGATTGGTCACTTCAGAATATATTCTTAAAAAAAAACTGACTGATACACAGCTTTGGTTCATCTGTGATTCAACCCTGATTTTTTTTCAGTCTCACAAATTGTACAATCATACAGTTCTACAAAGCCTTAGCAATTCATGAGCCAAGTTCATCTGCATGCAAGAACAGCAACCAAAATAATAAATATAAATGATACAGTCTAATTCCTGTGATTTTCAGCCCTCGAGGCCTGTTTCTCATTTGCCTTAGCTTACATTGCTCATTATTTAAAAGGTTTTTCACCCAAAAATTATGCCTTGTTCCAGAGGACTTTTTGTGTCACCATGATACTATTATAAGTGTAGTGAGTTCTATTTATCATAGAGCCACAAAGGTTGGAATATTCACAAAGCTATTCGCAGTTCCACAGACTCCATAAAGTCATTTTCCTGAGAAGTCCTAGGTAACATGATGATGTGGATAAAGATGCGACAGACTTCAGATAACCCCCTGAAAAATTGTCACAAAAGCCAAGAGACTCATAACAGTGGACCTTATTTCAGTTTACATAGCAAAGCAAACAAGAGTGTTGCTACTCCTCCTGAGAAGGATGTTCATCCAAAATTTAATTGGTACCAATTTATACCAGAGAGGGGCTAAAGGTGTCTTGCTTAGGAACACAACATCATGATAGTACATAGGGCTCAAACTTAACCCCATGATGCAAAGGTTAATGCATGATATATTAGGTCTCTAATAGACAGTGAATCATAAACCTTATGAACTCACTTTAAAACAGCATGAACCTGCATGACACACATTACTGTTTATGATAGGGTGAAACTTTATTTCTTTTAATTCCGAGTGAAAGCCACCATTATTTTGAAGTTATTTCCAAAATTTACCATTCTATCTAAGGTTGGAACATATTCTAATTGACCATAATTTTCCATCACCTTTTCACCTGCTTTGTTCCATGGATTACACCTTATCCATCATTACTCACCTGGATCAAAGTTATTTCCTAGCCTTCGTTTTCCAGGTAACTTAATGTTTAGGTCAGGGAAAACTTTCTTTATCTGAAATTAAGAAAAATAAACACATTTAGCTTAAACAAAAAAACCAAGGTTTGTGAGCTTTCATATAATTCAAAAGGAACAATTATCAAATAAATGCACACAACCTGACATGTACAATAGTGATAGCATTCTATTACTGATACTGACTTTGAAAACAGTAATTGTTGGGTGGTGTGGCAATTGTGCATTTAATTCCTCCTTAATGAGGTGGGTGGAAGTATGACCCACATGAAAACAACTGTGTGGAAGGCTAATGTTGTGAGGGTTAAAAGATAGATTATGTAATCAGCTAAGGATACAGTAGACCAGTGCAGGTATCCATCCCCAAAAAGACTATTGACACACAGTTTGAAGCATAACCACTAAAAACTATATATCAATGAAAAGGTTATGAAATGCACTATTTGCCAAAAATCTAAACTAACTGTAAACTGAATGGGGCATGACAATTCAAAGTAGAAAAAACTTAATGGTTGCTGATCAAGTGCAACAATGAATTTTGCCTAAACCACAAGCCTCTATCCATTATGGTAAGATTCCTATGCCATTCTGTACTGAATTCCTTTATTTTTTATGCCGACAGCCAAGCTTCTTTTTAACTTTCACCTCTGGATTCTTCTTCTTTTTATCTTTCTCAATTCACCAGCTAGTTTTAAACACAGACAGATGGAAAAGATCTACACATGTAACCCAAATCAGGATATGTTAACACAATTGGAGTGTAAGGATCAGGATGTTTCACATCAAAAATCCTTCAGTCATTTATGTTGCCTATTCACACATTGACAGGCCAAAGAATTCAATTTAAAAATATGGTTTTGTAAATAACTTGCACAAGTTCCAATATTTTATCAAATTATTACTTAGTCAATTTAATTATAATGCTTAGTTTGACATTAAAAAAAATTGGCCCATGGAGGTCTACTGTATCCATAACTCCAAAGATCTAACACCACCTTCAAGCAGGTTTACACTTCCTAATAAATTACTTGAAATGAGCACAGCTGCCCATAATTCTCTCATGTGTAAGTTAGGCTAAATTGCCTTTGACTTCATATAATTTGTGATGAGCAAGGCTAATTTTGAAGAACACCACATCCCTTGCCACTCAAATTTCTCCAGGATTCCTACACTACTCCTGTAAAAGACTATAACATATGTCACCTTTTCATATAAGTTGTAAAACTCATTATATCTTCTGAAGATGAAATAGCTTCGTCCATCAGGAAGCTTCACTAACACTTTATACACCTTAGAAGATAGAAGGATATGTTTCGAAAAAAAAACATTGCATTGAACAACATATTGCTATCTACTGCTGGAATAAAATCCCTTCATTATATTCAGTAAAATATCAATATTTGTACACAATTTGAAACAAGTTGAGTGGTGTTCTAGAGCGACAAGCATTAGCTGAAAGGGCATATTTCGGGAATATATCTGCTTGGACCTGTCATTTGATGTTTAAGGAATTATTTCAAGTCTTTTTCAATTGTACAGAAAGAAGAGAGCTTTGTCCAAAGGTTTAACCTCCACCACGATTGCTGCCTTCAAGCCCCCTCCCACACCCACCAAAGTGATGTTAATAACCCCTTCAACTTTCCACTACATTTTGACACAAAACATCCCTGTCCCTCTCCCTTCACAACTTGTGATCACTAAAATTTTCCATCTGTCTGAAAAGTAGACTTGGTTTAATGCCAAGACCATCGTCTGTAAGAGGAAAAGTGAAACAGGAACAAAGATAAAATTGAAAACGGAACATACTTCATATAAGAACACACTGGTTTTCGACTGTTTCAACCTCGCCAAGTGATAATGAACCATAATTTAACTAATTCAGACATATCAGTGAACAAAATAACCATCAAGTCTCATCATTTTTCTCATGGATCTCATCCTGATCGGAATTTTCTTTGTCATTATGCCGTGTTATATATGCGTTCGAGAACTTAATTGAAGTACGCCCAACATGTTGTTGAGTAGATCAAAAGTAGTTAGCTTCTTTTATTGGAGGCTAAACTTGAAACAGTTGGGAAAAACGTGAGGCCGACGAAAATTTTGTACTGACATAACCATTAACGATTCCATCCTTAATTGAAAATAGTTTGAACACAACAGGATTATCGTGCTTTTTGGCTGTAAGCTGACAGATCGAATTCCCGTAAAAAACAAACTCGTCAAGAGCGACAAATGAAAGGGAGCTAGCAAGAAAAAAATATTAGGAAATTAAACCTACCGTAAAACGTTTGGACTTATCAGAGCTCAGTGTCTCAGAGTCTGGCACAGACACTCCAATCTGTTGGGACATGTTTCATCAGCTGAACTGGGAAAAATTTTCAAAGGCAAGCTCTCGGTTGTAGTCCTTTGCGCGTGGCAAAGAAAACAGACGGCGTACTCCCTCGAGAAAATTTTGTTGTTCCCCAAGTGCGTCCCAGTAACTACACGAACGACAATGAAGTTTTAAACAACTTAACATCCATCTGCGGTTGTGTATAGAGCGAAAACATCCGTTTATCGAACACAAACACCTTATGGCCCAAATCCTGTAAACAACTGCTTATCCGGCCTGGATGTGAATAAAAAGTTTCTCGGCTACAACTTGGAAAGACTGGTAACCATAGCTGTAAATGAAGGATAGAAGGGGGAGGGGAGGGTAATGTGGAGTTTCGAAGATAGGTAGAAGACCTCCAAGCACCCGCAAAACTTGTCCCAGGGGCAGCTACAGAACGTTTTTAGGAAATCGTAGAAATATACGACGAAATAGCCGTTGCTTGTGTAACAACTAAAATATCATTTTTACAAGCAATTTCTGTGCCGATATCGGTTTATGTGGGCCCTGATATCTTTAATGGAGAAATTTAATCTGTCGGTTTTTACATTGTATGTAGAAGTTAAGAAATTAGAGGCCGCCAGAAATGTTTTCAGAAACTTGCATTTTGTAACTACCGAAGTCTTGATTCATGTGGTTTTCTAAAATAGATAGTAAAACTGACTGTTTTGGAGGGTATTTCTGAATCTTAAATTGACAATACGTACTGCGTTATTCAACTTGAGTAATGTATTCCAGTTATTCTGTCTTTCAGTTTTCACGTACGTAGCATTTTATTGGAAGTAAAAGAAAGGAATTTAATGTTACGTGAAGGCTAAAAAAAGGCAAAAATGACGTCACGATGAGTGGGTTGGCAGCGGTTTTCAAAGTGTGCATCAAAGATACTTAGACCATACATTACACGTGCACTTTGTTTGATACACGTGCAATTTGAAATTCGCAAACCTTATTTCTAATTTATATTTTCAGTAGAGTACGGACTAGAGCACATCCTTCGAGTGATCAACAGCTTCGTGCTGTGTTGGAAACTGTGCGATACGTTAATTACTCTTAATTTGATTGACATTTGTGAGCGATTTCGTTTATCTATACATAACCAAACAAGTACGTATGCGGCACTTGTTATATCGCCCCAAATATGGCACTGTCCGACGTTGCTTACAACGTCCCCTTGCAACGGGACGGTGTGTTTCTTTCGAATAAGGCGAGAGTTGTGAGTGGAAGTTAACCGAAGCGCTGTGGTAAAATCGTCAAATCAAGTGAATAAATCGTGAGTTAATAAGGAAGCGTGGTACAGCTCTTTCACGTTTTGGACAGCTGGTCTCCTCGATGACCATTGCATATTATCAATTTCTAGTAAGCTGTTAAACTCCATGGCAAGTGTAACCATAAGATTAGTCCAGATATAAAAGCAAGAATAGAGTTTTCTCAGCCAATATCCAATTCTACGGAAAACAATAGACAGACCACGAAGCTCCAGGGAATAAAACCCCTCAACACTGTGGTTAATTACAAATGGCCTCCAATTGAGGTCCATCCACTATTCAACGCTGTATTGATCATCAGTTACCTCGTTAATATTCATTTGCGGAAAAAAATTCTTTAGGTCCATCATTAAAAACATAGGCATGCGTAGCATGCAAGAGTTACTTTTTGGCTGGGCGGGTTGAGATGGGGCTTCACTTTGTGTACCTGATGTTTCATTTTTGTGACAGAAAGAGAGCATAACTTTCAAACGGATGAAAATATCACATTACTTAACCTTAAACACGAAGGCGCGCTATAAAAGGAAAGGTGCCTTAGGTACCTCTGGATCATTTGTCAATCAACCGTCGTGGCATACAGAACTCCAAAACAGCTTGAGCTGCAGTCAATGCAAGGCACTGACCAGATGCGCATTTCTAGGTAAAACCCTTATTTATCTGAACTCACTCAATTACTTTATAGTCTATTGTCTCTATTGTCGAAATACTTCCAGGCAAAAATGTAATGCCTCGGTGTCAAACTTACTGATGCAGCAGTTGTTTTGTCTCGTCACACAACGCCATCTATTCCCCGTTGGAGAGAAAGCGCGTTGCGTGATGAGACCAAACAACGGTTGCGAAAGAGACTACGCTTACTGCCGTTCCTCTAACAGGAAGAAAATCAAAATTATTTGTCTACAGTTTGTGGCCTGAATAATATAATTCCACGTGATTTTACTACGAAAAGCAAACTGAAACTCTGTTGTATCTCCAATAGACCCTAACGAAAGATATATTGCGATCTCGAATAAGTGAAGATACATTTAATAAGAGAAAAGGATAATATTTCAGAGGGCTCCTTGATTAGTTGTAGTCTACCTGGACTTTGCCCTCTGTGTGTGAAATACGCAATTAAATACATACCCATATGCAGCAATCTGATTGGTGCGAGACGCATACCCAAATGCGGCGATCTGATAGGTGCAACGAGCAACGTACCACTAAAAAAATATTAACTCAAAAGGGAAGACGCCACGTTACAATTTGTGCATCTAGAAAAACCGAGACTTAAAATGCTCGAAGTTTTCCTTCGTAATCCGCCCTTAATCCTATTCATCCTAACGCATCTTTGTTGTTTAATTGATTATTTTCATCTCTTTGGTATTTGTCATCCACTGAATATCATTTTGGGCTTCCCTTATATTTTGCAGCGTGGTTTCAAAAAAACCACATTGTAAAAGCAATTAAAAATCTGGCGACTTCTCTTCATGTTGCCAGGAAGTACAAAAAAAAGGAACATTTGAATAAAGATCAACGTTAATTTTATTTGTTTCGTGTGCTTCAGAGAGGCCACTTCGTTTGAATTGAATTCAAATACATACGCTGCATATGTACCTATAACCCTCTTCAAAACGATGCAATAACAATCACCAAGATTTGAGCGCCGACAAATGGTTAGTCATCGAGTTCAAAGATCAAATTGTTGGCCATCCCAAAAGCTTCTACTCCGGCTTGGTTACTTACATTATCATCTTTAGATTGTATATCATCCGCATTAGATCCCTTATCTCCATTTTCGGAAGAAGTCCCTGTCCCCCGTGATTGATCATCAAACGCGTCCCATCCTGTTCCGCTATCTACGGGTGACGTCCCATTGCTAAATTCAGACCCACTTGATTCACTTTCAAATGAATGTTTTCGTGCTTCAGCTTTCAGTCTTGCCTCTAATTTCCTTTTCTTTTTATCTTTCTTGTTGCTAAATACACGAACATTAGGGTTGAGATTAAATCGTACATTTTTCTTGCTTGGGGAGTCGGGTACTCCGTTCCACTCATTCTCGTCACCTTGTGAATCATCGGTGGACGTACTTGAAGTCCTCCTCAAAATCGATCTCCTGCTTTTTACTGCGTTGCTTATAACATCAATTGGCACAAAGCTGTCGCTCTTTTCCGCGCTCGCTTCTTCGCTCTCAGGGTTCTCTGAGTCCGACATCACGGTCTCTCCATTCCCTTCGTCATTTAATTTTGTTATCGGTTGGCTATCGTCTAGTTGGATTCTTTCAAGATCTTTCACAACCTCAGTCACTTTAATTTCCTCGTAAGAACTGATGCTGTCTCCCATTCGCCTTTTGTCTAGCTTCTCGTCCTTAGCGTTAATGTGAGATTCAGAGAATTCTTCGTTTTCATGGCTGTTTCCTAGATCAGTTCTCTCTATCCCAAGGCTGAGGCAGTCATCGGTAAGAGAAGAAACTTTCGCATGTGCTTCACCATTAGGAGCAGCGGTGGACTACAACGGACAGGAAAATGGAAAATGAAACAGTAAATAACACTTAACAGAGTAAACACTGAGACAGCACAGGTTGATGGGCCTGCAGATCCCACGTGTTAAAGCAGAAGGTGGTACATTGTGTTAGTTCACAGAGGGGAAGTGGGAGTTTTTGTACCTGTAGCATTTACTTTTCCACACCGTCTAGCCAGTAAAACTACAGACAAAATAGCTACAGTCACTTTCAACTCTTTTAAGCTGGTTGAACTTTAAGAAGCTATGCATTGCATTTCTTTGAAATAAAAAACGTCTCATGAAGATTCAGTTATAACTGATAGTATGAAAATGCTTGAGTCATAACGGTAGGTACGTTGACTCGCGACTTGCTTTGGTAGAAATTACTTGAAATCCCTTGCTGTTTCCCCGGCACCTTTCTTTTTTTTAAGTCACGTACAAATTTTGTCTCTGACAAGTGTTTCCTTGACAAGTCTCCCTGTTCAAAACATGATATGTCAGTGTTTGAATAACAGGACTTAATGTTTTTGGTCAAGACTCTCAAGGTAAACTTGTCATAGAAAAACCTGTCGTGCGAACAAACCACATACCCACGGATCCTGCTCGGCAATGTCATCCATCATCACATCAACCATTTTTTCAGAGACAAGGAACTGAGTCTACAAAATAAAGGACATCCAACACTTATGGGACTATGTGATAATTAAAAGCCAATTAGTACAGGAACAAATGGGAGATTTAGTGGATCAACAATAGTGTTCTCGAGTAAGACACTGACCGTGTCTCTATTCACCAAGGAAAACAAGTGGACACCAAGAAAGCTGTCAGGGAAATCTCCTGAAATGCGAAGGGGAAGGGGAAAGGGGGGGGGGTTGTCCTCGCCATAGACCAACATACCATATGCGGAAGTGGCTAGTTGGTATTATGCTTTATAACCCAACATAACCTATAACTTTTATAGGCCACTGGGCTTGTAAGATTGCACCCTCACTGCACCACTCCCAGATGTGGTACTTACACCTTCATTAACAGTAATTAATATGTTTGATGAAGAATACCATCTAAAATGCTCAAAACTAATTGTCACTAAGTTGAATCACCTAGAGACTAGCATTTGTCAGCACATAGTGAGGAAGGTAATTTAAAAGACACCATCAGATCAAGCAATACAATTAACTGGCAAGGTGAAAGCCACACCCACTTGTACCAAAATGTACCTAAACACATTTAACAAAACAGTGGACTACACTATCAATAAGATTAATGACACACCAATCCACACCACAAAAACAAACAAACGGAAAAGTATAAACAAAAAAGAAAGTTAAGATATCAAAAGACAAAGGCTAGTGACCTATGAGCTCATGGAGTGTTCTGCAATTGGTTATGAAACCCAAACCAATAAAAATTGCACCCTATAAATCCGATGAAATCAGTTAATATGCTCACCTTTAAATTTTCTTCTCCTGAACCTGCCTCAAAACTATCCCACAGCCCCTTGCAGGCTTCCTGTTTGTAAAGGTTTAGAACAAGGTTTCCCTCACTGACGTCAATGTTACTGAGATCTGCATCAAGGTTATGATCATCTGGGAACTGCAGATACAAGGCATAATCTGGTGCAGGCAGCTCTCCTGGGTAAGACTTTCCAGATGGGAAACTTATGTAAGCCTAAACAAGGTAAAGGTGTTGAATCAAGTACATCAATAAATCAACAAAGTGAAAAAGTTTAAGTTGTCACATTCCTAGTGATACAAACAGATGTTATCCTATTTCAGAGACTTCATTAGGAATCAGAATTAAAAAATCAGAAATCAGATAGTTCTCCAGCTGATATGCAGAATTCTCCAGCTTAAACACAGAATTCTCCAACTAAATTTTGATGGCCTCAGCTATTATGTATTCAGACATGAAGAATATTTACCTGTCACTACACACTATTTTCCAGACATTACATTCCTCAATGAAAACCTGTATATTTCTGATATACAAAGTTATCATGGATATTGCCAGTCCCTTAAATGAGTTGCTAGATTATTTAAGTGCTTTGACCAGACATCAGCATTTGCAGAAAGACAAACTTTATCAATATGTTTCTGAATCACACTAATGAATCAAAATAAAATTCCCTATTTCCTGACCTTCCAAAATGTTTAACCTGACCTAGTGAAACAATATTAAAGGTATGCTGAAACTTCAACTTTTCTTTCTTTCTCATACTTGACAAAATCAATCCCTTTGAAAGCATGTTAGTGAATTCAAGGCAATATATGCCATGGCTGATTATCACTTTTTTCCAGGCTGCCTGGTTTCAACTCATAAACAACAGATAGTCGAGTTTTACAGATCATATGGAACTAACAGGGATATTTGCCAACCTTATTCTTTTTGAATCCCAATGAAACTGAGTCAAGTGCAATATTTGGGACATCAATGATAACTGTGATTACATCATCACACTGGTGGTATCTGTAGGGTGGGGTGGTAAAGAAACAAGGAGAGGAGAAGTCTAAAAAAACAAAAAAACAAAAATTGTCATTGTTCTTGCATATCATAGTTTCAAATTTGATCAAAGGATGGTTGATAGGTTATCAGAGCATTTTATTTTATCATTTTATTTATTGAGGGGAGGTGTGTCCCTTGTAAGTACAACTGATTAGAAAAGTCCAAACAGAGAGGTTCATAAAAATTTCAACTAAAATCTTCCTCTCCCTTTCACAAGCAGAGCATAAAACATTTCTCAAATGAAAATGACCTCAACAATTCCTTATCTTGACTTCTACAGGCAATATTCCTTCTTGCAATAGCCCCATAAAGTCGGGGCCAAAAGTCTGGACAAAATTATTTATTAAAAAGATGTTTAATATAACACTCAATTATGTAAATTGATTTTAAAAAAATGCATAATACATGTTGTTGGAAGTGAGACCTAGGAATCCCATGTTACAGTTAAGATGGGTCTTTAATTGAGAAAAGACAAACCTGAGGACGAACTTGGCAGTTTAAACCGAATGTCTGTTTCATCTTCCAAGTCACAGACGTCAAATGCTTCATTCTCTTCAGTACCCTTATCAAGCAAAGTTCTTATATTATCCTTTAAAGTTTGCTCCACAGATTCACGTTTGGGCTGTTGAAGTTCTCCAGATGAAAGTTTTTCATCTTGGTTGCTTGTTTGTGGTGAATTTGGTTGTTCCTCATTTCTACATTGCTCATCTTCTACTTGGTCACCTGCAACAATTCCCACATCCTGAAGGAAACCAAATAAAATTAGGGGTGGGCAATGCTAAACCCTGTGCAGTTTTTCGTATTTTCTCTGACTTTGTTGTCTTGCTCATTACCAGAGCAAGAGGTAAATGGGGACTGGGGGGAAAAATTTCAAATTCATTTTTAAGTCCAATCAAAGTGAATTTCTGTCACGAATGTTCTTCAGTGTTTTGTTAAAATATTCTCTTACCTCATATTGAGTGAGTGTTTTATCAGGGTTTCTATTCATGATAAAAGTATGAGGCAGAAGGCTAAGCACTATTACTTTTTTCAAGTGTTTAGAAATTCATGAACAATAAACCCACTAACAAAACAAAAATTCATGACTGTATTTATCAGGTTTTTGCTTCCTTTGTTTCATTAACATAATTTATGCACATATTTCCTAGTCAGTTTCAAGAAAGGTTGGTGTCTTTTTTCACTAGAGGCATCAGTTTGCATGGACCTTCTCAGTTGCAATTTTGATGAATGGAAGAAGCAGCTAAGGAAAAGTCTTCCAAGTTTCAAATACCAGGAAGTTGCCTGGAGAAAGTTTTTTTTTTGCTCAAAAATTCAATGCCAAAAAGTACACAGTACAAACTTAAGATAGGTGGGCTGTTAATGTTTTCCAAAATTTGTTAGCCTCATGAAAGAGAAAATGCTCCTTACTCAAGCAGGGGAGTATGTTCAAAGGTTATGATTTTCCCTGTGTTTGGATATCCAAATACGCTTGCTCACCTGTTTTTTACCAGGGTATCAAGAGGCATCCATGTAACTCAAATGTAGATACACAAGTGGCTAATTACCTCATACATAATTTACAAGTCTAATAATTAAATATTAAAATTAGAAAGGTGGTCAGTCAGGGACCATTCCTTGGGTGCACATATTTTCTGATTTCAGTGAGGGTGTTGTACAATTTCCTCACTAGGCCCAGGATTGACCAGTATGTAGATCCTCCTTAACATTCTATTGCACTGCTGAACAGATAAATAACCATACCCACCATTTGAGGAATATCCGTAGCTGGTAATACAGGTAAAGTAACAGTTAGCTGTCTCTTGCTTATGTCAAATTTAGCTGATCCATTTTCTTCATCTATTGGATAAGGAAGTGCTATGTACTTTATATTAAGGCAAAATTCACTTTTTTCTTGCACTGTAACATGAATGTGATTGGTTAAGTTGACTGGTTTCAATCCCTTATTACAGGAAGAGTTTATCTTTGCTTCCAGTTGCATAAGATGCTTGTCTATTGCAAGTAACCTCCCAACAATTTATCAAGCATCCCGACACTTTGCATGAACCCATGTAAACAACTAGGTGGAAAGAGACATGGTGAGAGAAAAGGGTCCCACTTAAAAAACACAATGAATGGTCACGGTTATGAACCCAAACACTCTCCACTAAGTCTTGATGAACTACTCTTGAGGCCTGTGTTACTTATTTGTGCAGATGAATCCCCCAGTGAATGTATTTGCTCAACTAATAATGTCTATTTCACTCCACGTAATCTTTAAATTGTACAAGGACTGAGGCAGTAGCTCTTTGATAAATAATAAGGATATGTCTAAATTGTAACAAGGCTTCTCACAACCCAACACCAGCTGTTTCTCAAGAATATCCAACTCCAAAGGTGCTGCAGACTCCTGCGGATCACAAAAAGGGGGTTTATATGTGGCAGTATGGAATAGTTTTTCCCACTTATGAAATATAAGATATATATACAGTCATGTGAGAGTTAAGGGTTCAATCCAGTAAACAAAACAGCGCATGTAACTTACCAACAATGGCAAGTCGATGTAGACAACAAGTTCTTTAGGTCTTGTAGTAGGATTAGAATCCCTGCATTCAAATTATGACAATGACTTATTAGGAAAGAAGATTTTAATGCAACTGATCTCTTCCACAAACTACACAAGAATTTGACTTTTTCAGCCCAGGTGGCTAAATGAGGAATAATTAGAGGATAGTGGCAGAAGTATATGCAGCCCACAATGTATTTTTCAACCGCAAGTTCCAGGTGATGGTATTCTTTGAAGTAGAGGGGACAGGAGGGCACGAGCCCTAAGAGAACAGGGGGCAGAAGAGGGCAGGAAGAGGGAGCAGAAATTAAAAAGACACTTTTTAGTTGTTTATTGAGGCTACTGCCTCCTATAAGAAGCAAAGCCACATATGTTGTCAGGATGAGTGGGTGTGTGAATGAGTGTAACAATCGATTTCCAATCTTGGCCAAATTTTCACCCTATGTTTCCTAGTACTACTGATCATTTTTTTTCTGAGTATTTTCGTAATTTGACATTCGCACTTGATACACAGTTGAGTTCTCTCCTTTTGTGATTTCTGGCTTATAGCCACAAGCACATTATATTTTTAGTTCTTGCCCTGACACTACAGAAGATGGTAGAAGACAATAACCATCTCACAATCATTTCAGGTTTGCATGTAATTAGAAGCAATAGGTGTGATTGGCACATCATGATCAGAGCTCAAAAATATTAGTGATTTAACAATTTATTGGGGGTGTTACAATAACAGTGTAATTTGTAATTCCATTTGTCTATGCATACAAGCATTTCATGCAGTGAGGGCCACTAAGTTGGTTGGAAGTGATCTATTATTACTGACCATAATAGTGGCACAATCAAAATGACAATTTAAGATTTGAGAATATCATAATTCTGTGCAATGAATATGCAATTGGTGAAACTGGTGAAAATTAGTAAAAAGTACTGAACTCTTAAGGTTGCATTTTGCTTTCAGGTATGATTTCCAAATGGCATAATCCCAGTAAAAAAGGGATTCTGAAATGCAAGTAAATACACATTTGAAACTGCAATAGCTATAAGATTACACAATGGGCTGCAACTTTCTTCTCTATAGTGAGATGCTAGAATTGATAGTCTAACTCTGATAACCAGGTCAGTTACAACTAGCCTGTAATAATGTTCATCTTAAGAAAATTACCTCCCATCCCTGCAATGCCAGAGAATGGTCATGAATGATAAGTTTTGGAACTGTTTGCCAAAAACCCAGTTTTCTGATCCTTTTTATTTACCTGAAGGTAGGAGTAATACAATGAAGGGCAGGAGTGGGGAGGCAGAGGGGCACAAATGTACAGGGGACAGGAGAACATGGCACAGGAAGTGGGAGGCTGTGACCCCTGTGTGCCCCCCACTTTGAAATTCCGGTGCAAATTTTGCAACTGACACTTAAACTATGCAATTTTATAGCTTGATTTCAAATAAAAAAGTTGCAAATCAGTTTTAAAAAATGGTGGTATGGCTTTGTTTGGTATTCCATGGCTATTATAAAAATTAATACTGATCATAGTAGCACCTTGCATTTGTGAAGTTCTGAAGATCAATAAGCCCTCGATGCACAATTCTAAACTCTGGTACACTGGGCTCATCCGTCTTCTTTCTATGTCTATGCCCATCCTTGACTGTTGGTTTTTTCTCCTTGGTCACAACTGTTGGTTCATCACTATAGGGATATGGAAATTTTGCATCACCAATCATCATCTCAGCTGAATCTTCAGGCACCTATACAGAGGAATATTGACAAAAATTTATTTTGCATTTACCCCATGTTAATATGATGACAATATTTCATGGGTAATGGTATCTTTCTATTATATTATTGACTACCGTATCCTTGTGTAATGGTCACAATGTTTTTTCTCTGAGAAACGGAAGAGAAAAGTTTGATATAGTCAAGTCTTATTTGGATATACAAGTAAGCCATTTGAACAGCCATGATTGTGCTGACATTAAATTGATGACTAAAATTGGTAATAATGTAGTATACCTCACTTGTCTTTGTTCTTATAACTGTAGACTGTTTAACTCCCTTGAACTTCATCTTTGGGAATTTAAGGTCTAAAAGATATTAAGTTTAGATTTTGTAAAAATTTTTATTTGGCTACTACACCCTTGCATGTAAATAGCTCAACCTGAAGACAAAATAAATGCGCTTTGTTTCTGAGGAAACAAAACAGTGACTATAAAAATAATATTTAAATTAATAATAAGAATAATTAATAAGAACCAGTTGCAACATTATCAGTGTGTTCTTAAATGTACTCACTTTTCTTGTCCAGTCTTGCTCTAAACTCTCTCAGAATTCCATCTAAAGCAGTGTCAATCATCAACTGTTTAAATCTCTTGTCCTAATTAATACATAAAATCATAATTAACTCCTTTACATCTAACTCTATTAGATCATCACAGAAAGTGACCTTTTCTCTTGACAAACTCCTTCCACTTTTGTCACAGGCCCTATCAAGATAGCAAACATCTTGGCACTGTCTCTTATCATTAGAAATTTTATGCAGAATCAATTTGGGTTTTTCTCAAGTAGCTTCATGTGTTTATGTAAAATTAAAAGTATTACTTTGGACATTCATTGCTTCTTAGGAGTGAGTGATCATGCAATATGTTCTTCAAGGGTCTTATCTAAGCATAGAATATTTTATGAGCTACAGTACTAGCAGATTGTAGAAATAAATTCATATCTATTGAAGGATAGCATGGGATGTTTGTCATCTTCATCTTTGATCTGGCAATCTTAGATCACTGAAACATTGACATAAGAAATTGTTTGATATCATAAGGAGCTCAATCACACCTCTTGACCTTTCTTGTAAGTGTCTGGATGGAATATGGCATCATACACAGTACAGGGCTTGCCAGCTACATATAACAAATTACATTCAAGGACTTGAATCAAAAGAAATTAATCTGCACAGACAACAACATCAAGTGTTGTTCAATTATTTGCCAAGATATAATTTCAAATGGCTAACAGCCTGAGACCTTTGCTGAAGATTAGGCGATTAGCTTGATAAAACACAGTAAATAATGAAGAACTGGAGCTGCTTCAATCCTCTCTAAGCACATGAAAATACAATAAAATGTTGACTGACCAATTTTTTTCATAGTCTCTGAAGCAAACAATGGTCACCAAATGAACAATAACAGACCTGAAATTGAACATCAACCTTAACCTTTTAACTCCCAGAAGTGATTAACATATAACTTCTCCTCATTATATCCATACATTCTATAGCGAACAGGTAATGAGAATACTCAAACTTATCAGATAGAAGTTGTTAACTTAATCTAACACCCTATTCTCACAACTTATTAACAATGAAATGTATAGTAGCTTGAACAGAGAATTTACATTCAGATCTTGGGAGTTAAAGGGTCAATACACTTGTATTCTCTAGAGATAAGCTCAAGTACAGAAGACATCACTTTTCAGGGCTTAATGGAAATATTCTTCCACACCATACCTCTATCAACATCCTTTCTGGGTTGTGATAAGCTGTAAGGAATATTCCACTGGTGGCCAGCTCTCCTACATTTGAAAATAGTTAAGAATGGCATCAGTTGGAGCTGTGCACCAAAGATTACAAAGTATGAATTACAAAAGGTCTCTCTAACAAAACAGAAAAAAAACATATTTGAATACTCAAAAGTTTACACCACTATTTGTGTCAGTTCTATGACAATCAAAGGTCTTGTTATTAATCACACGGCTTACAGAAGATGGGTGAAGGTGACACTGATATTTAAATGCAAAAGATGGAATACCAAACAGAATGTACAGGCTTGAAGAGAAGTAGAGAATACAAAATAAAATGAATCCAACCTCTGCACATAATGAACAAGTTTCACACACTGTTAGTAAGTAACTTTGATAGGAAAACTCTGTTCAAAGGACAAAAATTTTGATCTTGACTCAAACAAAAATTATCTGAGTGAACAAGTCCATTCCAGGAGACACTTAGCACTGACTCCTTACATGTCTCCCATTTGAGGTTCAAGTGTAATCCACTTGGATGTCAATGGACACAACTCAACAAGTTTCTGACTTAGAAATAACTGTAATATGCAAACCACTTACTTCTTTCCATTCTCCTCTCTTTCAGTATATTGTGAAGACGCTTCTCCAATATGTTGATTCAAGGAAATGTTGACAAATACTTTGATACCACCCTCAAGATCTGTTGTTTTTACAACATAACCATCCTGTAAACAAAATGCAAGAATGAAATCTAAACACATGATAAAGTTATCACACCACATATTTGCTGACCTGAGGTTCTTTTTAACCTGATGGCTTAAAAGTGACCCTTGTAATAGTTTTCAATGTATACACACCACTATACCAAATTCAAACCTATAATGATCCCCAGACTTCCACTTCAGTCTTAGTTGTGATATATAAACAAGATAGTAGGAAGAATAACATCAATAGCACTACAACTCCAAGTTTTTTTAATCAAAGTTGCAAATACCTTCAAAATCCCAGCAAAGTCTTATAAAAATCCTTAAGATCCCAACAAAAGCTAAGGATCTGCTATTTTAACCTTTTACAGATCCTAAAAATGCCCCTTCAGGATTTTTAAAAGGTAAATTGAAAATAATTTAAGAAAATATATGACATTTGTTAGAAACATGTTTAAACAGTTCTTCTGTCATCTTCAGTTCTGATTTATACAAAGTACAAAATTAATTTAAAGTGCATAATAAAATGTTCATTGGACAAAACAAACAATCGAGACATTTAATAATGTATGCAATTATGACAAAAGTTTTAAATTAACATGATAAAGTTTATTATTAACTGTAGGTTGCTCCCATTGAATGTGGATAGCTTCTTTGATTTTAAGAAGTATGAGCTAAGATGTTATTGAACACTCATCTAAACATAGAATGCAACATTCTGCGAAAATATGATACCATGCCCAAAATAGGAATCTTTTTTCTAGTTTTTCTGCTTAGTATGGGTGATTAAGGTACTATTAAAATTAAGCTGATTCGACCAGACTTATTTATTTTGCTTTTTTAATCCTTGTGCTGTTCTTGCCCATTAGCAGCCTGAAAACTTTATCTTTCTTTTATCTGTTTATCTACATATGTGCTAAGAATTATTAATTAATGAAATAATCGGTTAAGAAAAAGATAAGTTGATAACACGAGTCATTCGCACCGAGTGCTGAGGTACTAACGTAGTAGCGCACTAAACAAATGAAGAACAAGTAATGAGTCGTCTGTACTAAAGTAATAACGTACTAGCGCACCAAACAAATGAACAAGCTATGATGAGTCAACTGTACTCAGTACTACAGTACTAAGGTACTAGCTCCCTAAAAAAATAAAGAACAAGCCATCATGAGTTGTCTGTACTGAGCACTACAGTACTCACGCACTAGTAAAACCAAATAAAATGAAGGACCAGCTGTGATGAGTTGTCTGTACCAAGTACTAAGGTACTAACATACTAGCGCACCAAACAAATGGAGAACAGTGATGAGTTGTCACTACCGAGTACTAAGGTACTAACATACTAGCGCACTACACAGATGGAGAACAAGGCGTCATGAGTTGTCAGTACCGAGTATTACGGTTCTAACCTACTAGCGCACTAAACAAATGAAGAACAAGCCGTGATGAGTTGTCAGTACCGAGTACTAAAGTACTAAAGTACTATGGTACTAACGAACTAGCGCACTAAACGAATGAAGAACAAGCCGTGATGAGTTGTCGGTACCGAGCACTAAAGTACTATGGTACTAACGAACTAGCGCACTAAACGAATGAAGAACAAGCCGTGATGAGTTAACCGAACCGAGTACTAAAGTACTATCATACTACCGCCCTAAACAAATAAAGAACAAGCCGTCATGAGTTGTCTGTACTGAGTACTACGGTACTAACGCACTAGTAAAACCAAACAAATGAAGGACAAGCTGTGATGAGTTGTCCGTACCGAGTGCTACGGTACTATTGTACTAGTGCACTAAACAAATGAAGAAGAAGCCGTCATGAGTTGTCCGAACCGAGTACTACAGTATTAACGTACTAGTGCACTAAACAAATGAAGAACAAGCCGTCATGAGTTGTCTGTACCAAGTACTATGGTACTAACTTACTAGCGCACCAAACAAATGGAGAACAAGCCGTGATGAGTTGTCACTACCGAGTACTAAGGTACTAACTCACTAGCGCACTACACAGATGGAGAACAAGCCGTCATGAGTTGTCAGTACCGAGTACTACGGTACTAACCTACTAGCGCACTAATCAAATGAAGAACAAGCCATGAGGAGTCTTCCCTACTGAGTACTACGGTCCTAACATTCTAGTGCACTAAACAAATGGAGAACAAGCCGTCATGAGTTGTCTATACCGAAGCACTAACGTACTAACGTGCTGGCGCACTAAACAAATGAAGAACAAGCCGTGATGAGTTTTCCCTACCGAGTATTACGGTCCTAACATTCTAGCGCACTAAACAAATGGAGACTAAGCCGTCATGAGTTGTCTGTACCGAAGTGCTAAGGTACTAACGTGCTGGCGCACTAAACAAATGAAGAACAAGCCGTGATGAGTTTTCCCTACCGAGTACTACGGTCCTAACATTCTAGCGCACTAAAAAAATGAAGAACAAGCCGTCATGAGTTGTCCGTACCAAGTACTAAGGTACTAACGTACTAGCGCACTAAAAAAATGAAGAACAAGCCATGATGAGTTGTCTGTATCGAGTACTAAGGTACTAGCGCACTAAGTAAATGAAGAACAACAAGCCGTACTAAACTGGCGCACTAAACAAATGATGAGTTTTCCCCTACTGAGTAGTACTACTAAACAAATGGAGAACAAGGTCCTAACATTCTAGCGCACTAAAAAATGAAGAACAAGCAAGTGCTATGGTCATGAGTTGTCGTTGTACTAAACAAATAAAGTACTAAGGTACTAACGTACAAACGCAGCGCACTAAAAAATGAAGAACAAGCCATGATGAGTTTGTCTGTAAACAAATGAAGAACAAGCTGTCATAAGTTGTCCGTACCAAGTACTAAGGTACTAACGTACTTGTGCACTAAACAAATGAAGAACAAGCCGTAATGGGTTGATGAGTTGTGAAGAACAAGCCGTGATGAGTTGTCAGAGCCGAGTACTAAGGTACTAACGTACTGGCGCACTAAACAAATGGAGAACAAGCCGTCATGAGTTGTCTGTACCGAAGTACTAAGGTACTAACGCACTGGCGCACTAAACAAATGAAGAACAAGCCGTGATGAGTTTTCCCTACCGAGTACTACGGTCCTAATGTTCTAGCGCACAAAACAAATGGAGAATAAGCCGTCATGAGTTGTCTGTACCGAAGAACTAAGGTACTAACGCACTGGCGCACTAAACAAATGAAGAACAAGCCGTCATGAGCTGTCTGTACCTAGTACTACGGTCCTAACGTTCTAGCGCACTAAACAAATGAAGAACAAGCCGTGATGATTTTTCCCTACCGAGTACTACGGTCCTAACGTTCAAGCGCACAAAACAAATGGAGTACAAGTCGTCATGAGTTGTTTGTACCGAAGTACTAAGGTACTAACGCACTGGCGCACTAAACAAATGAAGAACAGGCCGTAATGAGTTTTCCCTACCGAGTGCTACGGTCCTAACATTCTAGCGCACTAAACAAATGAAGAACAAGCCGTCATGGGTTGTCCGTACCGAGTACTAAGGTACTAACGTACTAACACACTGAACAAATGAAGAACAAGCCGTGATGAGTTTTCCCTACCGAGTACTACGGTCCTAACGTCCTAGCACACTAAACAAATAGAGAACAAGCCGTCATGAGTTGTCTGTACGAAGTACTTAGGCACTAACGTGCTGGCGCACTAAGCAAATGAAGAACAAGCCGTGATGAGTTTTCCCTACCGAGTACTACGGTCCTAACATTCTAGCGCACTAAAGAAATAAAGAACAAGCCGTCATGAGTTGTCCGTACCAAGTACTAAGGTACTAACATACTAGCGCACTAAACAAATGAAGAACAAGCCGTCATGGGTTGTCCGTACCGAGTACTAAGGTACTAACGTACTAGCGCACTAAACAAATGAAAAACAAGCCATGATGAGTTGTCTTTAGTGAGTACTAAGGTACTAACGTACTAGCGCACTAAACAAATGAAGAACAAGCCGTGATGAATTTACCTAGTACTAAGGTAATAACGTACTAAACAAATGAACATGGATAAATGCCAAGAGGTTTCACCAACATAACAGGCATTACAGCCCGCACATAAAAACTTGTAAACCACACACATACGGAGCCCACAAGGAATAGGGTCTTTCTGTGATGCGTGCTATGTTGGCAAAACCTCTTGGCATATGTAGGATAGATCTAAGTTATTCACATAATTTTAATAATTTCCAAACTTGTACCTCAGGATTAACAAACTTCACATCCATTCCTCTCATCTTCTCCATCTGTGCTATTTCTTCTTCATATTTCTACAAGAATATGTATTTGTGAACTTTGTGTTTAAGAGGGGAGGAATGTTGTATATCTCTAATCTTACCTTGGTTTCCTGAAACAAATGGGGAATAGCAGAAAATGCACATGGCAGAATTACATCACAGAAAAGGTAATATCACAAAATGTGCATTGCATTGTATTATATTGCAATTACATGGTAGATAAGTAAATGGAGAATAGTACATGAGGGCATGAGTGAACACAGCAAATGAATAAGATATCATGATGAACCCAAGAGAAATTCCATAATGACAAGCAATAATATATCACTTTGCTTATTGCATCAAGAAAATCCTGCAAACAATCTTAGATTGAGAATGGTGAATGCTCTGTAGTCATCAATTAGACAAAGTATCACAAAAGGTGAGTGACATGTCAGCAGCTGATTGGTAATATCATACCTGCATAAAACATTATTGTACTTTTTGCATCTTTACAGTCACACCTTTTTTTCAGGACTAGAAATCATTACTAACACCACAGTTTACAAAATAGAAAGACTTTTATTGTTACATACTTCAACCACAGTTTGCACCAATTAACACTAAAAACAGATTAAAATTTAATTGCAAGTAACACATTTTCTACCTTAAATAGAGTCTGCTTGTGATTCTACCAACTTACCTTTTTATTTTCTGGATCTGATATCTCTTGAGCATATTCCACAAGCAATTTTCGAAACTCTTTATCTTTCAGGGCCTTTTCAAATTTATCGAGTTCCTAGATGGAAAAATTTTATTAGCTCACAGAGGTCTTCTGAAAAAGACAACATTTGACAAGCACCATAGACCTCAAAAAATTAAGTGTAACTGGACAAAAGAGAAGTGTTGAGGACCATGAAATAATTAGACATTGTTTAACCCTCAACAAGCTTGCCAATTGCAACGTAGCCCAGGACAAAATGGAAATACATTTAGCAAATGATGGCTCAAACCTCAGTGATCTAAAACAAATCAACATGCTGGTAGAGGGATGAGCAAGAACCCCAAAATACTGCACCAAGTGAAGTATTCTGCTACAGAGTGCAATTTACATGCAGTTAAATCACAAACTGGAAGTCTGACAAGCTCCTTGCATTCTTCCAGTTTTGCAATTTTAAAATTCATTTCAGAAATTACTAATGAGCAGCACACAGCATCAGAATTTTGCTACTTGCTTATTGATATATCCAAGTGATTTTTTCTGATTTAAAAAAAACCTCCTCAGGGAGTTCAAAAAAGTAGTTATATGGCTTAAAAGCTACGTTTTGACACATTTGAGAAAAAAAAACAATGTTGCAGAATATTTGAGGTCACTATTGAACCAAAATCCTCTAACGATGCTTAAAATTTTCAGTTAGTGCACAAATTTTTATCATTGAATCTCCTATGTATTTTTTTTTCAAAAAAAGAAAGCACCTATAAAAGACCACCCTCTAAAAGGAACTTAGTAGCAACTTTTATGCATTTGGAAGTTCAAAACCTCCCCATTTATTTACGTCCAGCAAATTTAACCGTTAAGGCAAGTCTACTGATCACTTGGCAATATCTCTTACAACAATTTAGCCTGTGCATCATTATTAGTCAAAACCTGAAGAATCAAATGACTTTTTAAAGTCGCGTAAAATCTGGAAAATATTTTACAATAATTTGAGCTTTAAAAAAGAGGTTATATTTCCACAAAGGGCGTTGAGATGCCACCTGCAACTTTATGTTGAGAAGAAAAAGACTGGAAAACGTTTGGGTCTGTAACGACAGGCTCGATTAGCTGAACACGAGCAAACAATTCTCTCGATTCAAGTAGCAACAAAACCGAGGAACACAGCCTTATTTTCCATCAATACATTTTCAAGAATAACTGCCTCACCTCTTTAGTCATGCTAAATTCCTTTTTACCGTTAGCCTGAGACATTTTGGAAGCTAACAACCCAAGTCTAAACACTTCAGATTCGTGTGTTTCGGTTTAACTGTTTGTTTCTCTAAGCGAGCTTAGTAGCCAAGTCAATGTACACAGTTAGTTACCAGGTCTCTCCCAGTTTCCACGTCAGCACCAGCCGTCACGCAAGTGATGCCAGCTTGTCACGTTCTTTCACAACATTTACAAAATTAAAACTTGTGAATATGGGGGTAAGTTTCTAAAGAAACTTAGGTGCTGCGTCGGTGGGGAAGTGCAAAAAGATAACTCGGTTTTATCAACTGAGTTGATAATGTAGTCAATGTAAAATGGCCACCGTAAAGAGTTTCTTAGCAGACGTTTCGAGCGTTAGCTCGAACTCCATTGATAACAACAAGTTATCTAGTTTTACAAAAACTAGCGGCATAGGTTAATTTTCCAATTCTGTAAAATACTTTCGCTTTCAATTTTTTTCAATCTTTGTTTCTCCTCCTGGTTTGCGCTTTTGGGATTTTTCTTGGCCAAAAATGGCCAACTTCAGGATGAATCACTAAAAATAACCCAGCTCGTCATGACGTCAACGTTTCCCTTTGTTGAACGATGACGACATTAATTCGACAGTAATACACTGCACTTTAGACGTCTGGGTCAAAATTCTTGCCATTTCGTACGTGCATAAACTTAAATTATATTTACATAACAGAAGCTGTAATGAGTTAACATGTCAGGGGAGGTTTTTTTAAAAAAAAGGAACACTCCCATCAACAGACGAATGGTTGTTGTGGTTGTTGCTGTTCTTTCCTATCCTTTTCATCTACCAGTCACTGAAATATCATTGTTCCAAGCAACTTAGGACGAGCTGACAATTGATTTTCGCACATGGAAATCTTTTAAGTGCCCAGCATTGCCAACGCTACAGTACGTCATCGGTTCCCTGAGCAACGGGGGACCTTCTGAGAACGGCTGGAACAGTCTTTGATATCGACACGCCAAGTACTTTCGATCATCATGCACTCGCCAAGTCCTGCCTCAGTAAGTGAGTCAAGTGTCCAAATACCAGGTAAGCAGGGATTTTCTAAATTTCTCTCATCAAGTTGTTTGAACAACTTTTTTCCACCTTCTCTCCATTCACACCGAAAAGAATCAATGTAGATCTCCCTGAAATATTGCATAACGAAAACATCAGTTAAACTCAGCGTTTCCACAAGAAACATTGCGCTCAGCAGACGTTGATTTTCCTACACCAATACTTTTTAAGGCCACGAAGTGTTTTAAAACTGAAAATTGTGTAACGAGAAGAAATTGTTCGGTTGATGGTAGTCTAAATATACTTTAATGGGAATGAAATCAGCAGAATGTGATGAAATAGGAATAACCGTAAAAAAAGGACGAGAAATATATGTCACGACCCCATGAAAAGAGATGCAACTAAAAACCGAACGCATCATCCTTGGTATGAAGCATTGAAATCACATGTTAAATTTTACAATGATTATTTCATTACACCATTATTCCTATTTTCAATTTTTCGAATATGAAAAAAGTTTCACTTCATCTTTAATTATTGATCCCTCAGTAGCATCTCAACGAAACTTGGCCAGCAAGGCCGATAGTGATGGTGAAAATCCCCCGGACATTCCACAACTCCACAACTCATCTTTCATCATCGATGATCGCGAAGATTTCAAAGATGAGTCGCTCTACACCTTCTGTGGCTCTTGCAAGAATCACGTGATGACCATGGTGACGTATAAGGCTGGTAAGTTGACTTTACTCTTTGCAGTGGCTCTGTGCTTTCTGGGATGCTTTGGAGGTTGCTGTCTCGTACCGTTTCTATGGAAACGTTTCCAAGATGTGGAGCACTTGTGTCCGAACTGCCAGCTGAAATTAGGAAAATATCGAAGAAAGACAAAAAATATCTGCTGCAAGGTGAGGACTATTCTCAGTTTGTGTTTATCATTAACAAGCATGGCAAACAGATATGTCATTAGGAAAAGACTTTATTTGACCTCTTTACTTAAGTCACTTTTTTTTAATAGTAAAGAACTACCTTGACTTTCAAAAAAGTACAAACTTCCTAGTCGGTGAGAAAAAAAAAACACGAAAGAGGAAACAAAATGACAAGAATTTACTGTACATAAAGAGTTCTAACTAAACTATTTAATTGTTTTGTTCTTTTATTTTCTCAAAAAAATAGAAATAGAAGCAAATCAAGTGAAGAACTAGAGAAAGGGTCTTTTGTGACGACCTGTGTGGCAAGAACGTTGTTTTCAATGTTATTTTCTATAAAGTTTCTCCGCGAATACGTATTAAAAGTATTTAGTGAGAGCAAGACAAAATAAAAAATAGAAATATGTAAAAAACTTTCAAGTGACTCTCCTTAGCCTCACAAACACCAAGTTTTAAAATCAAGCTTTCTCTTTTTCGTTCAAAGAAGCTACTTTAGAACATTTTTTTGCGTATTTTGTATCACTAAAGACAACCACCTTAAAAGAGGAAACCTTGAAATGTTAGCTGAGGAGACTGACTCTAGAGAAGACACCGCAAGGCAACAAGGCTTTGATAAATACTACAGTTAGTAAGTTTTTCAAGATATACAATTCGTGACGCAGCTCGATTAAAAGTACCAACTACATGCATTTGGAAAACGTAACAGTAAGCAAATATTGGACTGCAAAACAAGCAGTGCGTGAGTCTTTTTGCGCTGGTGCCACGAACGCACATTTAGGCATGCTATAAAGCGTGCGAGGCTCGTGCGAGGCTCGTGTGACTTCCGCGCACACTTTACACGTAGACTTTATCTAGAGTCTAACCTGACGGGCAGTAATCGAGCCATAAGCAAAAACTATTCCACCCACGTTTAAAGACCAGTATCACGATTAGGTGCCGGCGACAGTACCACGTCTTCATTAAATCATCATATTAAATAAATTAGGGTCTTTTCCTCAAAAGTAAAAAGAATCATTAAGTTTATTGTGAAATGTGGTGATAGTTGATTCAAACTATATAAAGGACTCGCAGAAACACCAGATGTTTGCGACTAGATCAAAAGCTGATCAACAAACAATGGATTTATTCGTCAATCACAATTACAAGAGTGGTCAGGTCTATTTTTCAGTTATGTTACAAGTTACTAGAAGGCTAATGCTTCTCGTGATATATAAAAAAAAAATTGCGTTTAAATTGCAAATCGGACTATTTCATAACAGCCAGAGGTGACCTTTATCCGTGAAGTCAATAAATATTCGAGAACGCATCATCTACAAACTTACACGTTACCTAACTAAAAGGTGAGAACAAAAAAGCAATACGTCAAAGTTAACCGAAATCAAATGAACACAAGCTGCATATTGCGTAACTTGATAAATTAATAATCCAAAAATCCCCCTTTAAACAGCTATCAGCTATACTTTTATTAATGTTTCTCTTTAATCGTTTTAACCACTTTAAATACGCTTTTTCGAATGGTTTCTATTGCTATAAAAAAAAATTTCCAAATAATCTCAATCCGAAAATAATTATGTTTATTAAAGAGGACAGGTTTACTTAAATCTGGTTTTTCTTCATTACAAACATAAGGTAACTCAAAAAAAAAATTCACTGAAGTCTGTGAATAGAAGTTTAATGAATGTTACTATACGAAACAAATCGTCGTAAAAGCTATGGACTAAGCAGTTCCAAACGCTTAACAGGAAGGAGCAAAAATTATGTAATTAGAACACCTAGTGAAGGCAACAAACTCATGAAGTAAAAGACAACTAACCAAGAATCACCTATTTGTCGAGATTTCGGTGAGACTTGAAAATGTCAGATAAGGTCGCGGGTTAAAATTTCTGATTGTCCTTTATACATAAACAGAAGAGTTTCTCGCGCCAATCAAAACCTCTGACTGACACCTACGCTGGCACTTGTGACGTACTTCCGGTGCCCTTCTGTCATTCTCTACGCTAAACAACCTTTCCTGTACCTCCGTCTGAGCAGCACAGTTGTCAGTGAAATCATAAGTATGTCTTTTGTTGTGAACCGAGCCCGTGTGATGCTTACTGATCTCTAAGTTCTTAATAACAATACCATCCAGAGTATTCTTTACCCGACTATTCTCGGGATTTCGTTTCTTAATAACTTCGGGTTCAATTTTCCTTCCAGTGGAAAGTACATCAGGCAGACTGACCGTTTGGCTCTGAAATTCTTTTCTCCAACCTCCACCGTTTACTCTTTGACTTTTACCACTAACATGACGAGTGCAGGCCAAATAATCAGCGGACACAGTGGATGACAGCCCTTTGTCAGCATCGCCATTTTTTTGGAATCTATCAAATCGTTCTACTGATTGCAAACTTTCGCTGGAATGTCTCACTGAAGAGAATTTCCCAGGAACTAATTCTTTAGAGAGGAATCTTTTCAAGCGCTTTCGCCTCTTAAAGCTTTCTCTGACAGACAATGAGGCTGCGTTTTCTTGCAGATCACTCCTACGTTGGTTTGAATCATGCGCACTGCACACGGCTTTTTCTGCTATATTAGTTTCATTTGTAGTTTTCGTGCATAAATTCACTGCGTCTTCCATGGGCGAAGAGAGTGCCTCGACTTCAGGAATACAGGAATTCAAAGCGGCTTCGGCATTCAATAGAAAAGTTTCTTCTATGTCCTCTTGTATTCTAGCCAGACGCTCCATTGATCGCCGAAGTGAACCGTATTTTCCTGGCTTCAGAGAAGTCACAACAAAGTTATCAAACTCCTTCCTCTTTGAGCGACGATATTTCCTGTCTCGTCTTCGCCGTGGAGACCTCGGGCCTTTCGATAACTGCGAAAAGTCAAAGGTATGCCGCTTACTGATGTCATCCGGGGAGAAGAGGGCATAATTCGTTCCAGTCTCAATCTCATCGCACGAACGATGACGATTTCTAAAGTTAAAACTGTCGCTACTTGCGTCAGTTGACTCACTTTCGTGTCCATCCAGTCTCTCAGACCCAGATCCTTCCCCAGTACAGTCAGGTTTATTTTCAGTGCATTCTCTTTCCTTAGATGACAAAATATTCCCTGTTTCTCTGGTTCTGCTTTTCAGGTTATTCGATGGTGATGATGGAGCGTCCATCAACAACTCAACCAAGTTGTAAGAGTCATCAATCGGTTTAGAAGAAGATAAAATCCATTCATTCGTTCTTTCTCGGGACTGGACTCTTTTGAATGTATCTGCTTGGCTGTCTTCGACCAAAACAGGAAATTGATCATTAACTTTGGGATTCTGTGGTGTAGAAGCTTCAGAAATGATGTCAGCGTCTTCAATAGTGGTCGATTTTGAAGGCGAGTCCCGCTCATCGGAAAAAATTCCTTCGTCTGCTGGTCTCGGTGTGAGTTCAGGCGGGAGCATCTTCTTCATATGCACTCCAGAACTGCCCGGTCCCTCATCCGCAAACATTATGCTATCTACCGAACTTTGTGAACTTTCGGATGACAACGAAATACAGTCGGACGACACGAGACTGTATCGATTACCAAAACTCAACGAGCCATAGTTAATCTTTTCTGCCCTGTCTTCTTCGGCATCGGAGGAAGCCTCGCAGGTTGGGACAGGATGATACCAGCTGATAATCTCTCCGGCGGTCGGACTTTTTGGTGAGGTGCAGGTTACGTCGTCGTGGAAACCAAGCTCTCGTCTAGCAGAGAAGTTTTTCTTACCTGCACTAGGATTTACTTTTTCTGTCTCTCCAGCAATAGTAGAGGAAAGGTCACTGTTGCTCACGGGAAGATCTGGACGCTGCACGAGATTATCGAGCGTTTCCATTTCAATTTCCTTCAGAGTGACAAGAGAAGAGTTTGAAACAGAATCTCTCGGACTCATCACTTCAGGGGTCGCTCCCGTAACCAGGATTCTCGGCACGCGGCTTGTAACCAGTGGATGATTGGCGTACGAACTGCACGAGCCTAATGGTCGTATGGGTGTACTGTGAACAAGGACCTGATTAGAGTCTAAACCCGACATGAACCGACGTGGGTTTCCTGTGATAAGCGAGCCATCTTGAGACTGAGGAGGCGATAGTTCTTGACAAGCAGCATGATGGTTTACACTGCGATTTACGTTTCGTATTAAACCCTCTGCCGCATCACGATCTTCTCCAGTACTCGTCTTCGTGGATTTTCTTATTCGACAACAAAAACAACAAAACCACGAATGAGTCACTTGTCCTTCAACATCGAAAGTTCTCTTTTGTATAAATATTCCTTGAATTGGTAAACTTGGATGGTAGAATCGATAATATAAAATCATGCTAATCAAACCAAATACAAATCCGCCCCACACTACCCCTAACGCTGTTACAGCCATTGTTCCGCGAAAGGTTCTGTGGGGAAACCACATAGACACGAACAGAGAGTTCTCTACCAACATAATGGAGTAAAACAAAACAATACGCTTCCTTGTCATGCCTTCTCTCGTGTTGAAGAAGCAAAAGATGTACAAAAAGCCAATAGCCGCACTAAACAGTTTCTCCCTGAAAGGGTGCTCTGTTCCGTCTTCGTCTGTACAAAAGCGAGTCCGCTGACAGATCAACCACATTGTCATCATTAGCCAATGTGCGCCCACCGCAACAAACAGCCATTGTTTGAAGTACGATGCAAAAAGAACCATGGCAACCACACGAGATGTCACCGTAGAGAACCGCCACAGTACTTGGAATAACAAACCTGCTGCTGACAGGATATAACCTTGTGTTCTAAAGTCTCTTAACGATTTACTGTAAGCGAGAATGGCCCACACTAACGATATCAATGAACAAGCTGCAGTAGCAGCGATAAAAAGTTCAAAGTTTTCTTGAAGGCGTGGTCGTTTCAGTAAAATGTAGAGTTGAAGAACAAGTTGAGGGGCAGATTCTAGAAAAGCTTGAAGAAGTCTCAGCATGCTTATGTCACGCCATTCTCCAAGAAACGCTGCGAATTCGAGAATAGTAGCATTCTTTTGACGCGCTTTCCAGCCACTCTTGAGAACCTTCCAATACCTAGAGGAAAGCGAAAATTTCTGGTTTTAAAGGAAATATTGGAAGATACACAGTATTTGAGGATCAGAGTATTGCTCGACTAATTCGCTTCAACTTTGCAGGAGAACTGAAGGAGTTCACAATATATTCAGAAGAGTTGGTATACAAAGCTAATACTTCTAGATAAAGCCAATCTTTTCAAAAAACCGTTTTGCAACTGTCGCAATTTTAAAATAGTTAATGTTTAATATGTTAACCCTGGCTCGGAGGAAAGCGGCAGTTGACCGACTTCTTTTCAACTCGCTCGCCGACTTAAGCGAATTAATTCTATATAGGCAATAGGGAGGTTTTCCTACATGGGTTGTTGTCACTCAATTACATGTTAAAGCTGATAGAGGTACACTACATCACGGGATTCTTGAGTCTATTTTACACGTATTAGAGGTATCCTCACTTTTTCAATTAGAGCCATGTAATTTCTGATAAGAGAGCTCCAAACGTCACGCCTTGCTATCTCGAACCACTGAAAAGTCTGTTTCTTTCTTTTTGCGTTTTTTGTTTTGGGCGAGTTATTACACTCGCCGCGCCTCACGCCTACCTTCACTCGCCGGAACAATACACAGAAATATTACAACTTTTATGCACTCTTTGTTAATTAAGAAAACTGCCTCCAGCGACAGTTAGCCATGTGAACAGTTTACCGGCTGAAATATCCTATACGAGCAGGACGCAAATTCCTCTCTGAGTCGGGCTCAAGAAGAGAGGCTCTCGTGAGAGACTGAAGACCCTCGCAACGCAGCTTGAATGATACTTTAGCTGCCTTTATTCTATTCTAATGTGGTTCAGTTAAGTTGTCCATCATTGCGAATGGCTGCCGTTTGAACAAACTTAAAATGTCATTAAAATGTTTATTTGAACGCAACAAACTACATCGTTCAATTAGGAGCAACAATGTTTTCTTAATGATTGCAATCTCAAGGTCCTTGAAGTCTAATTAATAGGTTTAGATAAAACCGTTGGTCTGCAGTGCAAAGATTGTTATCGAAAGTAGAGAACAATTACCTAAAGAAAAGACTTCGCGCAACAAAGCGATGGGCCCCTCAACCGAATAATTATAACCTGTAATCATTTCTGAAAGCTCGCAGCAAGACAGCAGTGAAACTCATTAGAGGATTGAAAACGCCTCCAGCTATGAAGATAATAATAGCGTGGTAAAACAAGCCACGAGTAAATTTGGGTAAACACTTGAAAAACAAGATTGAACGTTTTGACGATTGATTTATTTTGGATCACAAAATTAGGAGAGCGCGACAAAATCTAATCAATAAAACATGCAAAACAGACCAGCACGAACAAAAGTCGATCAGAAAAATCAGTAACTTTTTTGATGATGGAGTTTAGAAAAATGCGACCGTGTGTTCATGGCGCACAGCTAACAATGATTTAAAATGGACAGAAAAATAGTAATCGTAAGTTAATATAATTAACGCGCCTCTTAGACAAAACCAGGCCAACATAATCTGTCAGAAAATTCAACAAGCGATATTTTTATGCAAATCAAGGCCAGTTTCATAAGCTTCGCCGTTTTTTTGGAATAATTAGATAAATTTAAGCGCCAGAATTTTTGGAAAAAATCTAACTATATAGCGCCTCTACAAGGCTAACCGTTCTCTCTAAAACGAGTCTGAACTAAAAGAAAATCAGCAAAGAGTGATGATAAAGTCGTGAGGATAATATGTTCGATAAATAGAAAAACAGTGTTCTTGAATATTCATGCTGACCTCCTGTGGAAAGCTTAATAGGACATTCGGATGACAAGGAAAAAGATCAAATCTGAATGCGAACACGCACTGCTGAAAAACGTCCAACACATCTCGTAGTTCGATTCGCGCGCTCAGAAACGACTCTTTAGACCTATGTTCTATATCAGGGTTATTTTATTACTAATATCGGTTAGAAGAGTGCCGAATTTCTGAGCACAGTAAAATAGTTCAGTCAACTCATACTGGCTTCATTATTGCTAGTCGGCAAGACACTTATTGTTATAATAATCCTCGTGGAGCCATTTAGGTTTTGAAAATACTTCGCACGTAAATTACGCTGACATGTGAGGTTGTGAGGAATAAACAGAATTATTAAAAAGAATACGTCACCACCTTGTGGAGAAAGTTTTTGATAGAATCGCTTATTACGGCCCTGTGACCTGACTATCATCTGGCTAGTGGATAACGAAACACAGCGAAATTAGAACCTACCCAGTACCAGCAATTATTCCATATTAACATCTATAACGAACGAGACAAAAATCGGTCAGACAACAATTCAAGGAAGGCTGATTCACGATCCATGATAAAGTTTACCCGAAGCGAATACAAAATATAAAAATGTTCAGGTTTTACAAACAAACGCGTGAAATAAAGAAATGATTTTAAAATATTGGTTATTCAAGCTTAATTAAAACCTCTGTTGCTGCGCGTAGATAGCTCGGTAGTTTTCAAAGTGCAGCTTACTTTGAGACAAAAAAACGCCTGTAAATATCACCGATATTATCTTTTTAAAGAAAACTATGTTTCAATTTTAATGTAGCTTTCTGTATCTGACAAATCAGCCAAGCGACTTGAAATCCAGTCATTACGTTCGCTGCAAAGTTATCATCCGAGAAATAAGGAATGTGATAATTGCTCTAGTATATTTTGTCATTAAAAAGCAGGCGCGAACACTATTCAAATTTCGCCGGAAATTCTCGAGTCGTGTTAACCGGACAAGAAGTCAAAAGGTTTCCGACGAAAGGAAACGCATCGCAAAGCCAATTTTAAGTGGTCTGTTTCCTTGGAACTTCGTACGATTACACGAGACACGGCAGTTTTTTTTTGTTTAATTACCCAGCTTACCTACCTCACGACTGGTCCCAGATGAAACACATGTAATAAATAAGTGAAACATTGCTTTCGTTTGCCATCTTCCAAAAGCCACTTAGCAGAGAACAATTGCATTGCAAATGACGCGACAAGTACGAATCCTAGCGTAAGACTAAACCACCAGAAATTTTTTTCCTTGTAATACTTGACACACACAAGTAAATCGCTTCCGACGTCTGCAACGTATGTTATCACTGACACGAAAGTCCACAGGTCGTCTGTGAAGCGTGTTGTACGTCCATCAAAAGGATTTTTGGAGTCAATTGACGGCCGTATAGTCGCATTGTTTTGTTCTTCGACTCCGTCTCGGATTGTTATGTTTCTCGCTGATCCATTGCTGTTGGAACATTGTACTGTCATGTCTCCCTGCTCCATTACCGCGCGTTGTCGAAAATGAGCGGCGTTTCCTATAACTCGATAGAGTGATAAATGTCAGCGGTTTTCTAAAAACAAAACACCATTGTAAGTCCCAGGGAGATGTCATTAGTAATATGTGGCTGCCGGTACCAAACAATAAGGAAACAAACAAAGACTAAGAAGAGATGTACAAAACCTACAATATCTGTATTAGAGCAAAGGTAGCTTAAATAAAGTGCACTCCAATCCGTCCGATCACTAACTGATTCGCCTCACAGAATAACCCGACATCGGGATATATAATTTTTTAAAGGGAGAGGGCGGCAAGTATCAGTCAGCCAACTATTATTTAAACAAAGTTTGATATTTTCATTAAGAAGTGCTGAAAAGCTGAATTTTTTCAACCGACATTTTTTTAATTTTGATTTTTTTTTTTTTTTTTTTTTTCATTTTTTCAAACTGATATTTTCATTAAGATGTGCTCAAAAGCTGAAGCTTACAAGCACGCGCTTATCTTTAGCGCTTCGGCACAAGCGTTTACTTGCCCACAGAAAAGATATGACGGTAGTCCGAGAGTTTCATCACAGTTAACTATTCAGTATCTCAAAGGGCCAATTAAAGAAATCTTCAAAAAAACAATGGCGATGACAGCCACATGGCGATGACAGCCACATTTCTGAATCGCTCGGAGGTCTGTTATGTTGCGAAACCAAGGGTATGCATCGTCGGAAAACAAGAAAATAATTTCGTAGGTTATCCAGTTCCCAGAAAAACTGTGAGAGGTTGAATAGTTTACTCGCGTTTGTGCATGCCACGTTGTAATCGAGTTTTGGTCATAGTGAGGCAACAGCATACAACAGAACAGTTCACGATAATGGCATAGAGTGGATCCACTTCTCAAAAAAGTGCTTTAACAAATTCCACTGTAGTTTTTTCACACTCAGAGGAGGTGATCACTTGAGGTAGAAGAGGAAACAGCCCAAAATGACCACACGCCCCCTTTTCCTCGTGAGGCTATTTTACATTTCAGAGAAGATTATTTCAAGGTACTTTACCTTCCAGTAATATAGTGACCCACACTCCAACAGGTGTTCTTGCAAAAAAGCCAACTCGTGAACCTTCTTCAGTTGATTCAAAGACATCTGGTAAAGTAACGACGTAGAGTATTTTAAAAACGGAATTGTACTGGGGGCCAGCGGAGTGATTTCTTCGGATCCAGAATCCCTTTGGCACACATAAGCTGATAACACATCCAAATCTCAGTACACTTTGTCGTTGCTCATTTGCCAATGTAATTCTTTGTTAGATGAATAAAAACGCCGGATCCTAGCTTTTCTTTCGCCTCTCGAGCCACTCAAACAGTGGCGTTTCACAAAATCTTTAGGCCTGTGCTTCTGAGTATTGGGGAGAGGGGATTGGATCATGTGATTTTTTAATATCTTTTTCTCTTTCGTGTTTGAAAAAGAAATTATGCAGATTATAATTCATGAAGGAATCGTTCTGAACTGACATACACTTGTATGGTAGAAAATAAAGTCGGATGAGGAGGCAGCAAAGGTGATATCTTATCAGGCGCACGTTCAACCATGTGGCGATTGTTGACGATCTTTGACTAGCCATAACGAATTATGACAGACACAGACCTGTGATTGCACTCCTGCACAAAAATGATCGGGTTGTTCATTTGAAAATTTTGACGCCAGCTCTTAAGGATATCAAAATCGAGTGGGCATCGCCCAGATGAATATTCACCCCTGAGAAAAGTGGTTGCCAGTATTTGAATTGGGAAACAACTATCAAGTCTCAAAAATAATGAGTGCATTCATGAAAGTAACTTTTTGAGTCTGAGTTTCCGGTTTAAATCGATACTTTCCAAAATAATTTTTTGAGAAGAAAATGTCTGAAAGAGTCGTCTGCTGCTTCTATCTTTAAGGTAGTTATTTAAGGCTCTGACACCCAACAAGCGATCACAACCTACCAGTTTAAGCTCCTGTTCACTTCCGAAATGGCGTAAAGGGTACAGATATCATTTTTAAAGGGGAGAACCCCGTGCGTCCTAATCTCCCCATCAATCAAAACAGCTGACCCACCAACAAAACTTTATCTACTGTAATGAAGTTCGATTGGACATAATTACTAACAAATAAATTATACAGCAAAAATCCAAAGAATGATTTGACAATGATGATTAAAAACGTGAAAGTACCTGTACTAAATCTGTGCCAACTTACTATCACTACTTTTGTAATTGAGTAAGCAAAAAAGTTGATTTATTTGTAGGTTACATACCCTTGCTGAAGACCAGTGTTTTAGCGGAAAGCTTTTCAGGAAGGGTCTCAAAAGCGATTGGTAAACTTGAAGTTTCCTCATCAACATAAACAAAGGTTAGAAGAAGAATGTGTACATCATGCAGAATTCCGTCTTGGAAATAATTCCGCCTTTTTGGTTGAGCGGAAAACTACAGGAATATAATGTACAAATACTTATCGTTTCTTGATGAAGAAATTGTGAGTGGAATGCTGCGTTCTACATACCTTAACCAATGTGACAATATGAAGTCCAAATGGAAAATACCTAAGAAGCAGACAAGAGGACTGGAAAATGCAAGATGGCGGGAAGTCACTTGCGAACGAGGCTTCGTCCCAGTGTTTTCCGCACTTTCGGAAAAGCGCGGAAGTCAATTGCGTTTGAATACTGAGGCCATAAGATAAATACTACAGGAGATGGCAAAGGGAGAATTCTATATATAAATAGCATATCTCCATAAATATTCAATAATAATTTCTATAGGCCAAGCCAGATCAAAAGGTAAGATCAGTCAATTAACATAATTTAATGGGCAAAATTTACATATTGGTGGCCATCATGCTAAAAATAATCTGCATTCCTGTATGTTTACAATAGTGATTTGCATCATTTTTAGGATGTTAACAAGCATCTGAGCAAGTTGCCAGATAAGTTGTAAAATCTCCAAACTCTAAATTCAACTGTCATCAAAGACAATCATACAAAATTAAAGGAGATAAGCTTACACTGGTAAGATTTTGGTTCTACATCAACTGTGCGTCAAGCAAGCTGGCAAGCTACTTTTTGAAATGTAAGTTCAGCAATAAAAAACAAACTTGAAATCAAAGACTTGATTTACCTTTAAAAAATTTCAAAAAAATTTCAAAAAGAATCAAATAGCTTATTGCAATCATATCCTCTCTCAGTTATTCCATTAGTTATTTTCAGTCAGCATCTTTCTTTGTTGGACAACTCTCCCTATCTCCAGACAGGCCATTTTAGACATTTCCAATCTAATCAGTGTTTAAAACTGCTGTCACACATTCATGTGGGATACCGCTACCATAGGTGGTAGAGCATCATATCACAAAAAGGACTTGGCTGGGGCTAGAATCCTACCAAGAAATGTTTAACATCATTTATGTTTAATCTTAGAGTTAGATATCTACTTATTACATGACCTTGCTCTCAAACATGTTCCATATAGCACCATGATGGAAAGTTTGAGTCAAATCTATGTAGTAGACTCAGGATTTTTTCCTTTGTCCCACACTCGCAAAAAAAGAAATGTACCTCTCTTTATTCAAGAACCTTGCTCAAACATTTCTGTCCTTCTCATTTTGTTAGATATTTAAACACAAAATGCTAAAACCATTGCTGAGCCCTGAAGCATAAAGTTTGGTTGTCACAAATGTAATATTAGTAAATGGCCTCCAGAGCTTAACATCAAATTATTTGAGGCAAAGAGGATCAGCCAAGATTCCCCAACAGCCTGGTTAACACCGATCATCCTGCACATCTTAGCAATGTTACTATAATGTTTTTTAAAGGTTTATGGTAATAATTTTGATTCATGTGGATTTCTGAAAGCTAATAGACCAAGTTCAGACTTCAGGTATTGTTTTCAGAAAATTAAACATACAAGTTACCAGATTTATCTTACTTAAGGCATTAAAACTTAGTAGTATTCAGATTCATAACTATTTACATACAACCATAAATATGTTAAACATTCATGCTCAAATGCTTACATCGCAGTTCTTCTTTGTTATTTCCAAAATCCATACCAAAATGGATTTACATGTCACTACCAACATGCAAGTTGAACAAATGTCAAATTTAAATGACATCCTATGCAGCCATTACAATAATTGAAACAAATTTAATATTTGTGACACTGAAAAATAACTTCAGATTCTAAAACTTTTTGGAGCTGGACTTGAAACTATACTTAATTCTTAACCCTTCAACTCCCATGAGTGACTAAGAATTTCTCCTTACAATATCAATCAGACAAGTGATGAGAATGAAGAAAGCTATCAATTTTGGGATAATAAGTTGAGCCAATACTACATTCTCTGAACTAACATTATAAGAATTGTATGGTTGACAGTAAGGAGAATTACAAATTTGATCTGTGAGTTAAAGGGTAAAATCTCCAAAAAGAGGAATATTAAAGTAACTTTGTCCGCATAACTGCTTAGGGTTAGAAAAATAAATTAAGAATTCAGCCTTTGAGCTCTCTCTATCAAAGTTATCCACACTGGAATTCACCCAGTCCACCTACCCTAAGGCTTGTAAATTTTTTGGAACTTTTACCCACAGGTAGAATTTCAATACACAACTAGTCCCTGCAAAATATTTTAAAAGAAAAAATAAAATTGTCATTTCACCAGGTAATTTTTCAAATACCCTTTTTACTCTTCTCATTTCAAGATTGCATCAGTCAGCAAATTTGGCTGAAAAAAATTTCCAGAGAGTATATTGTTCCAATTGACAATCACATCTGAAGAATTTCAATATATTGTAGTATAACAATAGCTTTAAGATTTCTAAGTTCTTTTGCTTAGTAACAAGCCAGTTTTACGTGCCACTACTGTTGCAGATATCACTCAATTCAAGGTCACTTGTTTTCTAAGTCCTCGGAAAAGCTGTGATCTAAACTAGAGCACGAACAATAATTTCTCATGACAAGTCATAAATAAAACTAAGTTAAAGAGTTTTCAACTCCATAGACAAATTTTCCATATTCCATATTGTTAATGGATGATATAATAATAACTATAATTTTAAGTTAAAATGTAATTAATTTGTCACCTGAAATAAGTGAGCCATAGGTAAACAAGACCCAAACCCTCTCATTACATTAACTTGTTCACACACAAGAATATTTCAAGAGTTACAACCATGAGGATTTTGCATACATTCCCTGCATTCCTGTAATCCCACCATTTCTTAGTTCTTGATGATTTTGATAAATTGGTGGATGAACTTCTCTTGATATACGAGGTAAAATATCTACATCAACTGGTAAGCTTCGATATGGAGGAGCAGCTGTTGTGCTTCTTGAAGTGTGATAAGATCTCTGTTTAATGGTTAGTCTGCATTTATCATTATTTTCTTCCACAGCAGATTGCCTGGTTGTGATCTCACAGAAGCAGCACCAACAAACTGTCATGCGTTGATGCTCTTGCAAATTCAGTTCAGTCTTCTTCACACAAATGCCCTTCATAGGAAGACTTGGATGGTAAAAAGAATAGTAAGAAACCATACACAGGAGTCCTATTCCAAATGCACCCCACACAATACTAAGTGCAGCAATCTCAATGTCTCCATAAAGTGTTCTAAATGGATACCACATCACTACAAAAACAGTGTTCTCTCCCAACATAATGACATAGTAAGGAATTGCTCGAATACGAGTCATACCCTCTCTGATGTTGAAAAAACAAAAGATATACACAAATCCAATAACAGCATCAAACAAATACTCTCGACATAGATGGCGTGTACCTTCATCATCAACACAAAATCGCGTTTTCTGGAAAATAAGCCAAGTTGTCATTATAAGCCAGTGAACTGCTGCGACCACAAACAGCCAAATGGTATAGTATGAGGCAAACAACACAAGTGCTACAACTCTAGATGCTACCATACACATACGCCATATAATTTGAAGAAAAACTCCAACCCATGAGTGGCTTTCTCCTTGACCTAAGAAGTCTCTAAGAGCTTTAGTATATCCCACAATTGCCCAAGCAAGAGATAACAAGGAGCTTCCAGCAGCAATTACTGTCAACCAGTCACTCTCAGCATCAAATCGCTTGTTATAAGCCATGATAAAAAGTTGAAGAACTAACTGTGGTGCAGATTCTAAAAAACACTCAAACAGTCGTAACATGCTAATGTCTCTCCATTCTGCCAGGTAAACTTTATAGACATTGACTGTATCAGCTGAGTTTTGCTGACGGGTTCGCCATCCAGCTTTAATGACACGCCAGTATCTAAATAATGAAATGAAGCAATGAAATATGAGACATCTAATCAATCAACCTTTTAATCGGAAAATAAATCAAATAGCCACCTTGGGCAAAATGACTGAACTGTAAAGACCATGTTTCTTCTAAAGTCTGAATCATGACAAAATCGGATGTTCTGGCTCTTGTGTGGCTTTCTCATTGACAAAACGAGGCAAAATGTTCAATTTATTGTAATCACGTCCACGACTAAATCAACTGATTCAATATTCAAATAAGCTAAGTCCATGAACGTAGACAAAAGCTAATATTATGTCCGGTTTTCCAACAAACTCAGAATGCCAAGTGTCAGTAATCCCCATCTATAAGTAATTAAAGGGGGTCCTGGACAACATGGGACCTAACCTCTGGTATGAAAAAGCAATACATTAAATAATTATAAAAAAACAGTCCAGTGTATACCTGTAAAACAGTATTAAGAGACGGTAGTGTTGGACTTTGTCAAAAAATCCCGCCCACGCCTTTATATTCCAACGATCGTCTTACTTACTTACTTACGTCTACTAACAGCACATAATATGAGAAACTGATGATGCAATCTACCCGTATACCCAGGAAGAGATGCTCTCGACTTATGAAAAAAATATTCAGGAATCATAATGTTAAATTTACCTGATAATCGGACCAAGTTGAAAAAAATGAAGCAAGTATGTACACCAATTCAGGTATTCGCCATCTTCGTGAAACCATTTGGCAGAAAATATTTGCATTACCACAGAAGATAAAATTACAAATCCTAAAGTTAAGGCAAACCAAAGATATTTCCCATCAAGGAAATAATGTACGGAAACTACCAGATCGGAGATTATGTCGGCAATGAATGTTAAGATGGATGCTACAGCGAAAAGATCCCAAATGATATGAACTCTTTCCGATTCCAGATGAACATAGCTACGGCGATTGACCCTCGAAGCAGCAAGATCCGTTTCATCTCTATTTATGATTCCATTAGAGGTTAAAATCCCATCTACATCATCAGTCCCTTCTATATTTCGCCCAGATATAATCCCGGTTGCCATTTCAGTGACATAGCTGGACCTCGCATGCCAAATAAGCCTATGACGGAGGAACACTGGGGCCTAATAAGTTGCGATGGAATGGCGCGCCGTCGATCGAAGTCAAATTGTTCTGTACGAGAAGAGTTGTCACAGGAGGAAATTTTCTGCAAGATTTAATTAGTTTCTCGATCATGCCTCCAAAGAAGCCATCTCCTGCAACAAAGATCACCCCTAAAACTACAACACAAAAGCCTGGTACAGGCAGAGGTATTTCAGGTAAGAAAACAAGCACAACAGCAGTGAAACCAGGAGCGGCTGGAAGCAAGGGGAACACTACAAAGAAGGGCAGCACGTCTCCCAAAAAAACACTAGTCAAAGGCAAGGAGAACACCGCAGTATCAAAGGTATGACTGGGTTGGTGCAGATCCCAAATTTATCTAGGGTGTCTCCATGGTGACAAGTAAGCTTTACATTCTGTATAAAATACTGGTGTATTATGAGAATGTCTTGATGTTCTAAACAAATAAGTTAGATCAATTAACAAAAGTAGCTTATAACCTTAGTTCATAAGCTTCTATTAACATAGAAAATCCTTTTTTTTCGGATGTATTTCAACATGATCACGTTTTTTATTGATGATAGTAATAGTTACCAAAAAGGAAACAAAATTTGAAAGGGTTGGACAGAATAAAGTTAAGGGAGCTAGCCAATAATACCTTTCTTCTCCCCTGCTCAATATATCAAGTTACTTATTTTTTAAAAATTAGCTGGTCTATCCTTTTGATAGCTAAGGAGTTATAATATAAATAACAGTTGCGGGATAAACTATATGGTAATGAATTTGAATTCAAACAGCTGCTTTTCTCTTTGCCTCAACATAAATAGATCTATGATAAATCACATAATTTTATTAGACACAAGGTAAGAAGTGGACAAAGCAAGATGAGTCTGCAGTAATTATTCAGAAATATGTCAGGAGACACTTGGCCAAAAAGGAAATGGTGAAAAGGAAAAAAGCTAGGCAAGAATATGAAGAGCTGATGGACAAGATTCAAAAGGAGGTAGATCAAAGTAACTTATCTCCCAAAAAAAAAACAAAAAAAACCTAAAAAAAAAGTAAACATAACAGTGCACCAGGTTACATACAAGTAAAGGCAGGACTTTAAAGTTGTAAGTTTCCCCTTTTACATCTTAGTGGCATCTTTGGAGTAAGCCAGATCATTTTTTCACTTTTCCTTGACATAGATAGGGTCACACTGAGTAAACCTCCTTCTTAGCTACGCCTTAGCCTCTATGTGTGGAGAATCTGGTTGCTTTCTAAAATAATACTTTTGCTGCTCCTAAAAATTCCATTCTCTCTGTTGATCTGAAGACTGTACAACAAAGGACTGGTGCTGACATTGTGAGTTCACCAAGTTATCTAATGACTATGGCATTCAACAAAAATGCAGCAATGCTCATAGAGCAATATGTTTACTTTTATGTAGAGTTGTTTCCTGAATACCAGGGTTTTTCTTTTTTTCACAATATCAGCTGACATTGCTGAAAAGAAGATGTGGATTTGGTATTCAGATTCCTTGTCAATCCACATTGTCCTCTTGACAACATCTGTGATTGATGAGTGATAAAAGTTGTTGGCAAGGCCTTAGGACCAATTGATGAAATTCACCAGCTGCAAGCTCTTAAGTACAATCCCTGAACACCAGTTGTAGGAGACAATGTGGATCAAAAGGTGGAAGCTTGAGCCCTATTTAGGTCATTGTCTTGCATTCTTGAGCAAGGCACTTGACTCTCATAGTGCCTAAGTCCTTTCAGGACTATGAATGGGTGCAGGTAAACCTCAAGGGAACTTGATGAACTTTAAGGGGGTTTGCCAGTGAAAGTGTAGCATTTCATCCAGGCAGAGAAATAATAATGCCAGTCCCTTCATACTAACGGACCCCATTGGACTCCTAAGATTAATCCATTTGAAGTGTTACCATATATAGCTTGATCTTGTGCATATTATGTGATTACGCCAGTCATGATAGTTGGGAAAGTCCTTTCTTAACCAAAAGTAACAGGTTTTTACTTGAATGTGTGGCTTATTATGTTTCCCCTGTCTTGGTACAGGCATGGCTGAAGCTGGTTCAGATAGAGAGAGAAGAAGCTGAAAAAGAAAGAAAAAAGGAAGAGGAAGAGAGAAGAAAGAGAAAAGAAGAGACAAAGAGAAGAACTAGAATACTTGAGGCTGCATTTGATGGTGATAATGATGAGATTTTAGCTGTGTTGGACGAGGTACTTCCATCAATACTGTGTTTTATCATGAATTGGTTCTATTCCCATGTAGAGTAACATTAAGTGGAAATTATATTTATTTCAAATTGCTTGATGACTTAACTCATATGCATGGTAAATGCTGCAATCCCCTGTATGTAGCTATCTACATATTAAATCTTAATGAGTTAAAAGTTGATGTTTGTGTCACTTTCTGTGTTGTAAAAATTGACCTTAATGTAAGAGAAGCCAGAAGATATTAGCTTTGGTAACTAAACAATTAAAACTATGAAGTAAAAATTTGGACTAAACCCAAAAATTATCTAGACGGTTCTCTGGTATTGGGAACAAATCACTTAGTTGGAATATCTTTGTTCCTTTGACAAAGCTTACTAAAAAAAGCAACACAGTAACTGTATTTTTTGTTCTCAAAAGAGCCATGATGTTCTGTTTTTTTTTTTTCAGGCCTATGAAGAAGACTCCAAAAGATCAGACCTATCTGAACCTGCTCGTCAATCCCTCATAGCTAGGCATCAGATGGCTCTTGTGGACTGTGAAGATGCAAACAACAACACCCCTTTGTCAGAAGCAGCAGGAGGAGGCCATGTGGAGACAATAATGCTTCTGATCCAGCGAGGAGCTGTGCTGAATTCCAGGGGAAGATATCAACGAGTACCACTTTGGCGTGCTGCCTTTGGAGGACATCTTCAGGCCGTCCAGGTGCGCCACAAAACATTTTTGCAACAATGTCTACAACTAAATATTTTTCCCTTTCTGATATGATAAATATTTAAATTCTCTCTTTTTTGTTTTTTTTGTTTTTTTGTTTTTTTGTTTATTCTTGTACATAAGGAAGGAAGGGATGCTGTTTGGATGTAAAACCAGATTCTCCAAAAAATGAAATAGAGAAATCTATTATTATCACTTGGTATTGTAACTGCTTCCAGTGAAGCTAAATGTTACTGTTTCCAAGAAAAGCTGCAAAATATTTTCTGGTTAGATTGATGCCCTTGTGATTAGTTCTTTTTAGACAAACTTATAGTTAGGGTTTCAGTTCAGGATAAGACCCCATGTGATCAAGATCATTTTTGAATAGAAGACAAGTTAGATCATAATCCTTGATAAAGTAATCAAGACCTGTGAAAGTTGGTAAGCAATAACTTGTTTTGTGATTATGTTACCTAGCTCTTGGTTGTTGCTCAAAGCGAAACTTATTGCTTGTTTTTTTACCTTTCTTTTGGTTCTTTTAATTGCCACAGGCTTGTTTCCAAAATAGAGATTATTCTTAAGCTATGATCACAATACTTAGGTAATTTCTTCACGTAATGATTTCAGTTGACCACGTCAATATAATTATGCCCCAAGGAATAGGAAAAGGAATAAAGAAAGAAAAGATCTTAGATTGGCTTGGTGTTTATCGCATGCTGCAACCCAGGAATCGAGTTTCTAAATCTAGCTTGAAAAGAAACATTTACAGTATAGTTAGGTCTCAGGTTTTGAACTTAAGGTTTAACAGAATTGCTCCTTTGATCAATTTGTAACCCTAAATCAATTAGTTGTGGTTTCCAGCATTTTTTTTACCATCACAACTTATACTTTCTGGATGTAAATTATCAAAAAATATTTATTTTTTGTGAACCATGATAGACCCTTCTTGAGCATGGTGGTGATCCTAGGCTCATAGCAGATGATGGCACAAATGCAATACAGGTCAGAGAATGTACTGTGCAACATAACTTATATTGACCAGGTTAGCCCAACTATAAGATTACTGTAGTGTAAGTAGAATTCAAATTTGCACCTTTCTCTCTTGGTATGACTTATCCAAGAAAAAAATAAAACTGTTCATAAGTTAACAGTTGCTGCTGGTAAGAAAACCTTGAAATGATCATATTGGAGGTTGTGATTACTGACATGTCAAGTGTTTCCAAAGTTGGAACATGCACAGGTACTTTTATAATGAGCGAACTGTGGAGAGTTACACCAGTACCCTCTTGCCCAACCCACTGTCATATATGTTTTCCTTTGTCAAGTATAGACGTAAGCTTGATATTTTGTAGTTCATGAAATTTAAGTTGTTGCACCTGTTTGAGCCCTCTGTCTTCCTTTCACTCCAACCTGAATGGGGGTATCCTCAGGTGGCAGCTCTACCAGCTGTTGAACAGGTTTTACAGGAGTGGGACATTAAGCAAACAGATGTTTTACTAGAAAAACTGGAAGCTGATAGAAGTGTTAGACAAGAACAAGAAAGAAAGTTAAGAGATGCAGAGAACAGTAGGTTTGTAGCTGAGGTTTTCTTGTTATTACCAGCTGTCTTTTATCAATAGTTTTTAAAATTATAAACTCAAATTCAATTCTCCAGTGTATCTAAGGAGAGAAGTGTATCTAAGGAACAATCATTGCTACCAGTGCATGCATAGGTAGTCAGTTTCTTTAAGAGTTAACAGGGTAATTTAGTATTATCAACTGAGTTGATAATGTAAAGTGGCCACTGTAAAAAGTTCAAAAGCTGATTAAAGTTAGTTTAACTGTATTCTTCTCAGATTAAAGTTTAACACTTTTATGATTCTTTTGCCAAATTTCTTAATTAGACTTGAGAAGGAGTTAAATAATGCAGAAAAAGAGAATCAAGCTCATCAGAAAGAGGTATGCCCGCTTAAGATTAGATAGAAAGGAAACTTCAAGAGACTTCTGGCTTTCAGATAGAAAAATAAATTGTATCAAAACTGTAGCTCTCCTGAAATACAATATCAGTGTAATCAACATCAAACCTATTTCCCCTTTTAACTGACTGAAGCTCCAGGAACTGATTAGCTTGTTACTTCCCCTAACAATATCAATAACAGACTTAGCAGCCATAAGGTTTTATTCTCACAAAATATGACAAAACTATTCTCACAAAAAAATGAAAAAATTAAGTTTTCTTGACTTATTTACAAGAAAATGTCTGGCAGCAAGATAAGAGAATGACTATGATTTAGATCTTACAAAGTAAAGGGTTACACAGCTATACAGAATAATATTTATAATGCTCTTGCAAAGAATTTAGTGATTTGTTTAGGCATAATCTTGAAATTTATCTTTCTCAGTTAGCTAAAGCACACTGTGAACTAAACAAAAGAATTTATGAACATGACAAGTGCATGGCTGAAGGAAAGACTGACAAACATGAGGTGACTTTGCAGGTATGTCACAACAGAATAAACTGTTTAAAATGGGATTGAAGGCCCTGCATGACTCTCCAGTGCATGTTTTTTATAGTTTGGGTCTTAGGAGTATGTCTTTGAGAGAGGGGTGGATCTCTGTAAATTTTACCCAGCAATGGTTGTCATTAAATTAAATGTCAGTTTTTAAAGTTGATCAGGCCTGTCAACCCCATTTTGGACAAGTGAATGATGTTTTACATACAAGCAGGGCTGGAATGACTGGTTTTTAAAGCTGATAAGTGTCTATGTCAAATAATTTGGTTCCAGATTAGTTTAAAAGTTTAAGTTTGCAGTCTAAGATTCTTTTAATGACCAGTGAAGATCATTTTGTCACGTTAAGAAATTACTTGTAACCAAATGAAATGTGTGCTGTAAATTAGTGACACATACCAGAAACATATAGGTTATATGTTTCTGCACATTCTTAATAAACTTGACTTGCCTTATATTTCAGGCAGTACATGATGCTGAGGCAGTGCTTGAACATGCAAGGAAAAAAGCAGAAGCATCAAAAGAAGCATTAGCTCAGGTAAAATTTAACATCTCTTACTGAGAACTAGTCAGTGTGTTAAGTTAAAGAGATGCTGTCCTTACACTGATATACCAACCCTAACCCTAACCCTAAGATAAATCACTAAATCTTGTACTGTGGGAAACACAGTGGTATGACTGTGAATTGAAAGTTCCATTTTTGATCCTCAGTGAGCCAGATCACTGTCTTGTGTTGCTTTGTAACTTGTGACACTTAAAACTCTCATTGATAGTTCCTCACAGCACAATAATACTGATTCATGTAGTTTGTTCAAGGTCATCAGATACTAAACATGAACCTTTACACAGGTGAAACTTGAACTTAGAGAGCAGCATAAAAAGGAGGACAACTCTGCAGGTGAAATAAATGTTACAAATAATTGCCACAAATTTTTAGTGCAAATTAAAAGTGGTGAAATGAAAAAAAATATTCACAGACAGTTTATTGAGAATCAGATATAGTGAATTAATTAAATGTAGGAAAGGACAACAAGATACATGCAAACAAGAGTTATACAAAAAAGAGTACTAGATTTAGAGTTTGAATGAAGAAATTTGAAACAAAAGTGAATTTCCAGGCAATGTGTAGTTTTCCCATCTTTCCTGTAACTTATACTAAAGTAAGCTTTAAAAAGGTCAATGCTCAGTTACTTTATTTAGTCAACGAACATACTATGTACATATTGATGGAGTTTGATCAGGCAAGACAGACTTAAGGCCATGCCATACTGACTGAGCACAGGGAGGTCTGTATATCATGCTTGATTATCTAGTCTGTAGAGTTTCTAGACTGTAGACAGTCCAGATAGGTGCATCTACTGTAGGGAATGTGGATAGGTGTTTTTAATTCACTGTAGAAAATGTAGATAACTGTATTCTGTTGCTATACGGGGTTGACAATCAAATCAAATGTAGATGCTTTGCACAGTAAACAGTCTGAGTGTGGAACATATTTGGTTTTTTAATGAAGTAGTACTCAGAGTGACTATATGGTGAAGTAGTATGAAGTACACACCCTTTGAAAAAAATGTTGACACTTGAAAAAGTGTTCACAATGAACAGTGAGAACCCTACAGCTCTGAGGATACACATATACATAATGACCACCATTAGCACATGGTGAATGATGGAAGCTATCCACACTTTCCTGGAAGAAATTAATTATTCTTAATGAAGGGTTTTCATGAATTGTGAGAGAAGTGAATCACTGATTATGTATCTGCAGGTTAGCATTTGGGCAATTATGCACATACCTACCAACAGCTAGTTGTATTTTAACTATTTTTGTGTGTGTGTATGTGTTTCTTCCTATCAGTGTTGTTCTAAGACACAACACCATTGTAAAATGAATTACTGAAAGTACTTTCAAGTAAAGAAATATATTTCCAGATATCAGAGGTAGATCACATACAAATTCAATTACAATAAAATACTTAAAGAGCACAGGAGGATCTAATTTGGGATTACTCTTTATTTAAGCTGACATAGACGTAAAGGGAACGAAAGTTATGATAAAAGACCTTGATGATGTATTGTTCAGAGATGTTGGTGGCAAGATTGCTGCAGATGGAAGGTAGAGCCAATAAATGCTGATGATTTTTGCTGTTGTTCTTTTTGTATGTTTGGCTTTAAATTGTTCAAGCCAGTTTTGTTTTGTTTTTATTTCTGTTTTTTGTTTCATGAAATCAAACTGGTGTGGAAATTTTACACTGAAAAAAAAATTGGAAACATATCAGACAATGTGTATAAACAGGTGCATTAAAATAAACTAGCTCTTAAACAAGCTATGGTTAAGTTTTCTTGTGTATATGGCCATTATAATTGTCTAATTTGTGTTTACAGGTGGCCCCTACTGATAGATTCATCTCCTCAGACCTCCACTTTCTTGCGCTACCGCGACACAAATTTCTTAAATGCACTAAATCCCAAGCAGATGGAGCCTGATGTGATTCGTCTGGCACTCTTAGGAGCTTTGAGGTGATCAACACAAATAACTTATTGTGGTCAATGAGCAGTGCATTTATTGAAGGATTACCCTAAGAAATATGACGCAAAAACTCTGTTTAAGGCCCTGATAAACACAGTGTCGTAGAATGAGTGTTATACTTTTGTAATAATTTATAGTACAATGTAGGATTAAAAAGTTGAATGCTGTTACTTGCTTGTTTACTTGATAGATATGGGAAGCCAGCTGTGCTGGATATGATGGATGTAGACATGTTTGATACTGTCACTATGGTATTTGATGGAGTCCAGAAGGGACTCATGGCCTCACTCATGTCTAAAGAGCTTCTGAAAGATAATAAGTTAGTATGAATGTAGTATTTGGAGCACAGCTTGTAATGTCTGTAAGAAATTACTGTAAAAATCTATCAGGTGTAGCCACTATTAGTCAGTTATGTAAAAAGTTATATTAACTGGGCACACATATTCCATTATGCTCAACAATCAGTCACTTTTTCAGAAATTAAAGACTGGACTTAAAAATTAAAAAAGGGCTAGTATTCAACTTTGCTAGTTTTTCAGTGCCTCCAGTCACAAAATCAAGATGACTTAATACAACACTTGATACCTGTAGCCCTTTTCTCCTCAACAGCATTTCCTGCTTCAAAACTTTCAAAAAGCACTGAAATCTCCATAAACTTACTACCTTTTTTATTATTTAGACCCATCTCTATGAACAAAATGTTTACAATTTGTTTTGCAGATTTCTAGAACTTGTCCGACCAGAAGATGGAGAGGAGTACAGTAAGACAAGTTTCTTAGGAGCAAGAATAGAGAAATTTATGTTTATCATAATTACTCAACAATGGAATCCAGCAGAACATTTACTTGAACAGACTTACCCAATAAGAGTAATCATCCCTTCCAGGCCAGATTTATAAGATTCTGTGCTAAACTTGTTTCTTCATGTATCACTCACTTCTTCTTCAATGCAAATTAAGGGACCCTTTTTACTGCAGGTAACATGTGGGTGCTTTGTAAAGTACATAACTTATATCAAGCTACTTGCAAGTTAATATCAGTGGTGTATCCAACTAAAAAAGTGGAATTGCCTAGGACTAAAATCCTCATGGTTTTGATGTCCACAATCTTTCTCTCACTTCATGTTTCAAGTATCATTCTGTGATCTGAATTACTATTCTAATAAGCAGTCTCTTATGAATATGGAAATTCTGGACATACAGCCCTTCTTTCTTAGTTCTCCTTGCATACACAATACCATGCATGCGTCCTCATTCTTAATGTAGACTTTTATGTCAAAACTGAATTGTTCCGATGAAATAACAATAAAATAAACTGAATCTTTTGTTTTAGGATCTTTCATTGTAACTTGTGGTGATATGGATTAAGATATGGGGAGACAAATGAAAAGAAAGCCAGAGGGAAGTTTAAACACCAAGTATATATATCATCTTTCTCAAAGTGATCACGAGTCTGACAAAACTTTAAAAACATTTATTGAACACTAGGTTTGTTTTACAAAGACTTTTAACCCCAACATATTTGATAATGGAAGACGTTGCTTTTATAAGAACAAGATGTATTTTAGCAATAGTCTAATATAACTATCCTATTTTATTGTCAAAACAAAATTTGACTTCAATACATGAACATAAATACTTGGAGATGAATGATCATGAACAAAACATGTTCCTTGTGGTTTAAGGCTGATAAAGCCATAATATGTTCCTTCACCAAGATAAAAGTTTCTCCAACATGTCTAAAACCTACTTCCAGAAACCTTGATAGAGAATATGATAGCATCACTTACTTAAACTCAGTTACCTCTAACCTCCACCTTATCCAACTTACAGTGCACAGTATGTCATCTAAAAGCTACTAATTAACAAATTTTAAAAATTATCTTTGCAGCTTTTTTTCATTTCAAGAGAATTGACTACAACAACCAAAATCAAAAAGTTGAAAAATTTGCCAAACACCATATGTCAAGTTGTGCCTGTAGACTATACCTTAATTTGAAGTTTTTGGTGCACTGCTCACTGTGATTATGGTCCTCCATCCCATGTGTTTTTCATTAACAAAAAAATCCAAAAATTGTAGGAGGTCAACACATCCTAAATTGAATGGGATTACAATTTTATGGCTTCAGTGTAAAGATCTTAACATGAAACACATGGCAATGCATTTTAGTATTCACAGTGTTTTAAATTACTCTTATTAGTCAGTTACCATTGGTTGACCTGAACTTCATTTCTCTTGGTAGGTAGAGTAAGCAAAATTCTACAGAACTGTCACTTGTAAAAAGGAAGGGGCACTGAATTTGTATTAACTGGATGTGTTCTAAACCAAAGTATGCCTGCTGTCCATATTGAAAACACAAAGTTTTATAGGCAAAATAATGTTACTAGAGAAGGAAATCAACATCAGGCCTGTTTTCAAACAAGTTCTTGAGAACAGAAGAGTCAGCCATGGTGGTCACATCACCAATCTTCTTCTCATTCTTTGCAACCTGACGAAGAACTCGACGCATGATCTTGCCTGATCGTGTCTTGGGCAGACCAGGTGCATTTTGAATAACATCAGGAGTGGCAAAGGGTCCAATTTTTGTGCGTACTAAAGTATACAAAAACCAAAAAATATTACTATCAGTTTATGAGAGCTATAGCCTTCTGTAAGAAGCTTTGAGAGGGATAGAAAAGATCCAGCTTTAAAATAACTGATGGAATATGCTACTACCTGGAAAGTCAGTGAACTTTGCAAACTCAGTGTAAGTTTCAACTGTCATTAATAGTTTCATTAATTTTGACAAACAGTTCTCACAGCTGTGTTTACTTTTAGGCCAGTGAAAAGCTTAGCTGGAGAAATAAAGCTTAATATTTTTAATCTTAGGTGGACTTTCGTTGATTTTTTGCAATTAACAAATAATCATTTCCTAAAAAAACTTATACTGCCTGGAAAAATATAATAACATGGCTAAGAGAAAATAGGGAGAACAATAACGAGATAACAGGGAGAAACAATCAATTTACTACCTTTTTGCTTAAGTTCTTTGATGAGCTGTTCATTAAATTCCACACCCTTCAAAGCAAAATGATTATAATTACTTCAACACATATACTTATTTCAGTAAGTTTAAAAATACATGTGCTAACATAGCTAGAAATAAAATGATAGGAAGCAGTTTTAATTTACAATTCAAGTGAAAATATCAATTGGGACATGCTATTGTCATTAATTTTATGTCAATTATTGTCTTTATAAATGACCGCAATGACAGTCCTTTTATTGGTGCTTTTGTAATAGCTGACAAGGCATTTTATTTTGGAGCTGATTTTACCTCCATCAATGTGGTAAAACAGTAGATCCCTTCTCCTTTTTCTCTGTGAGGACAAGATACCTGAGTGCAAAACAAACAAGTTCTGTGAATTGGATGCTGATGAAAAGATCTTTCCTATCAATTTTTGTAAATTCATAAGTTTGTGCATTGCATTTAGAGGCTTATTTCAATACTTATGGACCCGCTGTTGTGCAAGTAAGTATATAGTTAACCAAATATCAAGGAGTTAAAGGGGTTTTCTCCCCTTAATTAGGGAGGGTAGTGCAAGGAAGGGCAATTCAACTAAGTGTTAAACAATCAAAACCAAAGCTGTGACATTGGCAGTCAAAACAAATTTAAATATGACAAGGAGCAAGGGAAAAAAACTGAAATAAATCTGTCTGATTTACAGGAAAATACAACTCTCAACTTATTTTGAACTAATACTATTGATGGAGATGCAAAGGAAAGGCAAGTTTCTCAGGCCCATTACAGAGCAAGGTGAAGCAAAACCAACCAATCTCAAAAAGCTTTCAACACTAAATTGGAAATTGCTATGACTAATCTTGTGAGTTTGTGCCTTTTTGAAAAACATGAATACCAAGGGGTAACAATGATGATAGTTATGAAGCAGCTGATGTTCAACAGATCTATCCCTAATGATATCCTAGAAAGGATTTTATTATTATTATTATTATTATTATTATAACTATTATTATTATTATTACTATTGGTTGCAGCAGAAAATATCTTGTACAATCAGTGGTTAAAGTACCGTAATTTCCATCCATTTACTCGCATCAGTCAATTTTTGCAATAACGAGAAAAAAATTTCAACAGATTACCCACACTGGCAAATAACCAGCACCCGAAAACAAAAGAAAATAGTCGACTCGCACAAAGTTCCTTTGTTTTTGTTGACATGATATCCTTTCACGTGCAATTAATAAATTGTCTACCCTGTTTCATTGAGAATGATCTGTTCTAAAAAAATCGATATTTCAAGATATTTCGATTTGCATTGGCTTTCATCGAGAGTATTAAAGTCTCTAATTGTAACGAGCAATCTGTGCAAAATAAACGAGTTATTACAGAGGTTTTTTTAAGGTGTATCTTTAGTGGATCTTATCATCTCTGGTTTTTCCTGCTTATAGTTTTAAAACTATACCAGAAGCTTTAAAAATTATCCTATTACCCACACCTTCCTATAACCCGCACTAACAACTGTTTGTAGAAAAATTAACAGATTATTCCACAGGTAATTGGCTGGAAATTATGGTACCTGGCATGTTAAATACAATAACATTCACATAAAAAGTCCTTGAATTTACCTGGTTGTTACAGTAACTGTAAGTTAATGAACTTCCCTTTCCCCAGGGATAGAAAAGCAATCTTCCTGGTCAACTCAGACTTTTGTCCCTAATTAATGATTTAAAATATGTACCCCTTATCTTTAATTAATAATAGTGACTAACATACCACAGCAGCTTCAGTTACTCCATTGTGTTCCACTAAAGCACTCTCAATTTGTGCTGTGCTTAGCAAGTGACCAGAGACATTCATACAGTCATCTGTTCGCCCAGTGATCCAATAGTAACCATTATCATCACGTTTGCAACCTACCACCAACATGTATAATCTCCTTACAATCTCAGAATGTTATTCAACACACAAGTGACTAGAATGGAGAAAGCACCTCCTCAAGAGAAGGTTACATGTACTAAGCTCTCTTGATTGGCTAAAAAAGAAATGTAAAGCTGTTGGAATGGAGGATTTCTTATCAAATCTTACCAGTTGCACCTTTCAGCTCCCAAATTTTTAAGCTTTGGACACTAGGATAAAGTCCAACAGTAATGGCTCACTAAGTGTGTAAGACTAAATTCTCCATTTTAAATCCTTCAACCTTCTGACTACGGTCACAGCAAAGAGTTTGGTGAAGTGTACAGAGCACATGATTAATAAGGACCTTACCATCTCCTGTGGTGTAGTAACCATTGAACTTCGAAAAGTAAACATGTTCAAATCGCTCATGATCTCCATAAATAGTTCTTGCCATGCCTGGCCAAGGTTGTTTCATCACCTTCAAAATGAAAACAAACAAAAAATCAGCATTATAACTATAAACTACCATCATGATGTCATTCTGCTGTTGCATACTTAGAAAGTTCAACAAATAGCCTGCAGGCATTACCAAAAGCCCTTCACAAGCTCCTTCAAGTTCTTTTCCATGTTCATCAACAATGGCTGGCACAACTCCAAAGAATGGAAAAGACTGTGGAGAAAAAGTGACGCAAATTTAAAATATTGTCACAGAAATATGTAGTGCTGGGCAAATTTCTAAAATAATACTAACTGTCAAAAGCAAGAATTCACAAAAGTAGCTTGTGATGAACTCTGGAGGGTTTCCTAATTTTTGTTCCTTTTTTCATTTTTAATTTCTCACCCCTCATTCATAAAAAAAAAATCAAGGTAAGTTACAGGAATTTAACAACATTTCATTCAATTTAACACATGATGGGAAAGAGAACATCTATAACAGAGTGCAAATTTGATATATGACCTATTCATGAGGTTCAAAAAAGGTAAAGATTCTTTTGAACTGAATTCATTCAAAATTCTTCCCTTTTTCTTGAGAAAACTTAGAGTTTATGGATCGAGAAGACTAAGCAATAGACACTTAAAAAAAGGGTAGGAATCTTACTGCAGCTCCAGGTCTCATGGGTGTTGCTCCAGGTAGGGAGGTGATGACATGTCCACCCTGTATTTTGAAAAATCATTGTGAATATAGTGTCATCAAACTTAAGAAGGAGGTCATGAATATCACATCATGATTAGAAATGCCTGATTGTGGGTTCCACAAATGCATAACTGTCTTTTTTCTTTTTTTGTTTTGTTTAGTTAAGTTTTTCCATTTGGTCAATTAGCCTTATATTGTAGGCTTCTTTTGCATCACAGGTTAATTTTTAATTTGCATATTGTATATCTTCCCTGAACTAGTGCTTCTGACTAGCACACTTAAACACACATTTAGTGAATTAGATGTACATGAACATGTATCAGGGAAAAGGAAGGAAGTTTACATTCATTCACCCTTAGTTGTGGCAGGAACAGATAAATACATTGCTTAATATGTAACTTGTACTCACAGTCTCTGTCTGCCAGTAAGTATCAACAATTACACATTTTTCATCTCCCACAGTGTGGTAATACCACAGCCACGCTTCAGGATTTATAGGCTCTCCTACTGTGCCAAGTACTTTCAGAGATTCACGACTGTACCTGAATTTAACAAGAAATATTTCTTGGAAATCAAGAATACAATTGTTTGGATTTTTCACAGGTAATTCCTAACCTTGTATAATCATCATCAATAATTACTGTCATGTCAAATTAAGTATAACGCTTGTGCCACATTCATGAAGGAAAAAAAAATAATGTTTTATCAATAACAATATGGACAAAATGCCAGGATTTCTGCTGTTTCTAACACATGGCATCTCATGACATACACTGATCATTCTCACTACATCTTTTATAAAGTCTTCAGAGTAACTGGGTATATCTAGGGCTTTTTGCCAGCATGAATGAGGTTGGATTGAGCTTTTTTGTGCAAGAAATAAGTCATATAAAGATAACAAGCCTTTTTTGTTGATACATGTTTAGTTTTGTTTTTGAATTTTTAATTTCTGACAATGAGCAAGAACTACAACTCAACATATACAACAATACCAAAAGAGATGTTCTTTGCTGCTTACTTTTTTACAACATCTTTTCCAAACTTCATGAGAGACCTGATGGCTGTTGGAGCTGTGTAGAATTTGGAAACCTTATATCTATCAACTACATCCCAGAAGCGGCCAGAGTCAGGATAGAAAGGAGTACCTTCAAACTATACACAAGAAGTCATGATTGGAATTAAGCAGGGAGGTCTATATACTATAAAAGTTCATGCACTCAAAATACAGCCACACTCATGAAATAAGCAACTAGAGAAATCAATGAACCTGAAAGAAAAAGTGACAGTGTTCTTTTCTTCCTTTCATTCAATGAAAGGTTCCTGGCCAAAAGTTTGCCAATCAACTAACCAGGCATGTAAACTTATTGTGCAGATATTCAGGCCTGTTAGCAGCATTAGCAAATTGACTTGACATGTTGGCGATCTCTCACCAAGCCACCATTGCCACCAAGACAAGTTTCTTTTCCTTAGCATAACAAATCACACCTTCATAATGGTTTCACCAATGCCATGAAAAGTGTGTGAAAGTAACTACAACAGATTTGGAGTGTCTCTGCATTTAATTCAAAATATATCATTCAATTTGGACCATTTAACAAGTAATTTACTTGTGCATAACAGTTAGCAAGAAGAAACACTCCATTAACAGAGGAAGGGATCATTCACAACGATCTTGCATCTCACCTCCTAATAGTTAATAAGTTGGATCAATGAAAAAGTGTCTCACCAGCACACTTGTTGCACCATTTGCTAAAGGTCCATAAGTGATGTAACTATGACCAGTGATCCAGCCAATGTCTGCAGTGCACCAGTATATCTCTCCTGGGTGATAGTCAAACACATACCTACAAGCAGCATATCAAAAAACATTACAGGATGATCGACACACTGGCTTTAAAAGTGGTAAGTGTCAAACTCCAGGTCTAGTCCTGTTTAAATGTTATATTTTCTTGCACAAAAGTTTGAAATGAAGTGGTATGCCTAGGATTTGTCATGAGTATAGGCAAGGAAATTCAAGTCCTTCAGTCTGGTCCTATGAAAGTATCAAATGATCTACCAGGTGAGCAATACAAATTGTGCCCACATGAAAATCATTTAGCAATGTCAAAAGCATAGTGTGTGAAGAGATTGATTGAGAAGTATGCTCTGTTGGTAAACTAAGAGAGATGACAAAAACACTACAAGAACATAACAAAGAAAATTCAGAATTCCTGAATTTCATGAATAATGGAATTTCACTCTTTTGACTTGAATTATGCCACAGAAGCCTTTCTACTGGTACCATTTGTTACAGTCACGCATATATCCACTGTATTACCTTTCTGACTCCAATCTTCAGCAATCTCTCAAACAAGTCAAACAAATCAAACAAATAAAGCAAACAAAGAAAAGTAAAGAAAACAAAAAATACATATCAGGAAGTTCTGTTGACATACTTAAAGGTAACAGCAGTGTAGAGCATATAACCTCCCACAGTGTGAAGGACACCTTTGGGTTTACCAGTTGATCCACTGATGACCAAGAGAGGGAAATGCACTTTAGTTAATATGATAAGTTTTAAATGACACCAAATAGATTCCAGTAGTATTGCAACATTTCATGCCCTTTTCTACATTAATTGCTAATTCAAACATAGGAATGCATAGCATGCAGGAGGTTTTTTTTTTCCCGGCGCAGATTGAGATACACACTTTGTGTCACTTTCAAATGGACAAAAATTTCACAATACTTCACCTTAAGAGGAGGAAAAAAAAATAATTTGTCTGAAGTCACACAGGTATTTTGTGTTCTATTGTCTAAATACTTCAAAGCATAAATAAAATGCATTGGTGCCACACTTACTGTTGTTTCCCTCGCAGCTGTTGTTTGGTCTCATTACACAATGCCATGTATTTCCCATTTGAGAGAGAGCGCGTTGCTGGTGAGACCAAATAACAGTTGCGAAGGAGACTACCCTTACTATCATTCCTTTAACAGAGAGAAAATAAAAATTATTTGTCTACAGTTAGTTGCCTCAAAAATAAAAATATAATTCCACGTAAGCAAACTGAAATTCTGCTGTATCTCCAATAAACTCTAGCCAAAGATATATTGCAATCTCAAAGAGGTAAAGATATATTGAACAAGAGAAAAGGACAATATTTTAAAGAGTGCTCTTTGATTGGTTGTACCCTATCTGGACTGTGCCCTCTGTGTATGAAAAACCTGATAAAACGCAGGTTGTTTACAAGGAATAAATATGCAATTGGATTAATTCCAAGAAAGTAAAATGCAAATTTTACATGCAGAAAAAGTAGAAACACAGGAGAATTATGTGGAAATTTACAATCAGTAGTGAATTTTTTCAGCGGGATCAGACAATGCGGTCTAATTTGGCAAAATGGAATTTGATTGATGGAGTACAGTTCAACCACATGAAAAATTACCTTATGTTCATGTAGTGCACTGATTTGGTGTGTTTTCATTAGACTTTGGACTTTATTTTTATTGTACATGATGGAGTGGAAGTTGTTTGGCATGTGAGTAAAGGCAATCTGATTGGTGCAAGATACATACTCAGATGCGACAAGCTGATTGGTGCAAGCAACATACCACCCTACATGCTAACACAGTTGATTTTGTTTTTTATAAAAAAAAAAACTAAAAAGTGCTCCAATTTACCAAACTGGTAATTTTCCAAAAACAAAGGTTACTGTTAAGGATACTAACTCTTCAATTTTTTTTTTTCCAAACTAAGATTATTATTCAAACCATGTGGCCTAAGCAGAGTATTGGTGGTCTAGGGCTTGCCCCAAAATATGATAAAAAATTATTGTACCATATAGGTAACATTTTAGCCCAAGTTATTTACATGAAATTATGCTGCTTTGCAAACACTTCATCCCATTAACTGCACTCTAATTAAACTTTGGAAATAAAAAAAACTTTCTCCACTTTTTCAAGATGTCATATTTATTTTCTCTTTCATTTTCTGACCAAATTCAGTAATTCAACACATTTAGTAATTCAAAAACCCAGCAAAAGCCTTTTGATCAGCAGAAGTTTTAGTTCAAAAACTAACATACTTAGATAGTTCTAAGTACCTTGTGTAGAGCATGAACAATGGATCCTCAGCATCCACCCAGCATGGCTCACATTTGTCACTAGCATTTGACATAAGTTCATGCCACCAACAGTCGACAGCATCATTCAAATTTACCTGTTGAAAAAAAAAGGTAAAGGTCAAAGCCTGCTCTTGAGGCTTATGGCTCACACTTCCTCACATATCCTCCTAGTTTCTGTAGCATGAAACATCAAGGAAAATTTATAAGAATGAAATAAAACCAACACTACTCCTCCTAGATGGGATGCTGGTATGATAGCATTCTGTCAAGTTTTCCATAAGCTTACAGTTAAACACAGTTATATTTTTTTAGTGAAGAGAGGAACTGTGAGACTCATGTACCTTGCCAAAGAACCCAATACAAAATGCATTTCTTTGCTGTGCAAGAAAACTAGGAGATCAAGAATGATTGAACAATGAATCACCTGTGCTGGTGGACAAGGTTTTTTAGCAACTGGTGATGAATGTGGACTTGTGGCAGCGGCGCCTCCCACATGTTGAACAACAATACAAGTTTCCACAGTAAATCCCCTGCAAGAAACAATAAAGAAAAAGTATACTGTATCAAAAAAATATACTCTATTTAGTGTAGACCGACATAACATTATTAATCACTATCATGCCAGAAACACTTCTTCAAGAAATTCTATGTAATCCCTGACAAAATAAAATTTACTTCCTTCTCAAAAAATCTTTAGTTGCTTTACCACAGAACTATAAGGGATGCATCCTGAATACTGCCGGCATTCCAAGGTCAGTTAAAAGCTTTGCACAATGATCAAAGGAAATAAAGATGATACTCACTTATCTTTGCACTTTGCAATGGCATCATCAGCAATTTCCTTAAGGTTAATAAGCTTTGTACCCCTATACGACCCATCTGAAATTTTGCAGATAACATCAACATCATTATTGTTATCTCTAGTGTTATTTAGCTTAAAAACCACATGGGTAACATCAAAATCAATGCGAAAGAAATGAAGATGAGACTAATATTCTTAAGGACAATAGTCAATAGTGTATGCAAAACTTTCACTTTAATTATCTGCTTAAAAATTAGTGAGTATTTTAAAAGACATTGCTAACCCTGAACGGAATTTTAAGTCACAGCTAGTGCAGGTAGGTCTAGTGGACTGTTGAATGAAAACCAATAGAAAGTGCTTACCAGCAGTAACAAGTAATTTACAAGATGAATCAAGAATCCGCTCAGCCAAAGATTCTGCAGAGAATCCTCCAAACTGGGGATGAGGTAGCACGTATAATATATGCAAAAAAAACCACCAAAAATAGGTATAACCATTCAAGATGAATTAATTATCACACAACAACTAGAACCCATGTAAAACTCCTTAAACTGCCATCATGACAGCAAAAGTTTGACCAGTTTTTACACAAGCCAGGAAACCTCTTTAAAGGAGATAAAACTTCCCATGAACAATTTGAAACAAAAGATCCTACATGATGAAGTTTTTGTGCCAACTCTTTCACTTCCAAGTTGAACTCAATCTAACTCTTAACTAGTGACAACACATCACATTGTTACTTGTTAATGAGAATTTGAAGTTATATAAAAATTATCATTGCTCAGAATGAGCCAGTCAGCAAAATACCACTACTCTAGGAACAATCCATTTTCTTTTAAAGGTACTATTAACAAGTAACAGTCTTGTCTCTTGGGGTCTCAACTTCCTGTAATTGATTAACTGATGCCATCAAAGAAGTCAAATGGTGGTTGGTGGGTGAATCACTCTGAGAATATTATCAAAAATGCATGGACAAATCATTGCTTGGCTGATGATCATAAAAATGGCAATAAATAAGGTTGGAAGGTAAATGAAAATATCAAAATGTGAAATGTAAATAAGGAGGGGATATAAAGATAAAAGTTAAAGTGAACGAAGTTTAATAACTTCATCTCACCACAATTGAGTGAACAGCTCCAATTCTTGCACAAGCTAACATTGCAACTACCAACTCAATAATCATTGGCATGTAAATGGCCACTCTGTCGCCTTTCTTAATACCTAATGTTTTAAGAGAAGATAAGAGAAAAAATGTGGCTTAGTTTTACTAGCCATGAATGAGAAACGATAAAAAGCAAATGTTCAATATATCTAAAATCTTGTCTTTAAAATTAATTTGTCTGGTTCACTTTCATTGCAAAGTGCTGTATATTAACTCCACATTATATCATTTTCACAGAACCAATAATTCAGTAAGGAGACAGATTGGAATTAAATACTAAAAAGGGTTTGGGTTCACAATCCTAAAGGACCACTGTTTCACTGAAGAATCATTTCGCTATAATGAATGGTTAAATCCAATGTGCACATTGTTAATGTTTACTGTTCCACATGCCCTCTGTTTCGACGGAACATCTTCAGCTTATTTTGGTTTGAACAGTTTGAAACAACAAAGAGCCTTGTTACTATTTTGTGACAAGATGTTACTCATTGACTGAATATCTCACAGTAATTAAGTTCTGTTTATGGGTTAAGTTCTTGCTGACAGTCTGCTGGTACTAATTAGTGCTCACAAGTTGCAAGAGGCACTTTAGTAGTAAGAGCCTTCCCTAAAAACACAACACAATGATCAAGCAAGGACTGAACCTCTTGTTTTGAAGTCAAGCATACAAAAAAAATTTTAAGTTAATCTAAAATTATAGTTATAATAGTTGATAGTCCCTACCTTTGTCTTTCAAAACATTGGCAAACTTGCACACTTCTTTGAGAAGTTCACTGTAGGTAATCTGCTTATTATCTCCAGGAAAATTTCCTTCCCTAAATTGCATAGAAAAGTGCACACATTGCTTAAAATCTGCCAACACAAAGGACATCTTGCAGCAAAGTATAATGGTTTGACTCACAAGGTAGTCACTTCTGATGTGGATTGCCACAATCCATCTGCAAACTGCTTGTCTTCTGCTTGCATTTAGGTTGACTGGGTACACCTCCCCTTATGAAGCATTATGGTCAGCTGAGATTGGCTGGTATTCCACCCCAACAATTAGCGAATTTCAGTTATGTTCCATTGGCCTTCTGTTAATGCATGGCTATTTTTGGTTTTTTCCCCTTATTAATACTGTCTATGCTTCTAGGATATCTGCATTATTAACCCTGTTGATTTTGTTGAGGTGAAGTCTGGTATGTATTACACCAGGGATCACACCCAATGAACTATAATTTGTTACAGAGGAGGCCATACCCAGTGTCCTGGGTATGCTCTGAAATAGCAATCACAGCTAAGTATAATGGCCTGGTTCATAAGGTGCAACATATCCAGTTGACCGTATTGCTTAAAGAAGAATAGAAGTACACAATCCAAACATCATATTCCACATTGGAAGTGACAATATCTAGAGAGAAACGATTATACCTGCCTTACTATTAAAGTAATCTCCTTTATGAATAATTGCAACCATTTCAATGATACAAAGCACACATAAACTTAATTCTTACTTTAACTTATCAAAGGAAGTGAACACAACATTACATAGAGCATTACTGACCATTACAAGAAAAGAACTAAATTTTTCAAAGTCAGTCCAGTAGTGGTGGGTGGTATTTTAATTATCCCAAAGTAAAAGTGTTCTAATTTTGTAGATAAGCACATCAATCTTTCTGTGTTACCACTGATTGCCACTTCTAGTCCCTACCAGAGTCACAAATTGTGCTTTTAAGCTAAATATTAACTTATAATATTATGCTACAGAACTTAAAGACTCAGATGACGGAGTATATAATTAGCCTGTTTATGACATGCATGATATAGTGCATGTCTTGCACAAGGGAAACTATATTTGTGGCACAAGTGTTCTGTACTGACTACAGAGCAAAGTAAAGCAAAACTCAAACAGTCCCTACTTTTGATTGGTGTATTACCAAGTTTTGCTTTGGAACACAAGTCAGGAAGAAGTCTGGGTGGCACAATCCACATGTTGACGATTAAAAACAATAAGTTAAATTTAACTTGGAAAGATTGGAGACACGTGTACTGTCTCTATGGTTTCTCTGAATACATAACAAGCATCCTAGTAGTTTATCATTGAAGGATATGTTTATTGGATTATCTAATCATCGTCGGAAATACTTAATCGTTTCAACACAGCTTTGGGCTCTTGTCCACAAAGCAAATAAAGGCGTAAGAAAAGAAAAGTCTTTTTGGTGATCATAGAATGACTGTCATGTGAGATGATAAGTTAATGTAACTAAGGGTTAGGAGACAAACAGCTATCATATAGAATACACTGACTACAAAACAAACGCACAAAGATTTCAAACTTAACAGCGCGCCTTATTAATTTCTTGAGAGAGATTACTTCATGAAATAAATCTGTATTTTTTTCACGGTTTACAAGTCAAAATGGTCACGAAATTAAACGCGATTTTCACGTGACAAAAGTAAAGACAGCAATAGAAAAAGATTAACAGTAACCCGAGGCTAACTTACCAATAAAAAGCCACAGTGTCTCCAAGCCCTTTATCCACATTTCTGTCCAATACATTGTATGAAATATTTGTAACTGCCCCTTCCATCCATTTGATGAAGACTGGTCCTTGACGAGTGTCAAAGTTAAACTCCATAAATTTGTCTTTGCTTGGCGGGACTTTCCAGAAGAATTCTTCTGCAATCTCGCCCCAGAAAACAGCTGGTTCGTGGATGGAATGGTGATACATTTCTTTGTATCGATCCATACTGGACACATGCGCCTCCGATTTGATCTTTTCCGATGGGTAAAACCATCCCACCAGCTCCTTTTCGTGCTCACTAGTGTCTGCTGAATTACGTTGTCCATGATGGCGTGGAAATACTTCCTTTATGAGAGATGGACACAAACTTACTCAACGGGGAGGGGGTAAGACAACTTTTTTTTTGTCTTTTTTTTTCCTAGCCCAAATGAACACGCTGACACAGTCTTCTACTCGTGAGAACTTCACGTCGATTTGAGTGTGTGGCTTCTGATGAATTTCAGATTTGCAAACATGTGTTAAGAGCTGTCAGACTCGAAGCCTTATATTTCCTTAGATCGGACTTTTGTAAATTTCAATTGTGATCTGGCACGTGCTCATCAGAATGCACGACTTGTAAACACGCTTCACATGCACCTCGTTCAAAGGTCTTTCTAGGACGCTTGTAAAATGCCCTTCTTTATTTTATGCAAATCATAGTTGAAAAGACTTAGCGAAAAAAACATGAATACATAAAATGTCTGCAGTCATTCTTTAGAATTCATGATTCACACGCGCCTGGAAACGATAGCTGTGCATAAATTAAAAGGCCAATAACAAAACTTTGGCCTCTAATTATTAAATATGCTCGTTCAAGGTCTCTTAAAGCTCTGAAAATACTCTGTTTTAATAAATACAAAAAAAACTTGAGAACATTAAGCGAAAAAAGTCGAAGGCATAAAACGTTTTCAATCACTCTTTGGAGTTCATTGACACGTCAACACAAAAAGGATGCACTTGTAGACAGTGCCGCTAGAGGTTGCTTGGTTGCGTTATGGAATACTGTTTCACTCATTAGAGTCTTCCTCCAAATCCAGAATGAATGAATGAATCCCGAAGTTAGTCAATACGCCTTCCACGGTTCTACATGGCCCCCGAAGTAGGTACCCTAAGAAATAATTCGCGCGTTCCTTCTATGCCCAAAATCCAGCGGTAACACCAATTACTGAATGACATACTCAAAATAGACGTGAAGTTGAAATGTTCCTTTACATATCTGATTAACATAAATGATATACTCTACAAACACACGGAAATCTTTAAAGATATTTCTAAAACTAAACAATATCCAAGCATAGATTAAAGAGGGTAATTTAATATTATCAACTAAGTTGATAACGTAAATATTGGCCACCATCAAGAGTTTAAAAGCTGGCGAATCGAATCGCAGTGACGAAGGGTTGACGCTGGAAACGTTAGCTTTTAAACTCTTTACGGTGGTCAATTGACGCTATCAACTCAGTTGATAATACTAAACTACCCTGTTATACTCTCCGACCGACAGCATCACAGTTTCTCTAAAAACTTACCCCCTTTGTAGACTAAAAAGAAATTTATATTTTCTTGTGAAGGCTATTAATTCCGCCGAGAAAACACTCAAATTAACTCCATAATGAGTAAAAACGAAAAAAAAATTTAATCTAGAAAGTAATATAAATTATAAGAAAAAAAAAGCAAAGGACAAAAATGTGTTGGCAGAGGGGGCACTCGGAGTTGAACCAAGGACCTCTCGATCTGCAGTCGAATGCTCTACCACTGAGCTATACCCCCTCGCATGGGAAATTGAGGTACAAATCAAAATATCGTTACTAATTTATTAAAAATCACTTCCGGTCTCCACGCACATTTCGGAAAGCGGTAGATAAAGTTTGAACGAGGTTGTGCAGTTAGTCAACTAGAATGTATGTAGAAACTACTGTAGTATCTCATATTGAAAGGGAGAATACCTAAACATGAACAGGTAACTTGAAGTAGAATTGCAGAGGAATTTTTCTGTCTTTGATTTGGGGTTAGGTAGTAGACTAATGTAAATTTCAATGTCTGGTTGGAAACGGGGTCAGTAAAAGTACGATTGGGTTAAATCTCATATATATCTGACGAAATCAATCGATGTCTATTCGATAGCTGCATAGATGTTTTGAAACATAATGATTAGTTTCGGTGATGGAGCATTTGCTCCAGAGGAGCATTTACTCCAGAGGAGCATTTACTCCAGAGGAGTAATTTGTCATTGTGGTTAAAGACAGTTGGAAAGAAGTAATCACCCGTGTATAAGTGTTTTGTTTCTGCCCTTTGGGATTTTTGTCTGTTAGTTAGTCGTGCGTGCGGAATGTATTTTAGCGTGTTAGTCAAGTAATTTATTGTAATATATTCGCTAGTTTCTAAAGGACATGTTAGCCTTTTCGGGTCAGTTTTTTCTCGCTTGCCATTTCCAAGCGTTCATTTTTGGCCCAACGAGCAGCCAGATATTACGTTACAGTTCGTCGCCGCTCTAGTGCAGTTTTTCCCAGCTCCTAACAAATGTAAGTGTCGCTTTGGTCCAACTTTCCGTTGCGTTTTAGTTCACTTTGTAACGTTCCTTTCTTTGTTTGTATTTTAGTTTTAACCGCTTTGAACAACCGCAACTACAACATCGTTTCTTAAATAAAGCACGTTGATACAAGGCCGGAGTGTTTGGAGTGTTTAGTGCACTGTTGGAAATAATAACACTAGAACCTCTAACTCTAACTTGAACAAGATTGATTTACCCTTAGAGATGACCCCATTTCTTCTGTCATGTACTACCAGCTAACTGGAACGTAGTTATCTCATACTGTTCGTTAACTCGGACTAATCTAGCTTTCTCTTTGCTAAAATTTACCCTAGTAAGTTGTACTGAAAGTGAAAAGGTTTCATTGACGTCAGAGTGTTTGTTGTTTGACAGCTCTCATTCTTTAATCATGGTTGATATGACTGTTATAAAATTTTGGAAAACCTCATACAGTTAGCTGAACTTCCCAAAGTAGATGTTCTTATAAAAGCTACTATAAAACAAGCTTAATGTATGAAATGGACCGTTGATTTTACAAAAATGGTGAAAACAAGATTCCTTATTAACTATTTACAGGTGAATTGAAATTGTACACCAACATAGCTAAGTCGAACCACTTTGTTTTCCCTGGGAGTTTGAGTTGTGGGGTTTTACTGTAATTGCCTTGCAGAACTCAGAGGTCTGTGGGAGGGATGGCTGGTGCAGTGTTAGTTAATGAATGGATAGGAGGTGTAATTTTATGCTGTTAGAGGGTGAGTAAAACTAAAAGGGCCACCAAATCACTGATTTTAATAGCAAATGTAGAAATTACCCAAAAAGTGGACACTAAATAAAAATGTTCATTGCTCCTTTTGTATCTGAAGTGTAGCATGGTGTCTTCATATTATGGATGCATGTCTTTGTTCTAACACAGATGTCACTACTGGGATCAAAAGTCAGGTGGCAAGATCTATTGAACTGATAGGAATTTTGGAACCTGTTTAGCTGATAGGATTGTTAAGGGGGAAGGTAATAAATAATGCCATATCAAGACGTAACCTTGTTTCAGAAAAAATCCTTTATTTCAGGGAAGCCTCCCAATGTTCTTGAGCCGCTTTTCCTGATGTCCATATAACAGCTATGAGATGTTCTGTGATAAGGCTCTACAAATTCCTAAATGGTTCTTTTTGGAGTCACTCAATTTAATAAAGAGAATTACCAATGCAGAATATTTTTGGGCTGATGTTACATGGATTTTATTTTAGAAAGAATGTGAATTGATATGCCAAATTATTGAATTTATGGGAAGAGCCCAGTGGTGTTGATTGTTGTGATTTGAAACTGAATGCAACATGTTTGTGGAATGGACATTGCTTTTCTTCAACTTTAAGTGACAATGTTTAAATAAGGCATATTGAAATGAATGAAAAATCATCAATTATTAGAACTTAGAAAAATGTGGATCACTGATCAGACAGATATGAATGTTAGAATAATTTTTGCATCATTATTTTGAGACATTAGTAAAGAACAACATGACAAGTAAGATGTTTCTTTTGTATTGACAGTGAAAGCACCATATAGTGTACAATGTTTTATATCTGTTTTCTCTGTTTTAAGGAAAGTGTACAATTTCATTGAAAATAATAATAATTTGCTTTTGGCATTACATGTGCACCTTCTCAAAATCCAGTGCAGCTCTTATCAGCTATCCACTTGCTTGTGTGAGAGAACATGAACTGTGCTTTTATCCCTATTTATTAGCCATGTACATATAATTTGTTAGTAAATTCAGTTGCTTATATGTAAGGTATGTTGTTGCAAAGACTTCCCTGGCCTACCCCTAATGACACACAATCTGAGTAGAAGTTAGGTAATAAGATTGAAAGAGAAATGTGTTCCTTTCATAACATATGCATTTGTTTTGTGAAGAAGAGGTCCCATCCACTGACAGTTGGCCAAGTGTTGGCTAATAATCTGTGGACAGTTAGCAGACACTAAGCCAACAGTAATCATCAGGTCAGTGCCAGGTGTTGAAATAACTTTATTAGACACCATGTTTACATTTTACAAAACTGAGCAAAGCATACAATTTATGCACACTTTCTTTCAAAACTTGACATAAAACTAACCATAAATGGCTTGAAATTCCTCAAAATGCCACTAAAAGTAAAAATGCACGAGAACATTCACTGTGCATTCAATGAAGGTGTGTCAACATTTTCCATTGAAGAATGAAGTTGACAATTACACTAAAATGCAATGTGATCCTGATTTTTGGTATATTGGTACATCATATATGTGTAAATGATATATATTGTCTTGATATAAAATGATCCATGATAGTGTTGTCTTTACTACCTACAAGTATTCTTGTTTGTTTGTTTGTTTTTCTTCAAGAAAGATTGAGATCATTGGTTGTTCTAATTTATGTCACTTACTCTGAGTCTTTGCAGTTTGTGTGCTTTGTACTTTCCCTGTTATAGAGAAAGTTTTTTGGGATTCTTGACAATTTTTGTCTTGTCAATTAATGTGATCACATTATGATTAGATTTTGCACGTACTGCATTACATCACGTTGCATATGTTGCGTAAAACTGTTCATCATTTTGAATTTTATTCTGGGACTTCTTTTTGTAATTGTCATGTTTAATTCAACTACTCCTAATCAAAATGAAAAGAAAAACAAAATATAGCTTTTACTACATTTACTGCATTTACTGCATTTGGTGGCTCCAAAAGGAGCCTTTTTTTTTTGTTTAGTGGGCTCAGTTGAGTGGGTAGAATTCTGCTATGTCGCCTACCATATTCCTGAAGTAGTCACCTGGGTAGACTTTTCACC